TGTATGGCAGGTACCCGAAATATTAAAGGTACACACCCCATAATTTGATAGAAAAATTTTATTAGTATTTAAAACAAATTGGTAAAGAAATTTCCCAAATCGTTCAAGAAATGTGGAAATGGCAGTGTTTACACGGCTACATCCATCCATCCCCACAGACCCGAAAGCGGACAGAAATTTTTTTTTTGCTTTTTTCCACTTTTCTCGACGTTTCAAGCCATTTTAAGTGTAAATAAGCAAAGAAAATTTTTTGAAATTTTTGCGTAAATCCAATACGGTTGCCCGTCACCCTAGGGTGGGGCCTCCGTAATTTAAAATGAGAATTTAATAAGCAACATGAGAGAAAATAGCACGATTCGTGACATTAGCGTGACAATGCAAATTAAATAATTTATTTACACTTACTGAACGTCAAAGTGTTTGGTTTCTGATCTGATGTGCATGCCACCATGGCATTTTCACCTTGTCTAAAGTTCAAGTGACCAGTGCTGTCAGGAAGCATTAATCTGTATTCGCTTCCAGTATATTTCAGAAACAAAGGTTCTTTGACCGTTCCAGTAGCCGTTCGATTCAATTCCGTTTTTATATCGATCGTGCACTCTGAAAGATTGTTATCAGTTTAGAACATTTAATCAGAAATGATCAAAAATCAACTCACGACATCGAATAATTCGACTAATCGATAAAATAACCAAAATAAACAAGAGAAATGTTTTCATGATGTTACAAGCTGAATGAATAATTGAAACTGAGAAGTGAAAACAAGTTGAGAAATTACATTAATATGACTGTGTACGATACGACTGTTTGTATATTTGTAAACATGTGAAAATTGAGTTTCTCTGAAATATTCAATGACTGATAAGAATGGATGAGTAAGAAGAGAAGTTTGTTCTCACAACTTGTGTTAATATTTGAGATGTGCTGATATGTGCACGAATGAGTAATTGTGCAAAATGACAAAAATTTAAAACATTTCGAAGTATTTCAATGTTAATTTTCTCATGGAATTTTTATGAGCTTGAATGGCTTTGAAAACTCAGCTGTTATTCTTTACGTTGAAATTATTGATAATTTGAATTTCCAATGACTCATAATTCTTACAACTATTTAAATTCTTTCTGTTTGCTGCAGGTCATGACATAGCCCTTAGTTAAGTTTTGAACATAAACATAAAAACTTTCATAAATCACAAAAGTTATTCACTTCCTTATTGAATAAATTCCGCAGCTATTTATTTAAACAAGGTGAACATAGAATAACTTGAAAGTTTCAACGTAACAACATTTTTCCGACGTCAATATGATTTCACGGATATAAAAAATATTTTTCAACATGCCAAATATAAATTTAATAAAACATAATAAGCAAAGTCATAATCTCATTATTTTTTTATTCATATTTATTCAACTATTTATTCAAATTAAATCACCGAAAGCTCGGTTTCTTATGTTTATAAAGAAAATGTTGAAAAAGACGTTTTTACTGGGACTAGACGACATAAACATAAGAAAAGTCAAGTAAAAAAGTTCAACAAACTTTTCTCAATTGTTAAAAAGTTTAGTTGACTAAGAAGAAACTCGATTTATTTAGTAAAAAGGTCAGTGGAAAGCGTGATCGTAATGACTCATTTACTTATGTTAACCGGTGACAGCTATAAGTGAATTCGTTGATGTAAATTCTTAATTTCCTTCATTAACATCCTTTTCAATTGCCTCAATGACTTTTCAATTGTTGTTACACGAAATATGCGTTAGAGAAAAAGTGAAAGCTCTGTACTAGAAAAAAAGGTCAAAGACCAATCGATCCTTTAATTTCGGCTTTATTTTAAGTGGACGCATAAGTTAATTAAAGGTTCATTCATCTCACAACTTAACACGAATCATATTCCCAGAAAGCGTAAGCAAAAAATAATGAAACAAACGATTCAAAATTAAAATTTTATTCAATTATTGATTAAGTTTTTATCCATTAAAGCCTTAACCTCGGGAAATCGTAAATAAAACTTCCGGAATTAGAAATAATCAGACAATTGGAATTTTTCAAGACAAAAAGTCATTAATTTCTTTCATGATAATTAATGTAAATTCCCTCGAAAAGATTCGTTCATTTTCCATAGAATTTAATTTATTTTCCAAGAAAAAGCTGTGAGTGTTGTCTTCGAATAAAGCTTTTCTTTGCAAAGTTTCTCAATACGAAACTCCTGAACTGACTCGTTAAAATTTCTTCGCTTTCATTTTCACTTTCTTTATGTCGTCATTTCGCATGTCAGGCGATCGTATTATTTAAAAGGATAGAAACAACCCGCAATCATAAGAAACGAATACGTTTCTAATTCGCGACCTGCTGATCCTAGATTCATGATAAGCAACCTAACAAAGCTCATAATGGTGCTAAGACGAAATATGTAAATTCCTTTCCACCACAAAAAAAATTCTTACATTTATTAAGCTTTTGCTTTTGTTGTTGTCGTCTGTTGCTTTGGAGCTTATTCCACTTGAGCTTTTAGTTCAAGTCAAACGATGTACATTTATAAAAATTTATTGTCCACGTTTATTAAGAAAAATCAATACTGAAAAATTATTGGACACGATATATCGGTCAGTAACCTGAAATGAATCTTCCTCGTTTGTTTGTTAGCATATATGTTTATGAAGCATAAAATGTTCACACTCGTAAATCACATAAAGGGGGAAAATGTCGGAATACAAATACTTATATTTCTCTGAATTAATATAATTGAACATTAAACATAGTTAATGTTGGATGGAAGAATTATCTAGATAAGGAATTTCTAATATTTTATGTTCTCATCCCATAAATTAAGGCAATGACATTTGCACCTCATAAACGCACACCTGCGATCAATGTGTGATCAACATGTTCAATAGAAAATATTTAGGGGAGTTCTCACCCTAACAATACGTTTGATTCTTTTAATAACTTTGTCATTAATGACAATTCCAGGTAGAAATCAAGCAATCTTATAAAATAATAGTCGAACGGATATCGAAGTTAAATCGCTGTAAAAAGAAAAGACATTTGATAAGAAATTGGAACAAATTTCGTCCAAATTACATAGTTTTAAAGAATTTCTTGACCGAATGCTTAACCGGATTATCTAAATCGCTTGTGAATAATGTCGACGGGGGTGAATTCCTTTGAAGTTTGTGATAACTAAGAACTTGGTTGACTTGAAGTCAAGTAACTTTATTCAACAATATTAAACTTAGTTGAAGAAACACCTGGTCAACCTTAAACTCTTTGTGGAATACTAGCAAAGACCATAAGAAACTCTTGACAATAATTCTAATTAAATGGAAATAACTTTCTTGCTCTACTTCTATGTCCTGATTTCAGGATAAAGTTTTCTTTGTTCTTAAAAAATCGATGGCACCAAATTTAAAGCAGAAATTTTCCCTGACCTCCTTTACCTTCGTTATATGATTTAAATTGTCGTGGTTTTAATGAAACCTAAAAAGCTTCCATTAGTCAACTTTCTTAGATACCGATTATTCATTTATCTAATTGATTCAACGAAGTTCGAGTCCGTGTTTGACTAGTGAATTCAATTCTTCTTTCATGACATCATTCAACTAATTTTCATGACCATTTCGGTATTTCCAGACATCATTAAATGTCATGATGTAGGATTGATAAAAAAAAGTTGGTAGAGCGTGAAGAAAACTCTATGATTATGTGACATAACATGAATCACTTAAAAGAATTCTCATTACCTAGGTCGGAAGCATCAAAACGGCCACTATTTTTCATCACGAAGTCATTAAATTGCTTATGGTGCAAAAATATTTCAACATGTTTGTTTTTCAAGAAACTTACTTCGCTCATATGATCGCCAAAGTAAACCACAAATCAGAAAGAAGCAAATATAGAAAATGTTTGTTTGCATTTATGTTTGTTGCTTATGAATATTTAATTATTTTCCTTTTCTGATGTTTGACTTCTCTAAGTAAGAGCGAGAAAGGAGAAGGAGAAACTTATTCGTCCTTTTTCGTTTCCAACATGCAAATGACCAGCACGTTACAAGCCACGAAACATATTACAAGCTTTTACTGTGACTATTGGACTTTAGTTTTATTTCAGCAGTGAATCGAAGCAGTTTGGAAATTTGGAAAGTGAAAGAATAATTTGGAGAAAAGTGAAGTCACTTGACTTGATTAATTGAAAAACCTTGAGCGAGAAAGCTTAATTACATTTCTATTGATAAATTACAGAAGATAAATTATAAAATATTTCATCATGCAACTTTCGGATATCTCCAAATCTCTTATAAAATATTGCCTGTTTCTTTTCAATCTTTTATTTTTGGTAAGATTTATTGAATCACATAAAATGTTTCATAAAACAACTTTAAGATTGTTTGGAATTTTTAACTCTCAAACTTTCTTGAAAGCTTTTTTTTCATATTTCTTAAACTTTAACTTGAAAGAATTTCAAGAATGCAAAGCTTTAATAATCGTGACTAAAATAATTATAAAAGTATGAAAACTTTCACTCCTTTAATGATCGACAGTAATTCAAAGTGCACATTTGGCATAAAGAGTGGACTTGGCTTTCTTTGATTTGCAATCTTATCGTGTCCTAAAATCTTTAAGAAGAAAATTGGGTTAAATGAGAAATTATGAATAAGAATTACAACGTATTATAAGTTGTGGTGTTCACTCGGAATGTCTCAAATCGATTTTCCTTTTCCGTACGCCTTCCTTTCTTGACCGCTTATTGCTTCGAATTGCTTCATAGCTCTAATTTACTGACCAATGAAAGGAAATAAATATTCCTAATTTCCATGGATTTTTCATTCATTTTTGTGTCGATTTTCTAATTATATTTTCTGTGTCGTGAAGAAGTTTTCAATTATTTTGTGTTTCTTGAAAGCTTCGAATCAATTTTCTACTTTTGTGAAAAAAGAAATTTACGAACTTCAAAACTTTTCTCAAACATTTGTTTTGAAAACAACAATTCTGCTTTATCTACAAGTCAAGTTAAGATTGTAACTTGATTTGAATAATTGATTAAGTAATTATTGGAATTAATGGGAGGATACATTTATTACTGTTCACTATGCTATTTGACAGCTAAAACAAAGAAATAATTGACAGAGAAATTATTGAATAATTCAGTTATGATTATTAACACTTTGACAAGATGTGAGTAATTATGTGTAACGACATTACTTCCATTGTCTTTTATAATAACTCTCGAACTGAATTTCTTATGAATTTTGAGTCAGTTCCTTAGTTAGCTTTATAGTCATAAAATGTATGCAATTTTAGTGCTCATGCCATTAATTACTGTAAAAAATCATTTTTAAAAACATCTTTAAATATTTTTACCTTAATAACTTTCTTTATGTAGATTTCTGGCTTGGGATTATTAATAGCCGGAATCGTCGTTCTTAATGATGTTGAGGACTTCAATCATTTTCTTGATGGTCGTATAACAGCACCGCCAATTCTTTTGATCATTACTGGATGTCTAATTTTCTTGATTGCTTTCCTCGGCTGTTATGGAGCTTTGAAGGAGTCGCCATCGTTGTTGATGACTGTAAGTGAAAGAAAATTAAAATTTTTAAGATAATTTATTTGACAGAAATATTTCTTTAGTTTGCTGTTTTGTTGGGAATAATTTTCATCATTGAGATTGCAGTTGGAATTGCTGCCATCACTTTCAAGAATGATTTACGTGATATACTCAACAACCAACTGCAAAAATCTATGAGTCGTCAAAGCAAGGTAAGTCAAAGATAATAAGTTTTCATTATGATGTTCACAATTTAACGTTATAGGAGGATATGATGGCATGGGACACTATTCAGAGGAAAATGATGTGTTGTGGCATCGATGGACCGAGAAATTGGTTTGATATCAACAACGGTAACGCATCAGCCATTCCGCCAAGTTGTTGTCGGCCACAATATATTGACCGAGATACAATGAATTGCCTGAATGCAGCCCCATTGTACATGGATCGAATGTATCAGGTAAAGCTGCTATTAGTTCAGTTAAATATTGTGCAGAAATGAAATAAAATATATTTTAGGATGGTTGCGTAGCAAAAGTTCATGATCGTGTCGCTTCTAACGCAAAGATTTTGATTGGCGTTGGTATAGGTAGGAAATCAAATATGAAAATCATTCAATTCAAGATTAAATCAGAAAACATTTCTTACAGGTATTGCATTCATTCAAATCATGGGAATTGCTTTGGCTTGTTGGTTGGCATCGGCTATAAAGAAAGAAACTTAATTTGAATAATTATGAAAAAAGTATAAAAGTTTTCCAACACACTTCAAATTAAAGAAAGTAAAAATTAAATTTTATGTTTAAAAGAATTAAAAAAGAAACTGAACCTCATTAAGATATTTAATTATTAAACTGAAAATTGAACCAATTACTCTTATTAACCTAATTGGAATTTGTCATGTTGTTCATTTTCTAAACATGATTTTGCTGCTCATGAATTAACATTGACAATTACTTTGTAGTCTATGACGCTTCGACATAATGTAATCAAATCAAATCATAATTATTTATATTGAGAATGGGAAACTCTGGAAAAGCTTTGGTCGGTTCAGTAAATGTCAACATTTAAGTATTATAAGAATGAGTTTTGTTATTTGAAGGTGATTCGAGAGTTTTTGAATATTGTCACGGTTGGTGAAAGATACAAAAAATGTAATAAAAGCAACATGAAACATTAAAATAATTTTCAGTTTATTTTTATAAGTTTTCAGGCATGCATCAAAAGATGTTGATTAATTTAGCAGCTTTCCTGTTTCTGTTTGCTCAAGTAAAACATTTAAAATTTGCGAGAAGAATTTTTTTTAATTTTAACATTCTAAAAGCTTATAAAAGGATCTGAACAACAACAACAACCCCAACAACAGAAACCACCAACAGAACTTCAAAAGCAACTTGGACTGCTACAAATGCAATTGGGACAATTTATTCAAATGATTTCAAATTTATTGAAACAATTAACAGGAATGGATTTGAATGTAAATGCAACTAAATGTTGACAGGGGAATATTTTAAGACATCATTTTATTTCAGACAATTATTATGCTTTTTCCAGGAAAAGCAGAAGCATTCCAAGGATTTCAAAAAGCCCTTGGAGCTTTATTTACAACCTTAGGACAATTAGGATGATCTCTAGACATGATTTTTAATTAATTTTAAGTAATAAACTTAATTTAAACAAGTTTAATTTAGGTTGTCGTTTACTTATTTAATTCTTGGCTATCTATGAATATTGACAGAAGCAAAAATTCTTCCCATTTACAATCATCGATGTTATAACAGTTCTACTTAAATCGCAATAAACAAAGTAATTTTTTCTTACAAAAAATCCCAGATTTCTACAATATCTTTGGATTAATCAAAATTTTAGTGAATTTCAGAAATAAAATATTAAAATTTTATCAAAATGCCAAATCGAAAAGGTAGAAAAATTATCTATAAATATTTATATGAAAATAAAAGCTAGAAATTTAATTTAAATACAAATTTTTCAGGCCCAGGTCCAGCAGATTACATGATGAAAACTTTAGTTGGCTTTAATAATCACGACTTTAACAGTAAGAAGCCTCGTGGACCACAATATTCTATGAGTCCAAGAAATCCGATAGAATTGGAGAATAAATCTCCGGGACCAGCAACTGTAGATATTAAAAAATTAACCAGAGTAGGTACACCATCAAATCAAACCATTAGTATGCGTCAAAAAACTAAGGATTTGAGTAAATTAGTTATTTAGAATGAAAGAAATTCTTTTCTAATTTATCTTCATTTCTAGAATTTGATATGAATCCGGGTCCAACCCATGATGCAGTAGACACAGGGATTTATAAATCAAGGCTTCAACCGAAATATAGCATATCAACACGAACAAAATCTTTACAACTTGATTCTGGCCCGGCTCCCAATTATGAACCGACATCAGTGAATGTTTTCAAAAATCGTGCTCCTGCATTTCCAATGTTTTCGAGAACCAAAGGAATTGGACTTGATAACACACCACCACCTCGAGGAGCTGAAGTCAAATCTAAATTTGTGAACCAAGCACCTAATTATAGTCACCGTTGGAGATATAAAGATATAACCAGAGACCAAAACCCTGGACCTGCAGCATATAATCTGTCAAATTACAATCCATTTGCGACAGCAAATCCGCAAACAATTCAGAGAAAATACGCTGAAAATCCAGAAGTTCTTGTTCTCCCTGTTGATAAATGTTAATGTTATGCACAATTTAACCACACAATTATTTTTGAAACTTTATAATTTCCGCTAGATGCCGGTAGTACAGAATTTCACTTGATCTCTTAAATACACGTCACGCCGCTAAGCGGAGAAAATCTTAACTACAAAATTTATTAATTTTTACGAGTAAATACCAAAAGTTTACTTTTATTTCATATAGACCTGTTCTTTTAATCAGCAAAGTATATTGTTTTTGTAAATAAAGTGTTATATTACGAGAGTGAATAAATGAAAAGTGTGGAAATGCGTGAAAAAGGTGAAAATTTTGCTAAAATAAATTTCGATATCGCATAAAAAACATTGTAATTAGTCTCAAAGAAAAAAAGAAAAAGCTGATTTATAAATTCATGAGACATCATTTTAAAGATTCACTATCTCTTGAATCTTAATATCGATTAGCAAAATTAAACATATTTCACGTGAAGGTCATCCCATACGGATTTGGCATGTAAAACTCGAGTCTGATGACTAAACACTCGACTAAACAAACATTTCTCGATGAACGCGATGAAAATTAAAGTTGTTGGCATATTTGTAAATTTTCATTTAATTTTATGCACTTTAAATTGACTTCAACCTTCAAACACTCATCATTTACGTCTAGAATGAGTGAAAAAAATTAAGGTGTGTTGCTCGTGAATATTTAGATCGCGTCGACAAGAGAAAATTCCAAAGATATTTCCCATTCAAAGAACATCTTGAAGGGCAAGCGAAAAAAGATCTGAAATCCGGTTGTCTCTCCGCTATGAGAAACCAGCAAGGAAGGATTAAAAATTTGTAGTTGGAATGGCATTTGTGAATGAATAAAAATTGTACAAACTCAATTTTTAACGTGAAAATATCTACGATACAACTTATCTGGATACACATACGATGACCGAAACCAGAAAAAAATCCATTGAAGTGAATGTGCTGAAGAGAAAAACAACAACAATATTTTACGTATCGAATATACGCATGTTCCCGATTTCTGGGCGCGCTTTCCATCATTTGTTGCCTTAAATTCGCTTGTGATTTTCAAAAGTTATAAATTGACAGCAAATGTGTCGAGTGATGCATTTTAAGTGTAGGTGTTTTGATTCATTCTGAATTTAAAAGGAAAATTAATCAAGAGACGACTGCTTTCGTATGCAAGGTGCAATCATGTAACTTTTGCATGTGTGTGAAAATGATATAAAAAAACTTTATAAAGAAGAAGTGAATGAGCGAGCTGACGTTTAAAAGTTGCAACATTTTCCCAAAAATAAAAATTTCTTTCGAAAGTCGACGTAAACTTCCTTTTAAAGTGTTTCTTTGTATCATAACTTGCAAATCCAGATGGAAGTTGTTCCGCAACTATGGATATGAAAAAAAAAATAACAACAAAAAGTCGTCATTCATATGAAGAAAAATATGCAACTACTCAAATAGTAACTTTCACTTCATGTCGACTGCGCCATGCTGAAGATGAGCGTCATTCAGTCAGCGATTAATTATCGACGATAAACAGCTAATTTCAATAGTTTCTATTGAGTCATTAATGCTCAAAGCTCGCTTTTTCTTCTCACTTGTATCATAATAATACATTCAGAAGCTCTTGTGCGAATGATTTAAGTGTTAATTAAAAAGAAGTTCGTAAAAAATCCTTGAAATTCTCTTCTTCAAGTGATTCTGGATTTTTCATTGCTCTTTGTGTTGTCATGATATGGAATTTTCCCACGAGATTTACGAGAATCCCTGAAAATCGACCGAAGAATGTAAACAATCTCTGTGCTTAGTCGACATCGGATGAATGTGAAAATAGACTCATCAACTCAGGAGCGAAAAAAATGGCAACAACTCAATGGCATACAACAACAAGATCGGTATTTTAAACGCAATTCCTCGATGAGTGAACTTGTTGTTGTGAAAAACGAACGAATGAACACAAAAAAAACACAACGAAATTAAAAATTCCTATTTTTTTATTCAAGTTTTTGTAACATTGTTCAGTGGCTCATTTGCATTTCAACCAACAAACAAAAACGTTTTTTTGAGGGAAGATGAGTGAGTGACGTCATTACGATGATTCATTGGCGTTTACGGTGGTGTTCTTGTCGGTTTTGTTGTTGCTTTTGTTCGTATATGTTGAAATTGAAAGAAAGAATCACGTGATGAAAAGACAGACATAAACTGACGGATAATTCCGCTGGGAAACAATCGAGTTGATTCCATGACGTATTGCTCGAAATTAACATAAAAAAGTTTTTGTTGTGTGTTGTAACAGATAGACAAAGAGCCGCTTGTGTCGGATCAGTTACTATCAAGAAGGGAAGTCGTGTGATGAGTATTTGTGGAATGCAAACAAGATTGATGAAAGTCTTGATGTTGGAGGTTTAAAAGAATGAAAATTGATATTCAAGACATAAAAAGATTAAATTTTCTTATTATTTTTGCGGCTACGGAAAAGAAGAAAAAATTTAAAATTATTCGGAGCAAACAATCTTAATTAAAAGCAAATGAATGTAAGATTGTCAAGTATTTTGTCGAGACTTCCAAATGCAGTGTTTATATTTACTTTTTAACAACTTGACGTGATGACTCATTAAGAACTTTATAAGATTTTGTTGTTTTCATTGACTTCATAAAGTTCATAAAAGTTTACTTTGTTGCGGCAATAATCACATCAAGTTTAACAATTTGAAACTTTAAATAGCGGAACCTAAATAAGTTTCAAATTTCATTCTTTTCAATTCAATATTCAACTCCATTTATGTCAACATTTCAAGTAACTTTTGTTGATGAATTTTTTTCGCAGAAATTATTTGAAATTCGATAATGGATCATTTTTATTGCTTCTTGTTTAACTCATTCTTTCCCTTTATTCTCATTTATAGGTTTATAAATCCGTTTATGTGACGAAAAGAAACGAAAACAAGGAAATTAAATTCTTTCGCACGGGTTTAAGTGAAAAAAAATTGCATTGAAAGAAAGAAAAGTCGGAAAGACAAAATCAAAAGAAGGCAAATTAATTCGCTCTTCAATTTTGGAGCTTTTAAGTGGGGGAGTGAAAGGCGGTGGGCACTAAATAATGAACAGTAACACCGCCGCATTGCAAACAGGTCATCATCATCACCATCATCAAACGACATCATCAAACAACTCAAGTCAACAATATCATCATCCAAGTACAGTCACAAGTCAGCAACAACAAACAAAGCCAGCAGTTAATCCCAATCCAAGTGTTCATCGTTACAATAGTCTTAATGAGAATCCTTGGCTGCTGCAATCACAAATCCCACAACAAGGACCAACACCACCTTTGAGACAACATAAACGGCCAGCACCAACGCCACCTTCGTCATCATCTGGCACATCGTCACAGTCACACTTAACGCAAAAGCCAAACATTCAGTTGACCGTCAGCAGCAGCAGTCCTTACAATCAACCGATTCATAGCTTCACAAGCAGCTCAGCACAAACACAAACCACCCCGGGCTTGGCACCAACTACTGTCATCCATCAACAACATTCGCCGAAATCACCAAATCAAAATTTTCTTCAACAACCTGTAAGTGGAAATTTAATGTCAACATCATTGAACAGTGGAAGTGCTTCAAACATGGTCAATAGTCATCATCACTTGCCATCGCAATCACATCAACAACAACAGCAGCAGCAACCACTTACAACATCACTACATCATTCAACATCGAGTAGTCTAAGCAATAATAATAATAATAATAATAACAATAACAATAATAATAATAATTTCGATGACTTAAATCTAAATAATGGATCGTCTTCCATCAGCGGTGCCAGTACATCACATCAAAAGAAACTTGAAATGAAATTGAATGCAATGCCGTAAGTTGTGTTTCTTTGTTACATTTAAAGAAACAAAAAAATGATTTTTCAAATTTTTATTTTCCATTTCAGATGGTTTCACGGAAGCATAACGCGCGACGAAGCTGAACATCTTTTACAGCCACGCGATGAAGGACTTTTTTTAGTTAGAGAATCAACAAATTATCCTGGCGATTATACGCTTTGTGTGTGCTTTCAAGGAAAAGTTGAACATTATCGTGTGAAATATTTGGATAAGAAGTTGACAATTGATGATGAAGAATATTTTGAGAATTTAAATCAACTTGTAGCACATTATGAGCGTGATGCTGATGGTTTATGTACGCAACTTATGAAACCATTAGAGAAAAGTCATGGCGGTGGTTTTGTGATGAATTCAACTGATTTTATAGCTCAGGGTTGGATTATTCAAGAACAGGATTTACAGTTGAAGGAAAGTATTGGAAAAGGAGAATTTGGTGATGTGATGTTGGGATATTATAATGGTGATCGTGTTGCGGTTAAAATGCTTAAAGATTCAACAGCAGCAGCTCAGAAATTTCTTGCTGAAGCTTCAGTCATGGCGTAAGTTTTTCTGTTCTTTCTTCTTTTTTTAAAAATTTTAATTTTCTTTTTCCTTTTATCAGTGCACTTGAGCATAAGAATCTCGTAAAATTTCTTGGGCTTGTGCTCAATAAGCAGCATATTTATCTTGTCACAGAATACATGAGTAAAGGCTCGTTAGTCGATTATCTTAGATCACGTGGTCGTCAGCATATCACGAGAAAAGATCAAATCAACTTTGCGAGGTGAGATTTTAATTAAATGATTAAAGTTTAATCTTCAACTGTTAACTTTTCTTTTCTTCATTAGTGATACATGTGCTGGAATGGAGTATCTTGAAGCAAAGAAAGTTGTTCATCGTGATCTTGCAGCAAGGTAAGCTTTAAACTTTCAATTATCTCTCTAATAATTATTAAGTAAAATAAACCTCCATCTGATATCATATTTTTATTAAACAAATATTTACTTAAAGTTGACAATTAGAAACTCAAACGCTCTAGAAACAAACTCGAAACATTTATTTCCTTGACTTCCCTCGAACTTTAATAAAATCTTCGTTGTTTTCAGAATAATTGATTTCATTATTCTGAAAGCAAATATTTACGCAACTTAATCTTAAAAGATGATGACGATGGATCTTCAATTAAGCTTTCAACATTTGCAGAGAACTTTTTTCTTCAATTTGATGATTTCATTTATAAACAATTTTAGGAACGTACTTATTTCGGAAGACTGTATTGCAAAAGTTGCGGACTTTGGTCTTGCTCGTGAAGAATGTTATTACAGTACAGACATGGGAAAGCTTCCAATAAAATGGACGGCACCAGAAGCGCTTAAAAGTGGTGTAAGTAAAGTCAAAAAATCTTTAAATGAATCTCAAATAAATGTGAGTTTGTTCAAATAATCTTTTAGCGATTCTCAAACAAGAGTGACATTTGGAGTTTTGGTATTTTACTTTGGGAAATTTATTCATTTGGTCGTGTTCCATATCCTCGAATTGTAAGTATCAACTTGAAAATGAATAAAATTTAAATGTTTGTTCATATAAATATTTAAAATTATTTATTTAGCCTCTTGCTGAAGTCACAAAACATGTTGAAATGGGTTATAAAATGGAAGCACCTGAAGGTTGTCCCACCGAAATCTACGACATGATGCGTCAAGCGTGGGATCTTAATCCAGTCAAACGACCAACGTTTCACGAATTGTCAGTTCAACTACAACATTTGAAGTCAATAACGACGTAAAAGTGACAGAATGTGTGTGTAGTAGTCTTAAGAGTAGAAAACGTTGCTAAATATTTAAAACAAGAAAAAATTAATTAAACTTCCTTTTTTAACTTTTTTGATCTTTCAAGCGGGGATTTGTTTTTTATGAAATGTTGAAGAGAATCTTCGAATTATCTTATGATCACTTGCATTTATAATTTTATCTCCTGATCTTACTAATTTCTTTTGTAAATCTTCCAGATTCCTTAATGAAACGATTTCCGTCTCATAATTTAATTTTCACAAATATTTTAATTTATTTTTATTTTGAGTCGTGTTGGAGCGCTCGATAATTGATAGTTGAGTTTTGAAAGACATGAGTTGTTTGAATTCCATTAAGTTCATGAAGATAAAACTTTCACATAAATTTTATTAAAAAAAATAAAGGAAAAAAATGAAAATATCATTGAAGATCATTTAAGACATGAGGAAATTTTCAATGTCAGAAAAGAATTTTAATTTAATTAGATTTAAAAGGAAACCTCAAGGAAATTGAAGAGAAATCAACCACTATGTAGACCAATATTAATCAATGATGAAAGTGAACTTTAAATTAAGTAGAAATACCTACAAAAGAACTTGAATTTTGATGAAAGCAAGAAAAGTTGAAGTGCTGTTAAGAATAAAGCTGTTGCTTGTTTTATTGTCAAAGTCATCTGTTGCATAATTAAAGTTAATGCATGAAATTTCCTCAAAAATATTCAGATGATAATAAATTGATATGAAATCCTTTTAAATATCCAAGGAATTAAAGAAAAGTTTAATTAAAAATTGATTCGTAGGTATAACTGTGCAATTTTAGGAAACGGAAAATGTTATTTCTTTTTATAACTTTGTGTAAAAATAATTTTTTAAATCTAAATTTCCATGAAGTTTTTCAAAAAAAAGAAGTGAAATATAATCGGATAAGTTTTTTTTTATTTTCTAATTCCTGATAAGTTTATTTGTGTACATAGTTAAACTAATCTGGTTATGTATAATTTAAGATGGAAGAAATTAAACAACTTTTATTTGAAAAAGAATTAAGGAAATTCATTTATTTAGAAATTTTAAAATTTATTTAATCCTTTAAACTGTTGATAACAGTGTGGAAAATTTTTCTAATGTGGTCACGTATTGACATTGGATAAAAGTCCCACGAGGGTATTTATTTGTCTGAATTGAACCTTTTTTTAATCGAAATAGTTTCCTGAATCCTAAAAATAATAGTTACATAGATACATACATCAAGACAGTAAATTAATCTTCTCCCGAATGAATTACTTGAAATATTTAACTGATGATGCTGAAAATCATGTACCTACTACTTAACTAACAGAAAATTAAACAAAAAAAGTTGTTGTATGAACTTAAATGTTCTCCACTAAAAATTAAAACATGATAAGTTGTAGATTAAACAACATTAGAACTCATTTATGCAGACAACATAAAACATAAAATTATTCTAATGATTGATGATGAATTTTGATTCAAATTCCAAATATATTCGATAAACTAAAACATTTTGTTTTCTTATTTCTATGCATTTCAGAATTCACTTAATTTATTATTATTTCACTCATCTTTTAAAAGATGAAGGGAAATGAAATAATCAACATTGAAGGAAATTTTCAAAACACATTTAACTAACTGTCAAATATATTTTAAAATGTTCTACTTCGAATAATTCGAATATTCGAAGCCTGTTTTCGAAATCATCCGAATCAAAACAAAACAATCCAAAATTAGGATATGAAAGTTTCAAAGCTGTGTCGAGTTTGTTTTAAAAAAAGTGATGGAAGTGTCAATATATTTGAAAAAGAGCCACACAAATTATCTGCTGCTAAGATGCTTGAAGAAATATGTGGAGTAAAGGTAGATTACCAGAACATGAATTTTAATTAAAATGTTTACACTTAGATTATAATTTTTCGTTTTTTAACAGATATCAAAGAAAGATTTGCTTTCACAAATAATATGCAACCAATGTTTGATCGAGACAAAAATAACTTATTGTGTACGACAACGATGCATTGAATCAGATAAACGTCAGCGATCGTCTAACACAATGGTCAGAAATAAACATATCGTTAAGGAACAAATTAGTGAAAAATCAACCCGTAAAATCAAATTATCAGATAACGATGATGAGAACAGCTCCTCTCTTGATGATCACAATGACTACTCGTCAGAACTTACAGATCCAAGCGAGGAGAAGGAAGCTTTTCCAGTAAGAGACAAATGTCAAAATCCAGCAAAAGAAAAATTTCCATTAAGCAGCGAGACTGAATTTGAAAATCAATCTGAACTTACTTACGCTAATGAAAAAGATATACCAGAAGAAGTCAAAATTAGTAAAAAGAAATTACGTTATCCTGATCCTTTTATAAACGAAAGAAATGAATTTATTTGCGTTATTTGTTATGCCATATTAAAATCTTGGCAGTCATGGAACGCTCATCATTATCAAAAGCATTCTAAGAAAACTTGTGGTGTGTGCACTTTCGAATGTGTGACCTTTCAAAATTTAAAAGAACATTACGAAAATTGCCACATGAAAGGAAAATTTTTAAGTTGTCCAATATGCGGTAAAGGATTTCGTTCAAGACATGGATTAATCGGGCATTATAATTGTCATAAAAGTACTTCGTGTAATATCAAGGAGGAAACAATTTCAAGTGAAACAAATGCTGAAGTTGCTTCCAAACAAAACTGTCATGATGAAACCATCAAATCCGTTAATTATGCAGATCAGTTAGTTGAAAAAGTTGATATTAAGGAAAATAGTGACGATGATTGGGATCAAAATATTCCGAATTATGAAAGTGACAGCAGCAGTGATCATAAAATTGTGGAAACAATAACAAAACCATCAAATGATTCTCAAAATGTCGTTAAGAAAGAAGATGATTTTGAATGGGATGATTTGACCGTCACTGAGGAAGTTAATGACAAATTTATTAAAGATTTCATTCCTGTGAAAAGAACTGGAACAAGAACTATCTCAATAATGTGTTTCATTTGTCAGGAAAGTTTTCCATCGAAGTTAGATAAACAAAGACACGTCACGCTCAATCATCCACCGAATATTCAATGTTCTGTTTGTGGAAAGACATTCAAACAAGCACGTAAATATGAAAGACATATGGAAATTCATATCTGTGGTGATTACAATTGGACAATGAAACATTCATGTGATATTTGTAATTTTTCGTCCTCCAAAACTGACATAGAATGTCACATGTTCAATCGACATCTTCGAATTAAATTCCATCCTTGTGATATATGCGGCAACAGTTTTCAGAATTCAACATTATTGAGACAACACATGTTTACAAATCATGATACACAACCGACATACATTTGCAGTAAATGTGGACAAGGATTTGCAATGCAAGCAAGTCTTAAACATCATAGAAATAAAAATTGTTTAAAGACATCAAAGAGAGGTGGTCGACTCAATGCATTAGGCTCTAGCAATAACTTTCCACAGCCAGAGATAAACTCAAATGGTGCGTTCCAATGTCCTGATTGTCCAAAAGAATATTTCATTAAAAGTAGCTGGTATCATCATTATCGATCAAATCATCGAATGATGGGCTATAAATGTCGATTTTGTGAACAAGAATTTACTCATCGTTATAATCTCAAGAAACATTTAAAAGAAATTCATGGACAACAAGAAGATCACGTTTGTCATATTTGTGGGAAGAAATATTTGACGGCTGATGGATTGAATCTTCACATGAGATATACTCATGAGCCGCATATGAACGATTCAAAAAACTCGCTTAAAGTTAATAAATGTCGGAAATGTTGTAAAAGTTTTCCATCAGTTGAAAGTCTTCAACAACATAAAAATGAATTTCATCCTAAAGTATTAAAAGAGAAATGCTACATTTGTTTACTTGCTCTACCATCGGTTTTTGCAAAAGTAAAGCATATAAATCGAGAGCATAGTGATTGTGTTAACAAAGAATGTGCAAAGTGTGGTCAAAAGAAGTTTTCAACAGCTTCAAGATTTGAGATTCATATGAGAAAGCATGAAGTTGGCAAGACTGAAATTTGCAAGTATTGCAACAAGAAATTTTCAGTTCCAAGAACTCTTGCAAGTCATATTAATTCAAAACATAAAGGAAAGAAACTATTTAAATGTGAGATTTGTGGAGATTCTATCAGCTCAACTGATATGGCTCGTCATTTAGCGAAACATAAATATTCGAATGAAAATTTTAATTGCAGTAAATGTAAAAATTCTTTTTATAGTAAAATACTTTTTGATAGGCATATGGTTAGAGTGCATGGATCTCATCCAGGTGTAGAGTGTTTTCATTGCGGAACATTCTTCAAAACGAAACCTAACATCGTAACGCATTTCAGGCAAAAACATTGTAAAATATTTAAAGATAAAGAATAATGAAAGAAGCATGAAAAATTGTCACAATCCCGTTAAATGTTTTGCATGAAATCTGAAATAAATTTATTCTCGCCATCCAGAAAATAAAAATCTCATTAATTGGTTTCCTTAAAAACTTTTACTCTTACAAATACAATTTTTTATCTTCAACAATGCTCGATAATATGAAGGGATTCGAATATATTTATGATTTTTGTATTTTGAACATTGAGATATTTAGTGGTAATTATGTATTTATGTATGATCATTGACTTGAACCAAGAATTGGATTACAATAATGAATTAGCCTTAGTTCTTGTCAGTTTGAAGCATTCGATTTGTTTCGTTCGGAACGCTTTCATTCTTATGCAGATGATCATTGTCTGGGTTGTCCCATTCCTGTCTTTCTCCCGATCCAAAGAATATGTAGAATGTTGCACATATAACATAAACAGCTGAAGCTATGAAGAACACAATCTGCAAGAAATAAAGTCTTAATGAGTATCGAGAATATGAAAATTTATCTTTTAATTTACCTGCCATTGCGCAATTGTTGGCTGTAGATAAGAAATATGAAATTAGTTCAAGTGAAGTTTAGAATTATCTAACAAGTATTCAACTTACGTTTCCATCGATTAAATAACCAGCAGTTATTGGTGCCAATAAACCAGCCAAACTGTAATTGTGAAAAACATTTTTCTTGATAAGAAAATTCAATGCTGCATGAAACGAAAACTTACTTTGCTGAACAATTACTAATTGCCATTAAAATTCCAGCAAATCTTGGTGAAATGTCAAGATGATTTATCTATTAAAAGGAAGAATTCAAAAGTTGTATATGAAAAATCTTTTTCTTTTAATAAAACTCACCTTAAAACCACTATAAATGCCACCGTTCAGACTTATTCCGACAGTCAATAAGAAAACTGTCAAAACTCTATTGCAACCAGTAAATGAAACTGCTGCCAAACATATTGCTGGGCCAAACTGACCAATAACATTGAAAATCTTTCTTGTAACAGTTATGCTGGCTTTTTCAGTGCTAATAAGCCAGTCAGCTATCATTGACAGAAGAATTGAAGCGATCCACATGCCAAGATAAGGAACTGATGAAAGGAAGCCATTCTGTATTTGAAAGATGTTTTAATTAGTTTATTGAAAATTTTATTTTAAGATTTCTTACTTCTTTGATTGAGAATCTTAGAACTTGTTTCATGTAGGTCGGTAATTCGGTCATCAAGAATTCATATCCATAGTTTTGAGCCATCTTAGAATATTTTGAATTTTAGTTTAAAAGAAATTTTCATAAAGCTAAATATTCCAACTTACATGTGCAAATAAAATAGCATAGAACGGCATTGACTTGGCTATAGATTTCCATGGAATTGTTGGTGACTTATCTGTTGTTCCATTACCCCAAAGTGCTTGATTGATGTATTTCTTCTCTTCAATTTTCATCTTAGGATTTGATGTTGGATCTTCATAAACTGTCCACAAAAATGCAAGACTCCAAACAACACCAATAAATCCAAAAACGTAGAAAATTGATGGCCATGAATGTTCAGCCAATAATCCTGATATGGGCATTGAGATAATTGTTCCAAACTGTATTGATGAAATGAAAGTTATTGGAATTTATGATTTTTGGATGATTTCATGTAATTATTTACCTGTGCACCTGCATACACAATCGCACCCATTCTAGATCTAATGAAGATATGAAGAAATATTATCAAGAGAAAGTTTAACTTTATTAAAAAAACATTACCTTTCCTGAGGTGGAATCCATTTAGCAAGTAATGCATGAGTACATGGAACAATTGGACCTTCTCCTAACCCTTGAATGAATCTTACAATGATCAACCAACCGACTCCCCACTGTAAACAATATCAGCGATTATTTTTATTCAATCATTTTCATTTTTCATCTTACATGTGCTGAGATTGGAACCAAAAATCCGAAAACGGAATTAATAAACATTCCCCATCCTAAAAATCCTAATGATCCATACTTTTTAGCTAAAATACCAAAAGGGATCTGTGGAATAAAATTTATAGAAATGATCAGATAAGATATGAAATTATTTTATCGAACATTTTGTATTTAAAAATATTTTTTCGAAAATATTTCGAACTTAATTTGTAAACATTGAATTTTTATAAAAATATGACTGATTCAATAATTTGTCGTGTTTGCTTGGAAAATTGTGAGAAAACATCTCCAATATTTGATGAAAGTAAGAATGGACTGTCACTCGCTATGATGCTGATGGAAATTGGAGGGGTCGAGGTAACTTTTGCAATAAATTGGTTAAAACTCTCTCACTTTCAGTGATTATTTTAAGTCGTTCTTATTTTCATTAACAGGTATCCATCCACGACAGCCTTTCAAAAAATATATGTGAAGGATGTTCAAAAGAAATGATGATAGGACATGGACTAAGAATGCGATTTTTAAACTCAAATCAACATTTAAAGAGAGGGACGTCAAAGTTAACAAAAGATTTGCAAAGAAATGTGATTCCAGTCGTGAAATTATCAAGGATTGATCAAATCAAACTAATGATCAAAGAAGAGGTTACAGATTATAATTTGATAACATTTGTAGAACCCGAAAAAGGACTATTCATCGATGAAAATGATTACGTTAAAACTGAATTGGAGGAATCAAAAGAAGTGAACATTTTAGATAAAAACATTTCTGAAAATACTTCATCTAATTTATTAAAGGTAGTTATAAAAAGGAACAACAAATTTGTGTGTATGATTTGTGACTCTTGTCACAATTCTTGGAATCTTTGGCATAAACACTACTCAAAATCGCATAGCGAAATGCCAAACGTCTGCAAAGTATGTCAAGCTTCTTATAAAGATAAGTCTGAACTTAATCAGCATTATAAAAGTAGACACATGATTGGAGATACATTTATTTGCTCTATTTGTAATTTGAGGTTTCAAAGAAAATCGGAATTGTTTGAACATCAAGAGAAGCATGTCGATGACAATAATTCACTTGGAAATTCTAATAATGAAACAGGATTTGAATGTGTCAAACATGAAACAGATGTGACAGAGAATAATTTAATTAAAAATTCTCCTAAATATGACGATATTGAATTGAAAGAGAATTTTGATGATTCTCGATCAAATATTTCTGATCACGAAGATTCAAATTGGATCTCAGATACAAGCAACGATATTAAGACTGAAGAGAAGAAAAATGTATTGAAGAAACGTGACGATGGCCCTTTGATATGTTACATTTGCTTTAAATATTTCAATTCATATTTTACAAAAAAGTCTCATTTAGAAAAATCTCATCAGGAGTGTACAAAATGTCAAATCTGTCCTCAAATCAAATTCAAAGATGTTTGTCATTATGAAAATCATATGAGGATTCACGCAGAGGGAGATTCAAAAAATGCAACAAAATCATGTGATTTATGTAAATATTCTTCTAAAGAGAAATATTGTCTTATGAAACACATGAAAGCTGTTCATTTGAAGATTAAATCTTATAAATGTGAACAATGCGATGCATCATTTCGTTATGAATCAGATTATAAACAACACAAGTTTGGACTTCACAAAGCTCTTCCAGCAAGATTCACTTGCGATAAATGCGACCAAGGTTTCATATTTAAATCCAAATATAGCAGACATTTAGAGAAATGTCATAAAAACCCTTCCGTTGTTAATAAACTTAACTTCCCTGAACCAAAAAAGACTGACGAAGGAGGTTTCATTTGTTCAGTTTGTGGAAAAGGATTTCACAATGACACTGCTCAACGAAATAGAAGAAAGTGGTACTATCACTATCGAAATGCACATTATGAAAACTTTAATCGATGCAAGATTTGCATGAAGAAATTTAGTGAAAGGGGAAAACTTTATGAACATATGAAAGTTCATGGCATTGTGAATTTTCATGTTTGTAAAGTTTGTGGAATAAAATTCGTGACAGAGAAAAATCTTACATTGCATGTCTCAAAGGTTCATGATGGTCCTAGGAAAAGTTTTAACTGCAATGAATGTAGTGAAACATTCGATAAAAGAAATGAACTTATGAAGCATGTGAGAAAAGAACACAAAGAAGCCAAAGATATTGTGGTAGATGAAAGAATGGCCAAAGATATTTGCTACATTTGTAATCAACCATTCAAGAGTCACATTTCGAAAATTAAACATGTTGAAACTGTCCATTCTGACTTTGTTCAAAGAGATTGCAACATTTGTGAAAAGAAGAGCATAATTTCGCCGAAAGCTTACGAGATTCACATGATGGAACACGTTAAAGGAAAGAATGAAGTTTGTCAACATTGTGGACAAAGTTTTGCACTTTTTCGTCAACTTCAGTCACACAGTGCACAGAAACATGCGGAAAGTAAAATGATTCAATGTGAGATTTGTGGAGAAAACGTTCACAAATACAAATTACCAGTTCACTTAATTAAACATAATGCTTCAAAGTTTCATTGTGAGTTATGTGACAAATCATTTGCATCAAAAATGCTCTTATGGAATCATAAATTTCGTGAGCATGGCGCAGATCCGAAATTAAATTGTCGCCATTGTGGAGAAGGTTTCGTTTTAACACGTGCTTGCAAACTACACGAAGAGAAATGCAAATCGGGAATAGTTCCAAAAAGAGGAAGACCAAAGGATTCAAAAGTTCACGTTTAAATGGAATTGAATGTGATGAAGATTTCTAATGAATTGTTTTGTTAGATTAGTAATGATTTCAGATCTATTAATAATAAAAACGTAATTTACGTTCAATTACTCTCTTATCGAGTACTTTAAAAATTTAAAAACAAAAACAAGTCGAACTACGTTTTCTTGATAAAAAATTGCATTATTTCAGATTGTATCTGTTCAAAGAAGTTGCTATAATTCATCATTTAATATCAATGAGTTGACAAAGGTCATTTACATTGCAATTGGCAATTTGTCAAAGCAGCACTTGAAAAATTTATCATCCTCGTCTTTAGACTGATTGAGTGTTTACAATCAAACTTCCTTTAATTTCTTTCCAAACTTCCAAATGCAACACAATTTTAGAAATTATTCACTTTTAAATTGTGTGAAAAATATTAAAGAAACATTGCGCAATCTTTTACGGGAAGTAGCGAATAATAAAATAATAAAAGATCACAAAAGCTTCATCAAGTAGCTTTTTTATGTCAATTGCTTGTAATCTGTCAGTTGATTTTATTGTCAAAATAAATTCTTCTCACCGGTTCTAAAAAGTTTATCAAGTTTCCCACTCAAAATAAATATTCAAGAGTTGACTGAAGATGTTTGCGCACGTTCTTTTAGTGAATTATTTGTTTTGTGAATAATATCATCGCACAGTAAATATTTTGGGCTTGTCTGATTGTTAGAAACATTCGAAAAATTTTATGAATAAATTCCGTTAATGTCAATTGACCTTTCGTGATAGTAAAAATGAAAAGAAGCATTGATTAAAGCCGCTATTTTGTCGACATCAGCTGATGGTTATGGAATGTTGGAATAGAATTTATTACCTGAGTCAACACGTAGCCATAGAAAAATGACGACAGAATCCAACCCTGTTTGCTTGTCGTCCATTCAAACTCTCCGTTTTGTTGATGTTCTGAATGATTTCCATAGTCAGTGTCAGGGCATTCATTGTCGAATATCTCCGGGTCAGGATGGATTGCTGTGTGATTAACCATTGCCACTAAATTTCCAAAAATAGATTTGATTAAATTAAATAAATAAGAAATTTTTTTTCTATGCTTACCGATAGCAACAGACATATTTGTCCTCATAATGTAGGCGTTTGCCATTCCTAAAAACAGCATGAATGTAACATAATGTCTTGTTCCGAAACCTTTAGCTGAAAGCGAGGAAAAGAGTTTTGAAAATAAATTAAAAATAACACGAAACGAAGAGGAAAGTTGAAAAAACTCATCACTCAGATGAAATTGTTTAAATAAAGTATGAAGTTTAAGTAAGAATTCTTATCAATAAGTATAAATAATTTCCTTGAATGAAGAGAACAGACACAATAATGATAAGGAGAAAGTTCATTTCAACGAGCACAAGTTACAGAAAGTTGGCATAGTCGCTTAAAAATGTTCAATTACTGATCATCTAATGATCCTTGAAGTGAAGTTGATTCAATTTTATTTAATTTATTTTTCTAAAACTTTTTGTTTATTCAAAGAAAATGAAATCATTCGAATGTCATCTCTCATTTTAATTTTAAATTGAAATTTATCACGTGTCGTCAGTCGCACATTAATTTCCTTCTGAACAATTGCCGGCATTCATTTGCAAAAAAGAAATAAAGATCGAGTGTGAAAAAAATCTCAAAGCTTCAAGTTCAAGACAAAAATAAATTTGGTGATCGTAAAACTTCATCCCACGATGAGATTTGTAAATTTTTCGACAAAATGAGTGATAAAGTTTGACATTTCATTTAATAGAAATCATAAAATATTTGAGAGTTGATATAAATACATAGATTAAATATTGACGAATGCTGATAAGAAGTTTAATGACAAAAAAGGAACACGAATCGTCTATAAATCAAACGAACTCCGTATAGAGAATGTCACGCAGCTTAAAACTGTTGATAAGTGAAAACACGTTTGTTTAATCATATCTAATCCAAACATTCTACTTAACAATTTCAATGTTTGCAATGCAATTAAGAATTTGGATAACAATTTTATTCAGGGACTGAAACTAGTTTTGTAATTCTAACATCGATCAAGCAATTTTTCCAATATAAAATACAATCATTTAACTTCAAGCCCTGATTTGATGTATTAGAAAAATAAAGTAATTGAGACAACCGACGACTGACTACTTGCAGTGAAAAGGAAAATAATTGTTGAATCTTTCACTCAAGGCACTTAATTTATGACGACACATGGAAAGGCTTCTAATCATTAGAAAACAGTGCATCAATATTTATTTAACTCAACAGGTCTAACAGACGATTGCCGTCAATAATCACGTAAGCAAATAGAAACAAAACTTTCCCAGAACATCTGTAAATTATTTTTATCAACAGACGACTCATTCTCATTTCCTCTCTCATACTTGATTAAGTTTTCCATAAATTAATGTAATTATAGTTTTAATGCGTAAATTGATTAATAGAGAAACTTGAAATTCATTAACGAAAAGTTGGCAATGCACATTGCAAATTGCAATGTCGGAAATTGAAAGGGTCAATGCTTTAAGATTTCGCGCTTTACTCAAATTCGTCCGTGAATTTTACAAAAATATTTCTCTGTTCTATTTTCTTCCTCCATTTACATCAACACGAGACATCACATGTGTTTCCATAACTCATCCACGACGACAGCGGTGAGAGAAATGAACGAACAAACAAAAATAAGCGAGACGGAGGAAAAAAAATAACAAAATTCTTAAAATAATTAAAAAAATGATAAACTTTTGACTTACGAGTTGGATGATGAGCTTCATTATCAGAATTTAATCTAGTCTGCTGACTTTCGACTAAAACGTGACCATTCCGATGGTCGTTATTTTGCGATGACACCATGATGATAAATTTAAAGTTTTTTTTATACTTTAATTAAGATCTTTTATCTTTTGTTTGATTGTTACACTTTTTATTTCTTTTATCTCTGATCTTCAATCGGAATAATCTTTAATTGACGCTGTTCTCACTCACGTTTTGTCACAGATCACAATTGAAATTGCTATTAAGAAAAATTATTATCACGGCACGATGTGATTTAATGATCTGCTTTTCTCAGTCACATGTAAACATCAGAAGATATTTTCTTAATTTTTTTTTGTTGAAGAGAAAATATCACAAGAATTTAGTCGTAGAAATGGAAGTCACAACTTAAATTTCTATTTATAATCTACTAAATAATTTTTATTTTAGTTTTCTTCTTTCCACTTTCTTTGCCCCGTGCGAGCAATAAAACAACACGGTTGAAAACTGTGATTATAATGAACAATTGATTGTCTCGAGTTTCGTCTTAAACACAAGCACGGATCTGCAATTTATTTCTAGAATCAGTCATGTGAGAATCACGAAATAAATGTAGCGACTTTGTAAATCGCCCGAGACTTTGAATTGAACTCGCCAAATGTATTTTTGTTTGTTTTTCGAATGAAAAATTCCTTCGAGATGAAAAAGAGTTTGACTTTTAGATACTTTTCTTCTTGTTTTATCAACTCACGTCTGAGAAATGTTATCACTTTTTCCCTTTTCTTTATAAATTTGTTCTACGTTATATTCGAATCGAATTGATAAGATATTTTAATGAGTTTTAAACACATGTTTTTGCTTTCCAAAAATCCACGACACTCTCTCGTTCTGTTTTTCTTTATCAGTGATATCAGAATTGGAGTTTTAGGTTCTTATAAACATTAAATTTTTTCGTTAAATAACTTTATGACTTTCTCGGTTATTTCTTTTTTTCCACTTTTCACTCAACCGCAAGAAGAAAAATTAGAAAAATTTCTTATTTCTGTCTTTAGTCACTTGTTGGCTGTTGAAAGATTTCGAACGATCTGAATATGTTGCAAAGGTTTTCCTTTGAAGTAGTTTAAAAACTTCAGTATTCTCAATAAAGCAACATTCTCATTTTTTTACTCTCTTTTTTCTTATTTCAGATATTTCACTAACAAAAAAATATCTCATTGTGGTGTTTTCGTCAGGGGTTTGGAATTTATTTTCTTTACGTGAGAGCTTTTCTCAACCACCCCTCTCAAGATATTCATTTGCGCAATATTTTTGTTGTAACATAAAGAAGAATACAAACAATTTTAAATATCTTCCTTCTTTCTCTCACACATCGTTTTGTTGTGTTTAAATTTTCCTCAAGCAAATAAATAATATTTGATCCAATTTTATCATTTCTTTACGATGTAAGAAGAACTACTGCGTACAAAAGCAAGTCAACAACAACTGGCGATTAATTCTCTCAACATCGCACATTTTTTTTCTACTGCTTTCGCTCAGGGTGAATCTCCACGATATTTTTGAGAGGGAAAATTATGAATCGTAATTTCTTTGAATGAATGAAAGAAGCTGGAAATGAAGTAAATATGCGTTGCTTGTGTTTTCATTTCGATACACGATGTGAATATTTTGATTTTACATGTGCTAAAGGAAAGATGAAAAATAATTTTTCTTCAACTTTGTGAGTATAAGATCAACAGCACGTAATCCAATTAGTGTCGTCTCCTATTCTTTTAAACACTCTGCAATGACACTTTATTTTATTTGAGTAAACTATCTACTGAAACATTCAAGAGTCCATTCTAAATGATTTATTGCGTAGAACAGTTGCTGGCATTGGAAATAATTTTTTGTTTACTTAATAAAATTGTTACATAAGCTGACAGATAAATAATGAAGACAATGAGAATGTCAAAGTCTATAAAAAAATATTTATATTGATAACTTTTATTTATGAACTTTCACTATTCAGCACCTTAAACTTGAAAATATTTTAGTTGTAGATATTTAGACGGCAATTATCTCAATTAACGCATCAATACAGTCACAAAATTTCGTGTACATTCTCGTTTCAGCAGGTTTTTTCGTTTTTGGTATCACTCACAATACTTAACCACTTCCGAGAAGGGAAAGTAAAATATTCTATGTTTCCGGAGAGTCGGTGCCACTTTGGTGAGGTTCAATTGAAGAAAAAGGAAAAAAGGAGCCGAAAGAAGTGTTTAAGAAGAAAAGATCATAATGTTTGTTTAAGTAAGAGAGACACTTATCCAATCTATTTGTTCACAACAACACTGAACCGATTCCTGCTATTAACTTGAATCGTGTTTCAACATGTGGCAAAAGCAAATCATTTCGAAGTCTCGTGTTTTATTGTGTTCGGTTTAGAATCTCTCAACGAAATTTGTTTGTGAAATAATCAACAAAAAAAGATTTTTAACGAGAAGGAAAACTTTTCACATCAATCACTTCACCCACAATTCACATGGTCTTGACAATTTAAGAGTGCAATCTTTATGACTGAATCGTAACGTATGAAGTATCAAGAATGAAGTCGCTACAAGGTTCATTTGACAATTTCTTAATTGATAATTAAATTAAATCAGTGAACATCTAAAAATATTTAATATTTTATTATTCATTACTTCTCTAGTAGAGGCAAACTTAAACACAAACACACAAAATTGACATTGTATGTACATAAATGTATTTAAAATAAATATCAAAACCCAAACAATGATAGATATTTCAAACATTTAGTGATAACGGAATGTTAATGAGAAAGGCTGAATGTGCATTTTTTTCTTCATTTGATTAAATGTAATTAACATGTCGAAAGGAAATTTCAAAAATGATTTCTCAAAAAACACGTGCAGATCACATTTATGAAACTCAAATTGAGATAATGAGGGAAATTTGAAATGACTTCGCTTGTTGATTGTGACAAATTGTCATAAAATTATATTCCAAATAGAGTCGACACAATGTAATTAAGACTGGATCATTTATTTGATTGTTAATGATACTTACTTAGCAACTTTTAATTGTGAACACAATAAAGAACTCTACCCAGTTCTATAAATAATTCATCTTATAGTCTCATCCACTTCGTTGAACAAACAAAAACGAACAAATTAACTAACTTTCCACTCACAAACATCAAAGACGTTTAATCACTTGGAAGAAAGACACAAGAAGCATTCAAATGAGTGCAACTGTTTCTGACATATTTCTTGACACATTGATTCACAACAATGAAGTGATGCAAATAATTATGAATAATTTAATTTCTTATCGTATTTATTTAATGATTTTATTATCTCATGAAATGAGGTCAGTAAACTTTATATCTAAAAAAAGATCACAAAGTAAAAATAGAATTTATGGCAAAATTATTTGAAAGAAGAAAAAATTTAAATGAAGTTTGTCTGATAATTTAAACCTCCCACGCATTTACGTCAATTTAATTTTTTGTCAAAATTAATGAAAAGAAAATTACGCAAATATTATTCAATTTAATTTAATGATTTATGGCAGAAAACCGACGAAGATTCTCATTGACTTTATTATATTTTCCGTTTATTAGTTTATTTAAGGATTCTGGAATGTAATCTCATTTAAATAAATATAAAATGAGATTCACTTGAAACTGTTAAAGAAGCAAATAAGGAAATCTTGACAATTTAATTCAAAACAAATGACGCTGTCGTGTCATATGCTGAATTTAATTCTTCCGAGTCACGTGTTGAAACGAATAACTAGTTAGCTAGGAAAATCAAAATATTATGATGTTTTAAGCTTCATCAAACAGCGATAAAAGTTGTAAAATAATAGAAACAATAAACTTAAGAGCAAATAATTAAGCAAACAGTAAACATGGCGTCATCTTACATTTTCCCCTAAAAGTCGCAAAAAATCATATCTTGACAAATATTTGTAAGATATCTCAGCACTTTTCAGATAACACTGATTAACGGAGGAAATATCATTGACATAAAAGAAATTTCCACCGACAATGATGATTCGCAATTAGGAAACATTTGACATTGGTTTTCGTTTATCTGATCATGTTCGACATTAACTTAATTATAAAAGCAATTCTGATAAAATTTTCGGCTATAAAAGCTTTTGAAACGCACAATGTCTGGCTAGTTTTAAGTGATTGTGAAATAGAAATAGAAAAATCGTGAACAAATTGAATCCTATAAAAGAAGTGAGTGAAAGTGAAAATGTGGAAAGTTCCAATCGTGATAACTTTCCTGCTGAGTTATTCAGCTATTGTTAAACCACAAGTTTTAAGACCAATCACTGACAATATGTGTGGAGGAAGAATGGATGGAGTTATTTTCCCAGATCCACAAAATTGTGATGTTTTCGTGCAATGTCAGAAAGGGAATGTAGTGATGCAAAGATGTGACAGAGGAGACTTGTTTGATCTTAATCTTTATTATTGTGTGTCTGCTGAAGTCGTCAATTGCGGTCAACGTAGACGACCGAACATTGTTTCTCCACCACAACAAACTAATCAACCCCCGTCACCTGAAACTCATCATAGCGTAAGTCAAACTTAAAGGAAGTCAAACCAGGAAGGAAAATTTTGACATTGAAACTTATTTTCAGGTATGTCGTAATGTGAGAAATGGCGAACTGCTGGCAAATCCAACTAACTGTCGAGCTTTCATTGAATGTCAACAGAATTTGAGACTTGACAGAGAATGTGGGCCAGGAGAACTTTTTGAGGCACGAAGTGGTGTTTGCTTATCTGACTTCACTGTCGATTGTGGTGATCGTGTCATTCCTTCGCCTGTCAACGATATCGTGATTAGAAATGTAAGAAATATCTTCAATTGAAAGAATTTCGAACAAATTTTTTTGAATTTAGATTTGCGTGGGTGTTCCCAATCATGCTCGCGTTCCCGATCCCCGTGATTGTGGAAGATATTTTAATTGCGTCAATCAACGAGGTGTCGGTCAAGAGTGTGATCAAGGCCAATTATTCGAGACGTCATTGGCAATGTGTATTCATGAAAGGGCCGTGAATTGTGGCGGACGTGGTGGAAGTAATGGCAACAATAATCAAATCATCAGTCAAGATGGTGCAATCACAATTCAAGTATTTGAACTCCAATTGATTCTTTGATCAAATCAAATTACTTTTTTACTTACAGGCATGCAGCAATTTACCATCAGGATCGAGAATTTCTGACCCACATGATTGCCAGAAATTCTATGAATGCCGAAACAACATGCGAATTGAAAACACTTGTCCACCAAATCAATCTTTCGATATTGGAATGAGTCAATGTCGACCATCAAATTCTGTTACTTGTGGTACAAGACGAAACTTGAGAAATCCTACGTTAGACAATGCTGTGAGTGGTGTCAGATTTACACTTTTTATAAAAATATTTCATATTGTTATTGTTAGATTTGCATTGGTCAAGTTAATGGACGAAGATTTGGAAATTTATTGAATTGTCGCGCTTTTATAGAATGTCAAGCAAACAACAGAGTTGACAGAGAATGTCCTAACGGTGAATTGTTTGACGTAAATTTGTCGGCTTGTTTACCAGCTCACAATGTCAGATGTAACAATCGCAGCTTACCTCCTTTGGGATCTGAACCGATGTCACCTGAAGATTTCTTCCCGCCGTGTCCAAGGACTGGCGTGTCATATCGAAGTCATCCACATGATTGTTCTGGATATTTTATATGTGCCGAAGGTCATTTAATTCAACATTCATGTGCACCTGGAATTCATTTTAATGCTGCGTCACTTCAATGTGATTTTCCTAGCAATGCAAATTGTCGATTATCACGAATTGTAATCCCCCACATGCCTTTGTTACCTGATTGCAACAATGGCGAAGATTACTTTCCAAATCTCTTGAATTGTAAGCAATATTTCGTTTGCGAAGACAGCACACCGAAACTCAAAGACTGCCCATCAGGCAGTGTTTGGAACAACAAAAAATTGCAATGCGACAAAACTTACGCAGATATTTGCGCAAGTAGCTTCAACATTCAATTTGGAACTTTCGATTACAGAAAACCAAAAGAAAATGAAATAAAAGGGTAAATTTTTATTCAAGTTTTATTCATTACTAATCTCAATTAATTAAAAATGTTAAATAAAATAACAGCCAATACTAACAAATACTTTGAATCAAATCGATACGCTGCACTTCTGGTTAATGTTTGGATCCGAAATTTTCTTTTTTCTGAAATAAAAGTGAAGAAAATGTTAAAGATTTTAATAAATTTTGTTACAGTCAACTTCACTCACTGTTTTTATCATTTGGATCTCTAACACTACACGTCCTGTAACTCATCGTCTTCTTTCTCTTTGGATTTATATATCCTGGAATGTAAAGAGTCGGTTCATCTAGTCGCCCTGTCGCGATCAGTCTTGAAAAATCTTGTTCCATTTGATGTGCCTTTGGACCCTTGAAATGAATTTTAAATGCAACACAAGCACCACCATGCAAGATTTGTGTTGTTCTTGAATCGATGATAAGAAACCATTCGGGAATTCCCATAATTTTTCTCACGTCATCAATAAATTGCGATCTTAAGAAAAAATTAAAAATTATTCAACAAAATCTTACAAAATATTTGAACTCACAAAACAAATCTTGGTGGTCGTTCAATGTTGACATATTTGATAATGTCATGATCAGCTTCAATGTTGGCACAGGCATATTTGTCACTGGCATGATTCGGTGCCAGAATGACAATCGATCTTCCCAAAGCACTGACATCGCCTTCTAAGGGAAAATTTGGATCTGACTTGACACTACGTTCAAGACCAATGTCGATAGTTCCAAGACGTGCTGAAACATCTCCGACATAACATCTCAAAGGATTGTCTGGTCCACATTCTTGTCGATAAAGATCATCATTAAGTGGATCAGCTAATTGTGTATAAAATGGATTCCAAGTGTAGCCACCAGCAACACATCTCGTAGCATAAGTTTTAACAGTCGCATCAACACCAATTGGATTGACGAAAACCTTCCAATGATGATTTCTCGTTATATTCTTGTCTTGTTCACCAGGATGACGCAACTTTATTTCAATAATTGTGTCACTTTGACTTCCATCATTTCCAATAAGTTGCGTCATTCTCATGTAGCCGTAAGCAAAGCCATTTGGATTATGAAACGATGCAATTGCCCGAATTTCTCGTGCTTCACTCGGACTGTAACCACGTTCTAAGCTACTGCAAGCCCATCGAAGCTTTTTCTCCCTTTTGTGAATCACAATCGATCTTCCAATGAGACTTTCATATCCGAAAAGTGGTAAACGACTGTCGTTATAAGAAGATTTATAATCGGTTAAGCCGTCAAGTGTTCCAAACTTTCCACTTAAATCTCCCATCTCGTATTGATCTGTGCTGCCTTTAGCAGGTGCTGGTGACGTATGTGGATCAAAATTTCGTGGATTCCAATGACCATAAAGCGTTGAACCTTCACATGGAAACTCTAAATCTCCTTCAACTGGTGTCACATGAACATGATAACCAGAATTGTCATTTAAACCTTTAAAATCCACATCAACATTTGTCAATTCATATTCAGATTGTTGAAGCATTTCAACTCTTCCTTTTACTGTTAAGTCACCACCATTTGCGAACCAATCTTTCGCTACCAATTTCCTTCTATGAAATCCACCAATTCTAGAATTTAATTTAATTTTATTAGCTGTCAATTAATTAAATTAATTCTCATTCAACTTACATTGAACATGCAAGTCTTTCACCTCTTGCAACCGGTCCATGATCATCAAAAATTACAATCGACTTCCCCATAATGCTGCTGAAGCCACTCAAAGGTAAATTTGAGTCTGTGAAAATCTTTCGACTGTGCGTGATTGCTTCAGCTTTCCTTCCAGCTATTGCAATTGTTTCTAATCGTGACAAGTCACCTAATCGACATAATTCTTGATTATAACTTGAACACGTTTTCTCAGGCGCTTTCATATCGAATGTCACTTTATAAGGATTGAAAATATCTCCAGTTGAAATGCAGCGATTCTGCCAAGAATAAAAATCTTTTCCCGGTTTGTGCATGTGAATTGACCATCGATGTGAATCAGAATTGTTGACACTTGAACCATCAGCATGAATTAGATATTCGATTAAGACTGTTGTGTCATGCCATGGCTCATCTTTTGGCTGTCTGAAGAGAATCTTTCCAACAATTGGATACCGGAAAAGAACTTGCGCTGTTTGTATTTGCAATTGATGTTTCTGATTATGTTCGTAAAGTGATAAAACGCCACAACCAAATGTGAATTCTGTCACATTCTCGCTATTTGATCGATCATATCTTAATAAAAATAAAAATTAATTTAAGTGTCAATAATTTGAGAATAAAACTTACAAATTCATTGAAAATCCTCGATTCACAATTGAATGTTTTCCGAATAGAGGCAGAAATAAATCCCAATACATGCCATTTAATTCATTCGTTCCATCTTGAATAACAAAATTGTGTTTTTCCATTTTATTACGACCTGTCAGCTTTCCTGATAAGTCACCAACGAAATATTGTTCTTGTGTTCCGAGGCCAGGCGGTGGTAAATTGTGATTCTCCATCTTCATCGGATTGTAAATCATTCCAGTCGTGTTGCAATAAAGATCTGAATCAGCATAAAGTGGCGATGGTGGAAGTTCATGAATTTTATAACTTGCAATGTTCTTCGCATATTCAAAGTTACTTTGAAGAGAACCATCGGTTGATGTGAAGGTAAAATTCAACCAAGTCGGTTCAAATTTCGATCTTTGTGTGATCGTTACTTCACCTTTAATTCCTTTCGAGTTGATCACTGATTTAAGAACTTTTGTTTTAATTTGTCGAATTTTCGCACAAGCTAAAAAGTTGTCTCTGTGATCTGTTATGACGACGTAAAGCTTCCTTGAGGGTCCACTTAAATCAACTGGCAACAGTTGCAATTTATCATCACGAAACATTTGAATGATGCTAATCTTCTGAATATCTTCACTGATGTTGAGATTTCCAACACGCAAATCAATATCTCCTATTGAATTACCAGCTCCATAATTTTGCGGATCATAAATTACTTGCAAGACATTACAATTCTCTTCAATTCGATCAGTTGTCTGATCAAAGATGTCAGTTGTGTAAATTTTCCATGCATGTGATGAACTTAAACTTGGTTGGAAATGTCTGAGAATTGAAATTTCTTTAAGATTTGTTGACAATATATTAAAGAAAAGTTGCTTACTTGTTAGAATCTTGAATGTGATAAAGATTTGAATGAATGAGAAGTTCGGAGTTGAAGGAATTTTTAGATTTCAGCCACCTGAAATGTATGGAACCCGCAACACCAGCACGGAACTTCGCCTCAGCGATATACTCCATGGATGACGTTTTGGTTGATATCGTAGAACAAATACGAAAGTTTGTATCAGGGCTGAACATTACTAATGATCGTCCCCATAAACCGCTATCACCTGTAATGAAACAATGTTAAATTATTGAACAACTTTCGATTAATTCACTCACCTGTCAAGTTGACTTTAACGTCATCCCAAACTGATGATTCATTGCCAGGCAGTTGCAAGAAACCAAGCAGATCATCAAATCTGATAATCTCTGGTCCAATACGATTCAAATTACATCTTTCAACTGGATCAACAATTGTGTAATCAACGGGGTTCTGATGAACGCCCCACGACCAACTCTGCTCTGGGTATTGAATTGTCGTCTCCAAAAATGTTTTCACTTTCACAAGCTGCGGATCATTTGATGATTTTGTAAAGTGAACTTCACCATGCAGTCCACTTTGTGAGAAAAATGATACCAGGTCGATACACAAAACTGGAGCGTTAAAAAACAACAATGAAATTTGACTGAATCAAGCGATACGAGCTCAAGGTTTAAAATAAAACCCAAAGAAGAAAACTTGTAATTACCATCTTGAACAAGCAATTCACCAAATATCAACAAGACAATTAATTTACGAAACATTCTTGAATGTTTAAATCATCATTGATTCCTAAAATGATTAATTTTTCTAGCGGTTACCAAAATTAAGAATTTTGAATACAAGAAATCGCCACGAATGTTAAACGAACTTAAAACTTGTTGCTGATTCACAAATGTCTTAACTTTGTTATTTTACTTCCACGCAACACGACGCTTGAAGAGAAACTGAAAAGAGAAATTCAACACTACATATAAAGCCATAACATTCAGCCATAACAACGCTGAAAAGAGTTAAAAAGAAATCGACAACAAGAGAAGGAAAAACATTGGCGATGCAAAGCTGTGACTTGACTCTCAACTCGAAGATTGACTGAGTGATGATTACAGAAACATTGCGGTGCATAAAATGAGTGGATTAATTACATTTGTTCAGCTTCCGTTGGAACGTTAACATTCAAATTCTTTAAGAATGAATTCTGTGTCGATATGTTCACTTAAAGATTTATGTCGGTGGAGAATTTTTAAATTCTTTTCAGAAAACTAAACAAAATTTTGTTATTTGGTTCATGATGATCAAAACTATCAAACCAGCTAGCAAAAAAAAAAAACATTTCAAAGATCATTTTCACGATACCGATTTAAGTTGTGAGAAATAAAAGCAATCAGCATTTCTTTAGGTAATATTTATATGATTGTAATAAAATCTTATTTAACTCCATAATGTCTTATAATTAAAAGAATTAATAAATCAAGGAGCAAAGCATCTGCTCGACTGGGATTTTAATTTCCTTTTGCGTTCTATTTTGTTATGCAAATTGGTTCTTGGCTTTTCCTTTTTATTTTTTTATGTTTTGCTTGGTTTGTTTTTTATCTCCATTTAAATTTTTCATCATCTTTAAGTTTAAATTCCTTAATTTCATAAAATTTTTCTTTCATCATTTCTGAGTGTTTGCAAGAAAATGTTTTTTAGGATTTGGTTCTTTTTGTTGCTCTCTCGTGATGTTAGTTAAAAAACTGCCAAATTATGTTTTCTAAAGATGCTAAGTACTTGCGATGTTGTCACTGGTGATGCGCTTGATTCTATCTCAATCACCAGCACCCTTAATTCTCTCTCTTAATTAATCAATAACAATTTTTTTATTGCGTGTTTTAATCAACTTTTTTTTTGTGCTCTCTCGATCATTTCAGATGGTAAAATTTTGTGTGTGCGTGTTCTTCTCTCAATAAAAAGTTTGAACGTTAAAACAACAACTAAAAAATTGCTTTGCGTAATTTCTTTCTTTGCTTATTATTTTTTTTTTGCTTTCTTGTTTCTTGGTTAATTAAAATGTTTCTTCAACAAAATAAGAAATAAATAAAAAATGATAAACGTGTAAATTAGATATTAAAGAAAATTCTAAACATTTTTCTGCTTATTTATCGATCTTTCTCCCCACAAAAGATATCGTTAGAAATAAGATTAAAGATTATTAATTTTCTTGCTTTGCTTCTTCTCTCAATTGTGACAAAAGCATTTCTTGCTTCATTTGCAAATTATTGCGTAGTTAAAATAAATATGTTGAATAAAAAAGAAAAATAGTTAGAAATTAAAAACAAATAAAGAGTTGTGATTCAATAGTTGAAAAATTGAATAAAGTGAAATTCTTGTGAAAAATGATTTTTCAAATATTTTTGCATGTTTTCATTATTCTTTTTTTATGGTTTTTCCTGTTCCGACTTGTTAACAAATCGCACGAAAAATGTTTCGATGTCAATGGTCGTATCGCGTTTTATGATGAAATGAAAAGCGCGAACAATTTTATGTTATGTAACGGGTTGGTTTGATAAAGAAAAGATGTTTATAAATAAATGATTTATTCTTCTTCTTCACTACCAGTTAACATAGTGATCAATGCTGCTGTATCAATGAAACCCTTATCGTCAATGACCATTTGGTCAAAAGCATCATCAACCTCATCTTCTGTGAATTTGTCTCCCCATGTAATGAGTGATGTACGGAATTTCTCGCTGTTGATTTTGCCATTACCGTCGTCGAATGATTTGAATCCAGCAATGATGGCGTCGTCATCATCAGTGGCTCCACCACCAGACATGCGGGCAGCGAAGAGGGTGAGTAATTGTGTGAAGTTAAGTGGTCCTTGTGCTTCACCTAACATTTCATCCAATTCCTTATCTGAGCATAATTTACCTAAAGCATCGAAGGTTGAACGGAGATCAGCTTTGCCGATGACACCGTCTTTGTCATTATCCATAAGGGCAAAGGCCTCTAAATTAATTAAATTAAAAAGAGAAAATTAAGTTTTAAGTTTTTAGAGCTTTTTAAAAGCTTTAGACGAGCTTTGAGAATTTTTTAAAAAAATTACAAATGAAATTTAACAAACCTTTGAATTCGGCGATTTGTTTCTGTGAGAACAAGACGAACACACTTGATGGAGCTTTCTTCGCCCGTCTGGAGCCTGATCCACGGGTTGATCCTCTATTTGAGTCCGCTGGTGTGGCTGCAGATGCTGGTGTTTCGGCTGCGGTTTCAGCTGCTGATTCGGCGGCGGATCCCTCTTCCTTTGCCTTCTTCTTCTTGACCTTCTTCTCCTTATCAGCCTAAATAAATCAATCATAGTAAAATGTTTGAAAAATTAGTTGAAAATGTTTATGATTCTGACCGCAAACAACTTCCAGTCGGAAAATATTCTGTGGAAAACATTTCTTAATCTCTTGAAGTCATAAGTGTCATGTCATAATAACTTCACATATTTATTGCCACCTTTCAAACATTCAACACGTTCCCAAACGAATGGTTTGAAAAAAGAAAATTTATCCCAAGCATTTACGCAATCGAAAATCTTTTCGAGGCACAAATTTTCATCTGTCGACTCCAAAAATAGAATATTGCGCGTGGATCGTCCGACTGAGCGCCGCCAACTTTTTGCAGTGGGATTTTTTCTTTTTTTCTCGTTTCATTTTTCTTTCTGCGGAATTTTTGTGATTTTTTTTCTTTTCAGACTATTTCGCCCTCTTCTATATGTAACAATAATATTTCGGTTGTGTTTTGTGCCTTGATCAGTATCTCTAAATTGTATGATTTTCAATGTGGGATGAATAATATTGAAGTTAAAAATAGACATTTCGAATCCACCTCGTTGCTGAATATCTTTTACTTGTTTTGCGCTTGTGGAAAACTTTTCATTCTTTTAATATTTATCTGCTTGAAAAATTCTAACTTTGTTTTATTTTTGCAATTGATGATCATGTTTAGGGACGATTATGTCATACACTTACTTATGCAATCGAAAGTTTACTTAAGTTTAAAAAGATTAAGGAGATTAAGGACGCTCAGTTATTTTTGTAAGCACAAGTGAACGTGATTGATACCTTCTCAACTCCCTTAATTTCTATTTTCGTTTGTTAAGCGATCAAATACGCCATTCAAGAACTTTTACAACTTTTGCGATGTTCTGTCGTTATTCATTGATCCAATTTTAAACTAAAAACCGACACGAGTTTCATGAACTTTCGTTCGTTCTTCCTCGAGTTGTCAGGAAAAATTTTCATTCATAAATAAGACTTTTCCTGTCATGTTTCCAACATCTTTTAATCTTTCAATCTTTTTCGGTGATTGAGATGAAGAAACGGTCGGTTAAGATCTTGAAAATCTCTCAATCAAAACTTTTCAGTTTCTCATGATGAAATTGAAAATTAAAATGATTTTCGTAAGGATTTCCGCATCCGATTATTCATGAAAACTTTCCAAGTTAAAATTTCATTGATCATTACATTTCTTCACAAATTGTCTAAATTAAGACTTTTCTAAGTAAGCTTTTCACTGTCCACTTGTGTTCCACAATTTTCTTTCTTTACTTTTCATTAAAATTCTTTTCTTTCTTATAAATTATTTATCAGCACTTCAAATAATTTCCACGAGATTAAAAATATTTTCCACACCATTTGAAATTAAAAAATCCTTTTAATCCTTTATATGCATCGAGTGACAGAGATTTTCCACTCACTTACCATTTTGTATTATTTCTTTGTTATTCGACTTGTTTTCACAAAGGCCCCAGAGCAACTGACAGTAGTTTCTAGTCGATGGTGTTTAAGTCTACTAGCGAGATTTCCACATACACCAACACTCCTTATTTAGTAGGCTCATGTGCTATATATACACATCGTGCTTCTATTATTCACTCTATTATTATTTGATTTTCTCGCCCGATCTCCTTCGGCAAAGCTTCGGACCGAACGGGCTTGCTTCAGCAAACATGTTGTTGGCGGAGTTTCTGTTCATTATTCGGGGTTACAGTTCTTTTATTGTCGGCGAAAAGAAAAATATAAGAAAAAGAAAATTCGTTTTGAGATGAAGAATTAATATTAGATTGAATGATTGTGAGATGTATCGGGTTTAGTACAACTGCTTACATTTTTTTACAAAGCGATAGGATTGTGGGAAAAAGCTGAGAGAATAAACTTAAATAATTTCACGGAACTTGAGTAAATTCAACTGATCAATTGATGAGTTCTTTAAATCTTTTCTTAAATATCGACTTATCATTCATTTCATTGCATTTCCAAAAAATAAAATGAAATCAATTTAAAAATTTTCCATTTTCATTCTATAAAATATAAAAACATAAATTTTGTGTTTTGTTCATCAGCTATGACTACGATTTCAATTCATTCTTTTTTTTCTCATTTTCCACATATCTATACATTTGAATACTTTTTGTCTAATTATAAACTTTCCTTACTTAATTTTATTATTTCTTTCAAATGGGGAAAAGCAAATTCCTTAGAAATGTACATAAGTTTTCATATAATCCGGAAAATTTTATGTTTGATTGTTTTTCTTAAATTTTAATTAACTTCGATTATTGAGATATCAATATTTACGTATTGATCGTGAGCTTAACAGTGTCATGTACAACCCTTAATTTAACTCGAATTTGTCGCATATTTTACATCAAATCGTTATGATGAACAAAATTTTCACGATTAACTTATCCGGTTAAAAATTCATTAAAATCATTCAATTAATATTGCAGGAAGCTTTCTTATCCTTCACAGCCAGTGTGATGTCTTGCACTGACCTTGTTGACAGGTTCATGCCTTGAAGGACATTCGGTAAGTTTTGTTGAGTTCTAAGATTTTTAATTAAGTTACAGATGAGTTACAAATGTAATCATTGGAATAAGTTTTTAGTAGTTAGCTAAGTGGCAATAAATCTGACAAAATGATGATTTTTTCAATCATTTGTATAAAGAAAGTTCTTCCAGTTCTTGTTCATGTTCAACATTAATCAACAAAAGGATCGATTAGGACAGAAAAATTTTTCATGCAAATGTCTAACTCTTTATGAAACTTATTTACTAGATTCTGCTGACGACTTCAATAATCTTTAAATAGAAATCATGATTGGGGGCTAAAAATAATTGCCAATGGCTCAAAATACGTTGCTGTGTAACAAGCGGACGAATACAAAAAAAATCGTTGACAAAGAAGAAAGAAAAATTTTAAAACTTTAAACACCTAGGCGATTAAGAAGAAAATAATTTCAAAGGCTGGTTGAAGATAGTGATCGAAAAAATTGGAGCATCAACGCATACACACACTGTGTGTGTGTGTGCACATAGTCGTGTGATGGATGAATTTATGAGAAGAAGAGTTTACATTATTATTATTTCATTCTGCGAGGTAGTGCGGTGCGGTAACATCCAAATACATAAGAGAAGTTTTGTTTGCCTCAAAAGTATTTTCAGTTCTCAGATATTTCACCCAATGAGGCATGTAAATGATCCTCATAACAACACGATCCAAGCGAAAATAAAAAACAATTTTTCTCCCTCGCCATTTCATTGAAACTGAAAATTTTCTTCTATTTTCAATTTGCATCACAATTTACATAAGAAAGAAAAATTCCATTAAAATTTATTTGTACATATTTCATTTACTTTGAGGTTCGTACGAGTTAGCAAGAAAAAGTCTTAAGAAAACCGAGCAGAAAAGACTACAAACCGACTTGATGATGATGATCTTTGAATGAGTCATGAAATCTGAAAATCTGTGATCTGAAAATATTTTTGTTTCATTTTTCACGAAGCTAAAAGGAAGCTGAAATGGTTTTTCTGGTGAAAGCATTAACTTCGCAAACTTCTCGTTTGCTTGTCCGAGAAATGTCAGGTTTAGACGATCACGGCATTTGATGACCTTCGAGTCGAATATTTTTCATCTGATTGATGTTTCAAAGTTCATGCTATGATGATAGAATGACCTGGAGATGAATCTGTTGACTTTTCAGAATGCCAAGTCTCGAAATTTTGTGAGTAATTGAGGAAAGGAAAATAAACTTGCGATATGATGTGGTGAAAATTTAAATTTAATTCAGTTTCTCATGTTTCATGATTAATTTTATGATTTTTGAATGAATTTATTTCTCAATATTTTACTATACGTTGTGATTTGATTTTTTTACTGAAAACTCTTCACAAAAATTATTAAAAATTGAACAATTTTATTTTTCAGTTTAGATATAACATTTTATTGTCAATGTTTATGAAATAAATTAAAGTTTTTTCGGTCGGAATCCAAAGATTGAGCTGCCAACTCTTACAATTGTACTTCCAACTTGAATCTGCATCAATATAAATAAAATTCCATTGAAATGAAGCAAGAAATGTGATGATTTTAATACTCACAGCTTCTTCAAAATCATTAGACATTCCAAAGGAGACTTGAAGAGATTCGGGATTTGGCAGATGATTCAGACATTCCATGAGTGCCGTGAAATCGGGATTTGGTCCCTTTGTGTAATCATATCCAAAGGCTCCAATCGTCATCAAACCTTCGAGTTTCAATGCTTTACATTTATCATTGATGAATTCAAATAGTTCAGGAACTTTGTCAGGATCAACTCCATTTTTAGCATCTTCTGCACTTGTGTTTACTTGGATCAGAACTTTAAGCTTTCCATCACTCTCGAGACGATTTTTCTCCCACGCGTTATTCACAGCTTCAGCCAATTTTTCACTATCAATTGTTTGAATCATATAAAGTCCAGGTAATTTTATAACTTTATTAATTTTATTTGTTTGAAGATGTCCAATGAAATGCCATTTGATGTCTTTACAATTCTCAAGAATCTTTGGATCGATCGCTTTCTCTGCCAACTCCTTCACATAATTCTCACCGAAATGTCTTTGACCTGCATCGTAGGCATCAATTAATGCTTCAACAGGTTTTGTTTTTCCCACAGCTACAAGTTGAACAGGATTTTTAAACTAAAATGATAAGCTTCATGAAGGAAAAACAAGATAGAATCTAAATTTAAAGAAATTTACCTTCTCAGGTCTCTTTCTCGAGGCAATTTCAATACGTTCTACAATATTTTTAATTCCTGCTTTAACATCAACACTTTCAGTCATTGTGACAAATCTTCTTATCATTTATTAAACACTTGATTAAATTTATAAGATGTTATCAAATTTTCGAATGTTTTGTTTGCGATTGTTTTTATCAATTCACACATCACATGACAAGTCAACTACCGCTCAGCAATTTCGAAAAAAATGAAAAACATTTGAATTCTAGAAATACGATAAATATATTAAAGGAAGTTGTTAAGAAGTCAATAAATTAAAAATTAGGTACATATTTACATACCTATATGAGGTATGAGTTATCACTAGTTACTGAAACAACCTTTAATTTCCCTTAAATTCAATAAATGAATAAAATAATTTTAAATTAATCAATTAAAAGATTTGCAGTTTGTGTAATGGAAAAAGCTTTCATTTATTTCAAAAACTATAGAAAGGATCAAATAATAAATGAAAATTTTCTTTTGCGTTCTTTACACGTCCCATCAAGGAGAATTAAGGAAGTTGGCAACAACATTGACCTGATGGGTGAGTTTTTGCCGTCCCTGAACAAAGCCAATCGCAAGGTCCCAAATATTTGTCAGGGAACATTGGATCACAAAAGACCAGCAAACCTACGGGATCATCTGCATCAACAAAAATCATGCTTACATCTGTGGAAATAGAAATTGAATGATCACACGTACTGAAAAATTAAAATATTTTAAAAATTACTTAAAATTATTAAAACGGCGAAAAAAGAAAAAAATGTCTTTCGAACCATATTAATCAGTTCTTTATTCTTTAATTCTTTAAGTTACTTGAAGTGAATTGCTTCAAACAAGTTCCTTGGGTTTTAAGTAAAACAAGCAGACATAAAAAAGGCTCATAATAAAATTTATTTTCTTTTTTTTATTATTTTTCATGTGACTTTAACAACAGTCGTGATCGTGATTTCTTAAATGTACAAATTTTTTAAAGTAGGTAAAAATATGGAAAAATGGCTAAAATTGAATTGCAAAATCAGTAAGATGTATAAAAACATTTTAAGGTCTCATGCTTCTTGATTTTTGATTTTTGATTCTTGATTCTTGATCAAATGCTTTACTTTTCTTCCTTCTCAAATGCATCATGAAATTAATGTTAAGTATTTTCTTATATATCTTATCTAATCTAAATTTTATAATTTCCACTGAAATTTATTATCTTCAACTAATCAGAAATGAAGTGATGCACTAGAAACGAAAACGTTCAAAGATTTTTTATTTCTTGCTTCATTATTTCTTAAAATATCGAATTAAATCTCAACAATTCCTTCCAATCTGTTCAGGAATATACCGAAACTAGAATTTTTTTACTTGTTTGGCAATGTAATTAAAAAATCAGTTCAAGAGCTTTCAACAACCTACCAACATTGAATGGTACAAAATTTGACAATAATTAATGCGAATCGATCAAGAAGCGTTCTTCAATTTGCCATACCTTTTACATATTGGCTTAGATATATACAATAGAAATCAGGGTGCTTGTGCCGGGAATCTGATTCGTAGGTCCCCGGTTCGAATCCCAGCCATGAGGTAAGGTGAAGTTTAGATACTTCGGCCCGAAAAAAGTGTGTTTCACTTAAGCAGCAACCCGGCCTTTAATCCCTTTGTATCAATTTGATATTCGTATCAAGGCGAACAATGAGAGAGCAAAGACTAGGAACACTGCCGAAAATGGAACGCATGCAATTGTTACCTGTTCAATTGATAAATAAAAACAGTGCAAGTCTAAAGCAAATCTAAGCAAGTTAAAATAAAAATACTAAGGGAATGTTACAATTTCAAGCGATTCATTGCAATATTAGCTGAAGTTTCCATCATCATGGAAACATCAGTAGGGTGTGGTACGAGTCTAGTCCTTAACTGAGACGAATAAGTAAAGACTCATCACGGGCAATGTTTGTTCTACAGACACACTTGCCGAGAACAGTTCGTTCTACCCATTTCTGATGATGATGACAATAGAAATCAGTTTGGAAATGAAGCTGATAAGGTTTTAACAAAGATTAAATTAGTAAGCGAATAAACCGAAGTCAACATTTCAGAGAAAGGAACTCACATCATTTGTAAAGACAAACAAAGTTAAAGATTAAAAATTCGAGATGTTCTCATGTCGTGTATGAATAGATTTTAATTAAACTAGGTATTTTTTAATATAAAGAAAACATTGAAAAACTCAAAATTTTTCACCAACTGGTCGCATGGTCAATTGAGTAATGTTAACATTTGGTGGTTGTTTGAGAAGATATTGAACTCCATCTGAAATTATTTCAGGCTTTATATGGGGCAATTCCTCAATGTCTTGGTCATCATTATCTTCAGTTTTGACAGTTCCAGGATTGATTGAAGAAACTCTAATTAAGTCATTGCCTTGTTCAATTAATTCTCGTCTTAAAACTTCTGAAAGTGCTGTTAAAGCGAATTTTGTAGGTGCATAAACATTCAAGGATTCTTCTTCGAAACTTGGTAAGTAATGCCCACAAATGTCATTGATGTTTATGACCATTCCGTAATCTCCTGAAAGTTTCATCAATCGCACTGCTTCTCTTGTACAATTTATAACTCCAGTGAAATTTGTGTCAATGGTTTCAGTCAATTTCTCTGTTACATCATCACCCTCATCAAGAATTTTTACACCGTAACCAACACCAGCATTGTTAATCAAAATGTTGACTGTCCCAAATGTTTCTTCAATCCACTTAAAAGTTTCTTTTACTGATTTTAAATCTGACACATCACATGCTTTTGCATATACAATTCCTAAAACTTCACCGAGAGAACTTGCAAACTTCTCAATTTTTTCACTTCGTCTTGCCAGTCCAATTACGTTTATTCCTAACTTGGCGAAATCTTTTGTTATAGCTTCACCAATTCCAGCTGATGCACCAGTTACAACAGCTACTTTTCCAACCCACTTCTCCATGATCGAAGATTTCTTGGATAGCTAAACAATAAAATGACGGGGAAGATTGTGACAGAAATTTTTCTTTTATCTTTTTTTGTTGATAACTCGAGATTAGATTTCGTTTTCGGATATTTAATTATTCTTCTTTTCGAATTTTATCGTACAAAATTGAATTAATTATTTATCAAAAAATATTTATTCAGTGATTTAAGACATCGAGAGCAGGAATGTTAAGTGAGCAGAATTTAATTAGATGTTTTATGGAAGCGCTTTGCTTGTTGCTCTAACTTTTCAAGTTCAGCTTTCTTTTGTTGAATAATTTTCTCTAATTTTTGGTGTTCCATTAGATCTTTCTTGCTCATGGTTGATAAGTCGATTTCGTCGTTGTCTACTTTAACCTCTCGTGTAGAATAAGCGTATCCAAAAAATCCAAAGAATATTAAAATTATTATCGATTTTATAGAAAAGATTCCATCAGAATCATCAATAGGGATTTCTACGTCCATAACGAGGCCGAGGTTTTAATTTGAAATTTTGGAGAAAATATGCAAATGATCGAGTTAAAGAAAATTTCCTGACGACTTTCAGTGATATTGAAATTTCTATTATCTAAGCTTACTCAGATGTCAGTATCAAAATTTTGTAACGTTTGAAAAACATAATAAAAAGAAGAAGAATTGAAACATTTCTCTAAAATCATTCTCATCATACAGAAGAAACGAAGCAAATTCAAGCTAAACATAACTATTTAATGATTAATGTTTATGTGAAAATCTCTTCAACTGAATGATAAAAACACTTTTTTTGTCTAGTTAATCATTCAGGTAATTTATTTTGTAACAACTTTAAAGACATTCATGTTGAAATTGCTGGTGAAAAAGTGAATTTCTTTTATTAGTTTAGATTCTCATTGAATTGAACTGATTAGTTCTACGGAGCTTTGCCTTAAGACAAATATCGACACTTCTATTGAAAATTTTCATTCTTATATTTAAATAAACTTCTTCTTTTCTCTTATTGATTTTGTGATAAGCTTAAGTAAAAGCATTCGTGATTGCTTTTTGAATTTCATGATTTTTCCTTGCTCAAAATCTCGCCAGTTTCAATATCTAAATTACCTTAAAGTGAAAAGTAAACTAATAAAACTTGATGAAAAATTTGAAGTTTATATGATGATAAAAGCTTTTATTAATAAAAGAATTAACAAACGACCAATAAATGATAATTTTTCTTTTACTTTTTCAGGCTTTTCCTTATTTTTCTTGGAGGAAGAACTAGATTGCATCGCAACAGCATAGACCTGATGGGCTTTCGATTTTATTTCCACCGGGGCAGAGCCCATCACAAGGTCCCAAAAACTTATCAGGCTGTTCGGGATCACAAAGGTCCAGGAAGATTACGGAGCCACCTGCATCAACATTAACCATAGCTACAGCTGTGAAGAGAAATTAATAAAATTTAAATTTTAAAACGTACTGAAGAAAGTCAATAGAATTTTACTTAAAAATATGAAAATGGCGAGAAAAGAGAAAATTATCTTTCGATTCATATTAATCAGTTTGAGTTTACTTGAAGTGAATAACTTCAAACAAGTTCCTTGGGTTTTTAGCAAAACAAGTAGTCATAAAAAAGGCTCATAATAAGATTTATTTTCTTTTTTAATCATTTTCCATGTGACAACTTTAACAACAGTCGTGATCGTGAATTGGTTTAAACAAATTTTTTGGGTTTTAAGCAAAACAAGCAGTCGGTCATTAAAAAAAGCTCATAATAAAATTTATTTTCCCTTTTGATCATTTTCCATGTGACAACTTTGACAAGAGTCGTGATGATCGTGAATTCTTAAATGCACCAATTTAAAACAAAAATATAAAAAAATAAACTAAAGTTAAATTAAAAAATCAATTAGGCAAATTTGAATTAGGGGAAAACATTTTAAAGATCAGAAGCTTCATCATTTTTGATCCATGTTACTTTACTTTTCTTCCTTTTCCAATCCGTCATTAAATTAATATTAAGTAGGGATTTGAAACATCTTATCTAATCTAAACTTTATAATTTCCACTGAAATTTATTATCTTCATTTTGATAATCAGAAATGAAGTGATGCACTGGAAAATCGAAAACGTTAAATTCATTTTTATTTCTTGTTTCATTATTTGTTAAAATGTCGAACAGAACTCATGCTAATCGTGATGACAGTGATGATGAACAGCCAGCAGGATCTTGGTCGGACCTGTTCGTAGGAGCGGCTGCAGCTGTTGCTGTTGCAGCTGGAGCTTTTTACGTTGGAAAAAAAGTTGTGGATAGTTTTTCTACTTCACAACTTGTTTGTTCAAATATCAGCGAATGTCAAGAAATTGTGAACAAAATTAAGAAGTAAGCATTTAAATTTAAGTATGGCATGTTTGATTTTATTTTTCAAATAATAAATTACAATTAAATTTTACTTAGTGATGTAAAAGAATATCCTGTAATCGGATTAAATTGTCAATGGACTTAAACTTTTACATCAGACTATCGGAATCCAATTGATTTACTTCAATTAGCTTCGCATAAAGGAAACATTTTATTATTAAAAATAAAAGATTCTTCAAGTTTTCCATCAGAAAAATAAAAAGTTTGTTGCGTGATCGTTCAATAATTAAAGCTGGAATTGAAGGAACTAAGGACGCATTATATCTGATGAATGACTACGGATTGGAAGTAAATGGAACTTTTGACTTGCGATTTATTGAGGAAAAGTTGGGTGGAAAACCAGAAGGTCTTCCAAAATTAGCAAGGAAATATTTGAACGTTGATCTTGATCAAAGCATCACTCTAACAAAGTGGAATAAAAACGAATTGGATCAACAACAATTGGATTACGCTAGACAATCTGTGAAAGCTTCAATTGATTTATTTGTCCTATTGATGAAGAAAGTTTTGCCAAATCCAACAATTTCAACTATTTTCAGTTATTGCGAACCAGATTTGGACACACGATTTGTATATTACAGTCAAAATTATTGAAAATAAAGGCAGAAAGAATTGAAAATTCCATCAATTTTCATTCAACGATTGAGAGATAAGAAATTTCCAGAAATGTTATTTATCGGTTTATTACTTGCTTATCAAGATTTTTTCCTTCTGTGAAAAGAAAAAACTTCAAGTTTTATCATTAAATACAACCAAATTATTCTTTTCTTCTTATTTTTGTTTTATTCTTATCGCTATCATGAAAAAGAAGTTTAAAACGTACAACGTGTACTTTGTATAACAACCGAATGAATTCTAATTATTGTTTTTATTGCACCTGGAAGTATTTCTTGAACTTAAAGTTCTTTTTCTGGAATGTTCTCTTGTTCGGAATCGCTTTCAGCTTCATCTTCCTCTTCTTGTTCGTCATCTTCTTTGCATAATTTTGACCTCTCAACACAAATTGCATCTACAAGATTGTCCGGAAGGGAATCTGCCATGAAATACTCGAGAAATAGTTCGTCAAACTCATCTAGAATTTCTAGACAATAATGTTTTAAACTTTTGTTTAAATCTTGATCTTGCACAAAGTCAACTTGTGAGGTCAAAGGATTCATTCCAAAATCATCAAACATTTTTAGAACAGTTAAACGACCATCAGTCTTATATTTTGCTTTGGCGTAATCGTCCAACACTTTACATATTCCTTCGTCACCTTCAAACAACTCGGTTAAGTACTGTTCAGACTTTCTGTATTCGATCAATTGACCAGAAGTTGTTCCATCTACTTGGAATCGACCGCTTTTCACTTCAGCCTTCTTCTTTGGATCAACTTTTGACTGCGCAATTCTTATTTCATCTACAGTCGCTCTACATGTCAAACATTTAACTCTTTTGCCATCCACGTTACCTGAAGATTATTAAAAAAAACTATTAAAAGATTCTCATCAGCACTAACATTTATTTACTAACCATATACAACGTTATCTTGTGCTTCTGTTAATCCAATAACTGACAACAGCAAAATTAAGATATTGCTCGATCTCATTATGGTACAGTTCCTTTGAAAATCTTAACAAAATTAACTTTACCGTATCGACAATACGACTATGAACTATGTGGACAATTTGGTGGATTCTGAAATCAGAAAAATTTTTCTTATTTAAAAGTTCAGCAAGTTATGAAGTTGTTCCCTGCATACCCAACCCTGCGCCGAACTAAGTTCGAAAATTTTCCGTGCGAGACATTTCCGTGCAACCTTTTAAAAAATTTACTCGGGTCCAAATTTACATTGGAGAATGACACAACCTAGATCTTCCGAACAAACTCGGCAAGAAAGACAGTTTACCCTTCAAAATTGAACTTTTTCTAGATTACAAATGATTTCTGCTTTTAAACAACATTATTTAAAACCATTAGCAATCTTTTGGTCCAAGAGATGAAACAAAACTTCGACATTAATCTAAATTAATTCTCAAAATTCTTTTTTTAATTTTATAAATTTTATTAAAAAAAAGTATTTTTTAAGTTTCTAAACTTAAATTTAGGCAGTTAATTCATGTTTATGAAATTAAAAATGAAGATGATATATGTTGAAAAAAGTTAATGAGGTTTATCGTTTTACTGACCACTTGAAACCAATTGAATTATGTTTGGATGTTCACTGAAGAATTGAAGGTCTAGAAAAAGGAAAAATTTATTTAAATTTAGCTTAACTTGTTTTTATTGAAGAAATAGTAACTCACCAGTTGCGTCGATAATTGAAAATTGTTCTTGCTCGTTAATGTCATCTTGAACATCGTAGTCTTTGTCTGGACTTAGAAGTTGAAAGTCGCTAAACTCATCAATGTCCATAAATATATCATAATTTGTGTCGTCATTAAATTGGAAGCCTCTAACTAGGCCAGAAGTTGATGGTAGTTCAAGGCCATCATCTGGTATCTGAATCACATTAATGTCACTACCCAAATCTTCTTGAGGTTGTACAGGAGCTGGAAGAGAGTCGTCAGAATCTTTCTTGGTTTCTTCAATGATCTTTTTCTTTTTCTTGTTAGTCACATAATCAGGAATCTTATCCAAGGGTTTTCCTGTTCGATGATCAACCTTATGTCGTCTGATTGTATGTTTGAGTAGATTGGGATAGTTTGTGAAGTCTCTTGGACAATGTTTACATAAATATGGTCGGGAATTTGTGTGAATATTTGCATGTTGTTTCAGTTTTGATGACGATAAGAATCCTTTTTGACAGACTCCACATTTAAAAGGGCGACTGCTGGGATCGGAATGGACCTGCTTATGTACTTTTAAGCATCGTTCAGTTTTGTAGAACTTCAAGCATTGATTACATTGATAATCACGCGACTCACTGTGAAAGTTTTGGTGCCGAACCAAATGCGATTTTTCAAAGAAACTTTTTTCGCATTGAGAGCAGCTGTAACTACGATTCTGAATGTTGTGAGTCTTTTCATGATTCAGAAGATTAACTTTCTGGAAAAACTGCTTCTGACAAATTAAGCAACGAAATTTCGGCTTCTCAAGATGCATTTTACGATGTGTAAAAAGTCCACCAGTTGTTTGCAGCATTTTGCCACAATCTGGACATTCTTTTTCAGCTAATTTCGATTTCGAAGCAGAAGTCAATGTATGATTACATTTTTTATGTTCAGCAAAGCTCTGCAAACTTTCAAATTCCATGTTGCATTTACGACATCTTTTTCGACCATGAACTGACGACTTGTGATGATTTAAATCATTCTTTAGAGAGTAAGAATTTGTACATTCACTGCACTGATATCGACCAACTAAATGTCTTTTAAAATGATTACGAAACAAGATAAATTTCTTGGCATTATACTTGCATATGACGCATGCAAATACAATTGGTTGCTCTTTGTGAAATCTTTTGTAGTGGAGCTCAAAGGTCGATCGTTCTTCAAAAACATTGTTTGGTGATGGAGGGCAGTTACTGCATAAAATTTTAATTGAATTCTTTTCCTTATCATTATCAGCTGAAAAAATGAAGAATAAAGATAAATTAATATTCATTCAACTTCAGGAAATTTAAACTATTTACTCTTATCTTCCAAACTTATGGCGAAATTAGATTTCTCTTGCGGCTCAAAGTAGTAGTTAAGCGTTGTTCCATCCTGTAGACTATCCTGGATCTTAAATTGTTCATCTTCTTTAAACTCCTCTTTCTTAATAGCTTGTATCTCATCTTCTTCAATTGTAATTATTTCATTTTTTATTTGAAAGGTCTCAAACGATTGGAGATTAGCTGCACTTTGCATTATTGATTGTTTATTTTGATGATTGCCGCAGCTGATATTATCAACGAGGTTAGATTTCGTTATTTCAAGAGAAATGATTTAATTTCTTTTTTAAACTACTTCTCTTCAACATATGAAGGTGAAGTGAAGCTTGTTGTACAGTTTTTTAATATTTTTAAGCCATCGGAAACGGTTAAAGTTGATGAAATTACATTAAATTTATAAATAACAAAGAACTTTTTATGATGATTTCAAACAAAATGTCACAAATTTTCAATGTTCGAATATTTTTCTATTTTCGAAAAAGGGGAAAATTTGCTAATGACGTCATAAAAATGAAAAACAAAGAATTTCTTCGTAAACATTAAAAAAATTTATTTGATGGCGAGTCAACCACCAAATCACTTCGTTGTCGAAACTGAATCGAAAGGATCAAGTAACAACAATAATCATCAAAAATGGCCCTGCAAATTGTGTCGTGTTGACCGTAAAAAGTTTATTTGTAAGAATTGCTTGAGGAGTGGAAATTATATTTCAAGTAATAACAACAATGATTCAGAGAGGTGAGAAATGAATGGTAATGAGTCATTTTATAATACCTACCTAAGGTAATCTTAATTATTTAACAGATTTATTGACAAACAACATAAATTAAAAAACCTGAAAAATGCTCAAAAACTTCAAGAAGAAAATTTCCATTTGAAATTCAAGAATTTTATTCGCCTAGAAAATCTTCGTACGTCAATTCTTGAGCATCGCAGTCGAAACACAATTCTCCATGAGCTCATCAAAGAGAAACGTGAAACTATTCAAAAACTCCAAGACATTAAAAAGGAAAATCATGATAAAAATCGAGCGCAACGGATAATTCTCCCAAAATATGAAGACAAAGTTAACAAGCTCGGTGATTACGTGATGGAAGCTGTTGAAAAGAACGACAATCTACGAAAGAAGAGCCATGAACAGATGGAACAACTCAAAAATCTACGACGAAGTTACATTGATAAGTTAGTTAAATTTATTTTTCCAATGTCACATCAAACTCTTAAAAGTGGGAGTTTACATCATAGTCGAAAGCCGAGCAATGAGTCGCTTCAACCAGATGCAATAAGTGAAATTGCAGAAGCTATGATGACATCAGGTGTTAAAAGTGGTTGGGGAAATGACAATTTGAATGATTTGGTGGGTAAAAATTTCGTTATTGTTGCTCCATCACTTCCATCTAATGGAAACTACCAAGAATACATTGATTGGATTCATAGTAACAAAGATGGAACTGTTGTTGTTTCATCAGGAACAAATGAACTTGGAAATGCCAACAATAGTGCGTATCGAATTGCTGCAGCTCTCACTTATGTTGCACAACTTGTTCAAGCTCTCAGCTTCTATCTAGACATCAGACTTCCACATAAAGTCTCTTATAATGACTTTTGCACGATGGGATTAAATGAACAGCAGTTTCAAAAGAAGGTGGCACGACTCAATCTCAATATTGTTTATCTTTGTTACACTCAAAACCTATTAATGCGTAACATTCAACCAGCAAGAACGATGGAAAATATTTTTCAACTTCTCGACATTCGTAATGTTGACTTAGGACGAACTGGACCGGTTCTTGACACATCACAACGTAGCGTTGATTCAATCATGCAATCATTCACGGATATATTCGATGATGAACATTCAGATTCTGACGATGATTCAGACGATGTGACACTTCAAAAAGACTGGGAAAATATTGGAAATCTTCCACTTGTAGACATCACACAATCGACGATGGTTCAGCAACAGTCAGCGAGTATGGCTGGGACAATTATGAACGTAGCACATTCACTTTCATTCTGGAAGTGGAAATAAACAAAAATTCTACTTAAAACTTTAGTTATGCTGTAATGCAGTGGACTCTCTTGATAGTTTCATTTATTTCAATGTGAAAAAGATTAAGAAATAATTTAGTTTGTCGAGATTCCATTGTTAACTTTTCTAAATCCTCTTGAATCAAGATCAATTTTATTCTTCTAACCAAATAAAAACAATTAATTTTTTTAAAGAAAAAGATTTAATTATGGCAGTGTTTTAAGATTATCTAAAATTTCTCTTGTTTCTGATGGCTTGATGACTTCAATTGAACACTGAAAAGTATTTTGAAAGCTTGAAAGAAATTCTGGTTCAGTTTCATCAATCGTGACATTTTTGCTGAGTTCTTTTGACAGACTTGTGACTTCTTTTCCTTCAATTCCACATGGAACGATGTGATCAAACCATGATAAATCAACGTTGCAATTAAGAGCCAAACCATGTGTAGTGATGTAACGAGAAGCATGAATGCCAATCGCACAAATCTTTCTATTTTCCACCCACACTCCCGTGTCTTCTGTTGTTTGTGCTTTGATTCCATGTTTCTTACATAGATCGATGATTGTTTTCTCAATTTGACAAACATACCATCGAACGCTTGGTTGAAAGTTTTTGAGATTTATAATTGGATAAGCAACGAGTTGGCCTATGCCATGAAATGTTATGAGTCCACCACGATTTGTTTGATAGAATTCAGCTCCCAACTTCCTCAACTTCTCTTCGTCATTGATTGTGTAATTTTTTGTTCGAATTCCAATTGTATAAACTGGACTATGTTCAGTCAAGATGAGAATGTTTTTGTACTTTTCAGCACCTTGAATTAGTCGATTTGAGATATATTTTTGTAATTTCAGAGATTCTCCATAATTAAGTTTTCCTACTTTCAGCACATGTACAATTCGTGACATTTTTTTTATTGATTCATCAACTTTTCAATTTCTTCATTGATGTCGTCGGTCTTTGGTAGATTTTCAATTTCTTTTAATTCGTCACCGTAACCAGTAAAGAATTCTTGAAGATTTTCTGTGTCTTCCTTTTGCTTCTTTAGAATGTGATAATAAATTTTCTGAGCGATCTGTGAAGAAACAAAATGTTTACAAAAATATTTTAATTGTTTTGCATCATCAGCTGATTTTTCAATTCAAATTTAACGAATTTTTATTTTTGTTTATAAAGAAATAAAATAAAAACTTACATGAACATCAATCGCTGCATATTTTTGTTGTTTGCCACTTAATGGAAGGATATGCCATTTACTCATTCGAACATTTCTAGATTTGTCAATTCTCAGTCTTAATGTTTGCAGGACAAGTCTTTCCATTGACCATCGGCCACTCGAGTTGAAGACTTGATTGTACCAGACACCTAAATCAATGCAATTTTGAATCATTCGTTCTGTTTTGATGATTGGAAAGTCTCGCTCTAATTTCCTCAAGTCATTCTTTATATTAACGCCATGAAGACGAACTCTTGGATGATTTAAGAACGCTGCAAGCGTCGCAGGAATTTTCTTAAGCAGAGGCAAGTGAAACAAATAACATTCATCAATATCAACACAAACTTGTATTAATGAGGTTTTCTCGGGTCCTGTCTGGAAACTAAATGTCCATTCCATATCAAATGCTACTCCAACCGTATTATTAACATCATCAGATGGTTTAGATTCAATGATTTTAATAAGTTTTTCGGAAGTTTCAGCAATGTCATGATAGTCGCTTAGATAATAAACTTTTCCCTCATAATCAACCATTGGAAGATCATCAATATTAAACTTTGGTTCAAGATTTTTCAACTCTTCGGCACTCTTTGGAAATTGATAATTTGATCGCAATCTACTCTTATTTATCGGTTCATCATCTTCATTAAATTTGTTTACAGCTAATTGATTCAATGGTTCTGCTTGCTTTGTTGATATTATGTTGCTTATTGCATTATTCACAGCTGCGCGTTGTCCTGACATCCACTTTGGAAGTTTTCTGAATTTTTTACTCATTCTGATTGAGACAATTCACACAATTACCTAAATTGATTAAGTTTCCTGGTTAACAATTTTCCTTAAAAAGGCGGTTAAAATTTTATAAGATCATTTTCGAAAATATTTCGAATGTTCACAGACCGTTAAATATCTATTCAATTTAAATCTAAAGTAAAGAATTGCTGAAATTTTGGAAATATTTTCTTTGGAGTCTTTTATTTAAATCTTTATTAATATTTTTATATAAGCTAAGTATTAATATAAAAATAAAATAATAAGCATGTATATGACTATCTACCAATGATAAAGATCTTCCATTGTGTTAAGAAAAGGTTCCTCATAGAACATTCTGATGATATTGCTGATTGTTTCATTAAATCCATCAAGCATCGACTTCTTGCTTTCAATCAATCCAAGAGCTTGAAGTCCAACCATGCGAACATCATTGAATTTCTTATTACTTAACGCATCTTTTAATTCTGCCACAGCTTTTTCATATTCCAAAGAAATTTGACTATCGTTAATGAATATTGCAAAAATAGCACAAGAAAAACATCGAAGCAAAATTTTCTTCTTGTTTGATTGATCATTTTTTCTCAGTCCAATAACACCCAACAATCCATCACTCCAACCTTCAGGTTGTGTTACATTAACTTGGAAGTATCGTGCAATTATCAAAAGCTGATGTTTCACTGCTTCTGAACGTTTAAAAATGTGGCCACCGCTTATGATTAAAAATCCCCACAAAAGTGCAATTTTTGATTCGAGCACTTCCAAGGATTTCTTTTCAGCCAACTTAATTTGTAAATCTTGTAAAAATGTCACACGATCATTGTCATCGGATAAATTTTGCATCTTTACATTCGACAACAAATAAAGCGAAAGGAAGAAATCATTGGTGATTAGAATATTGTGATCAAAGTTAGTTTGTGATGCGCGAAATCTTTGAAGTGCATCAGGCCATGTTGGAGTGTGATTTGGACAAAGTTCTGTCAAAAATCTCATTTTTAATCATTAAAATAATTGAAGGAAAATTAAATCTCACCTGAAACTCTCATGTAGTTGAATAAAGTTGATTCAAGAACTTGATAAACGCGCAACGTCCAATGTTTCTGAACTTTAAGTGCATTCAACATGCAACATAAGACAATGTTTCCTGTTTGACTACTCGTTTGCCACAATCCAATAGAATCAGCAAATAATTTTGATGTTGATTCAGGAATTGCCATATTTTGAACGATTGGAATCAACAAGTTTGTCATCTCCATCGTTGTTGCTTCATCAGTTATTCCATTAGACACGCACGATTCAATTGAAGAAAACAAAGAAATGCAAGCTTGATGAAACATTTCTTGACCTTTTTTTGTCTCCATTAGTTGATGTAGCTTCGCATCGCATCCTTTCAATAATCTCACAATCGAACGAACATATCCCATTCGTTTGGCAGTCACTGAAGTCTTTTGAAGATTCTGACAATCTCTTGGAAGCTCTTTCATGCACGAAGCAACTTGAAGCAAACTTATAACACAAGAATCAATCGTTTCATGTTCTGAAGGAATTTTAAGAATCACAGATGGCTCAGCTGACAACACAAACCAATCGAGAACACTTTCAATCTCTTTGTATTCCAACAAATGCCACGGATACTTCACAGATTCTTGCAAAATTTGAATAATTCGAATACTTTCTCTTACTTTCGGTTCGTAAGAAAACTTCACGATGATCATGAGAAGAATTGAAAGCATTCGTTGTGTTATTTGATAATCCCACACGTTGATGCTATGTTGAAGCCATGAAGTCCAAGGAATCCGCAAGAACATGCTACCAACAAACAAATGACAATCAGGAAGAAAATCCATAAGAATTCGGTTCAATCTTTCCATGTGACTCGGATCAGGTCGGAATCGTTCCCAAGGCATTTTCATTAAAAGTGTCTGAATCGGTGTAAGGACATGCTTTGGTGTTGTTTTATATGCAAAATATCCATCGTACCAACAAAACAAATGACCCATAAGAAGATTACTTGCTGGAAGCATATCAAGAACATATTGAAGGCACATTGCAAACATTCGAATAACTTTTCCAGCATTGTCAACATGAATTTCTGACCAAGGTTGAAGCGCAGAATTTGTTGACGTGAACTGTTGAATCCAATTTGCTGGCGCGTCTTTCATTGTTTGTGGATAGTAAGGAATCAACCAAGGCGAGAACATTTCACTTAAACATGGCCAAAGCCAATTGACAAGTTGATCGGCCATAATTCCAGGAAATGATTGAATTGCTGATGCGACAGCTGAATGTCCAATTGAGCCCATTAAGAAGCAAATAACATCGCAATGTTCCGAGAACTTTGGATAAAGTCCATGCAAGCCATATTGAAGTCTTTCATTGTAGAAATGATGGGCCAACATCAGTGACGTCGAATGAACGTCATTGTAACTTAAAATGTTTTGTTTCGAACCGAAATTTCTCATTTCATCTTTCATTCGTCCAATTGACATTTCAGGATCAAGCTTTGAACATCCAATGCGTTGATAAAAACCATTTAAAAGATCCAACAACACATTTGGCTTCAACCTTTGCGCGGAGAATCCATTGAGAACACTTTGCAAGATTTCACCGTAATGTTCAGGAAATTGATGAAGAAAAAGACTCACAAGATGACATCGCAACAAATCTTGAAGAAGATCCGAGTTTTGATGGTTCCAAAGTTCAAGTCCACGAATAACAAGTTGAATTAAATTACTTATTTCAATAAGTTTTGGTTTATGAAGTTGAAGCCATTTTGGGATGTCAAATTTAGAAAATAAAACGAAAAGAAGTTGCGGCTCGCATCGTTTCGCATATGAGTCGACAAGACTTTTGTACATTTCGAGAAAATATTTCGGAGATGACACTGACGGTGTAAAAAGTTCTGCAATTAAATTGACAAGATTTGAACGTTTCAATGCGAGTTTGAGAAGATTTTGTCCTTCGGTGTCGTGATTTTGTTGAACAAACATTCCAAGTTTCGATATCGACACAGAATAAAGTTCTTGAGTGACCGGACATGACTGAATCTCTTCATTGATTTCATCAAGAATCTCATAGAAGAAACTTGTTCCGATTTTCAAAATAGATTCGCAGGTTTTGTCATCACCACGATTTTGACTATTCTCGTATTGCTCAAGAAGTTGTTGAATTACATTTTGGAGACAGAAATTTGCATCAACAATCTTCGGGTCAGGTGATTTTGTTTCTTTTACAATCATTTGCTTTTGCAAGTCACGATTATCGTCAAGTCTTCCTTTGATATGTTCATTTAGCTTTGCTTCTTTAAACTCAAGTCTGATTGTTGTCGAGCCTTGACAATTTTCAATAAGTCTCGAACAAATTGCGCTCTTCAATCGAATGCTCGATTCGTTTACATAAGCAAGACGAACAGTGTCTCTATAAGCGCAGTCGATTGCTTTGTGTTCGTCTACCATCATGTTGAATTGACTGTGAAGAAAATAAGAGAAAATTAATTAGAATAAAAGTTAAATTGAGATTCACTTACTGCGCAAAGTTCTGTAAAATTCTCGATTCATTTCTAAGCAGTTGAAGTGTTGATTTCGATGAATCAACTCGGCCCATATGAACATTTTCCTTCACCAATTCTGGTGGATCCAAAGGCCTTCCAATCATCTTCAATCGCGTGAACAATTTTTCTTTAACTTGATCAATTTTCATCTCATCTTCGTCGTCAGTCTTTGCTGTGAATGAAGACGAAGACTGAGAAGTGTATCGCGCACAAACTGCCAACCAACTGTTGCAGTCAGCTTTTTGTGTTTGTTTCAAATCAGGAAGGAAAATGAATTCCGTCCAATGATCGCGATTTCCTTGGAAAATTTCTTTCAATCGAGGATGATCGTATTGTGGCGGTAAAATGATTCGCTGTTGTGTCATTTTATTTAATTGCGTCTCTTCCAGCCAAAGAAGGAAAGTTTTAAACAATTTTGCACAAGTCGTATGAAATTGTGACTTCAATCCTTGCGTAAATTTCGTCGCTTGTTCGATGTGAAGATTCTCTGAATCGCTGAATATCTTTTTAAGCTTCTTCATTAAAGTCACATCAACATCGTAGAACTTATCTTGAACTCCATGCGCTTCTTCCGAGATATTTCCCGGTACACGACTCATGTACAAAGTAAAAAACTGCTGACAAACAATCGGAAAAATGAAATGTTTTGGCGACATTTTCATGATAAGTTTCGCAAGTTTGAAGATTACAAGAGATTGGAATGGGAAAACTGTGAGTTGTTTCGCTGGCAGCGTTTTCTTCAGCACATTTGGAAGCGTTGTTCGATTCTGTATCAATAATTGACACAAGAATTCACTCCAAAATCCGGTATTCATTTCAATACTTTGAAATTCAAGTTCAAGAAGAACAAGAGACAAAATTGGAGCGTCTTCTGATGGTATGACAAGAACATCTTTCTCTTCAGCAGTTAATAATGTTAACAATCCAGAAGATTTTGGAATTTTAGTGTCGGAAATTTTCACAACAAACGGTCGAAGAATTTCTTTTGTTTGTGACCAGGCTCCAGGATTTTGATAAGCCAATTGACAAATTAAATCAAGAACCCAAACGACGCCTTGATCCTTGTTCCATTCCTTAAGTCGTGTCAGACAATTCAGCCAAAGTTGAATCAATTCATTGGGTGAACTCCAACCATATCTCGAATAATTTATGACTTGATGTTGAATCATATTGCCGAAGAATGTCAAAACAGGTCCGCGAGCATCAGCAGTCATCACTTCTTTAGCTAACCTTCCATATGTTCTGTCAGCAACAAATAATGAACTCAAAACCGACATAAAACTCTCGCAAGAGTATAAACTGCTTTGACAACTCACAAACAAAGGCGTGATGAGTTCAAGACATCGAATGACTTTTGAATGTCGATAATCATTGAGCAAAAGTTTGAGTTGATCAAATCCTCGATGACAAATTTGAGGAATTGAATGACCAACTTGTGACATGAGCAAAGAAATGTAAATCGATAATGGTTTCTGTTCCGTGAATCCTTGGTAAATCCCATGAGTTGTTTCAATTTCCGGCACCATGTTAACAATCGCCGGATTTTCAATCAAACTCATCACTGTTTGTTTGTTAAGATCCATGAAATGAAGTCGAAGAACTGACACCATCGACCAACACCACATCGAGAATTGCTCTTTCTTTGAAGGATTCTTTTTGCCACTGCCAACCTGTCTTGCTGTTTCTGACACGCCACTTCCAATCGACTCGCCAATGTGCTTCATGTAAACTTCATTCACAAGAAAAGCCATTCGAACGTGAATCTCATGCGGCAGAAAAAGTTTGTCGTTTGCATCGAAATTCCAATTCATGACGGCAAAAATTACTCGAGCTGTGGCATTCTCAGTTGAATCGAAGTCAAAGTTCAACAACCATGAAGCGAGAACTTCCAAATCTTCAGTCTTTGGTTTCCACATTGCTATTGGAAGAGCTTTAAACAAATACGAACTTGAATTTCCAACTTTCTGAAGATTTGTTTTCAAATAATTGAAAATATTGGCGATCAAGGTTGGAAACTTTGTCGTAATATTCGTCAATAAATCTTTAACTGTGTTGTAACAAAAGTCTCTTGTTCGTTCATTTATGAATCCAATTTGAAGCAAATCAATCGTAATAAAGATAATGAAGTCAAAATCTTCTTTTCCCTTTGCAAGTGCCATTTGAGCGAAAGCGTGAAGCAGGAAGAACAAATCGTCGGTTGCCACATCGTCGTTGAACTTTGCACTGAAATCATCATCAATGATACGGCGAGTAATGTCTGTAAAAGAAATTTAAAATCAATAAAGAAAAACTTAAATTTTGCAATTACAACTCACCATCTTCAATAACTTTAAAATCGCCAACGTGAAGATAATAAAAAAGTTTCCAAAGCGACTTTGTTGACACGTGACGATATGGAAATTCAGCCAAATATTGAAATAAACTCAACTTTTGACTTTCATAAATGAAATGAGTTGATCGAATGATAAGTTCATCAAACTCAACTTGAATTCTTTGATATTCTTCGGGATCTTTGTAGCAATTATTGGTGTGATAAAGTTGGATGATGTCGCTGATATAGAACAAAGTATTCTTCATCAGTCGACCAAGACGTTTAGCAAACTGCTTGTAACGTTCAGTATCGTAAGTTGTTAAGCCGCGCTTCATAATTCCAATAAACTTTGATGAGAATGCAATTGTTCTGATTATATGATGACCGGAAATCTTCTCCACATCCAACTCGTAAGTTTCGTTTCTTTTGTGACTGTGTGTCATCATACAAAACAACATTTCAAAAGGAATTTGATCAAAAATTGCAACCAAATCATTCTCTTTCAGTCCGATACATTCTCCAGTTGGCGAGCTGCCTTCTTCACCATCAGAATCAACGAGAATCCAAATTTCTTCATTAACATCATCATTTGTTGGATTTAAATCTTTTGTGATTCCTTCGAGAAAAGTTCCACGATTTTTCACAGGCAACAAGAGAGCAGATAGAATCGCAATACAATGCTGAAATTCTGGATAAGTAAAAGGATTTTGATAGACGTCAGGAAGTCTTTGTAGCACGGGAACTTGAATTAATTCAGCTGCCCAACTTCCAACACCAACAGGACAACGAAGAACATGAAATAGAATAAAAACGTGATCTTGCCAAGTCGCTATCCGAAGTTGCAAAGCCACAAGCTTCTTAATCCAATTTTGAACACAATTTATCAGATATTTGTCATGAAGTTTGTCGCGAAAGAATTTGAAGAGAATCGAAATGTAAAGACGAAGATCGTTGATTTTACTTTTCATATCAGGATAAACAATTTCGTCGTTGAGAGCAACAGGCGAATCTTTCGGCACATCATTGAATGATTTACTGTTCATTAGTTCAGCAATCAATTGTTCGATTTGTCTTTTATGTAATTCTGAATCTTGACTGAATTTTGTATGGTTGAAACAAGACAAGTTTAGCAATTCTTTCATATTTTTGTTCACTTCACTGTTGATGTCTTCATTGAAAACTGCGTGATCATAAGTATGGCTTGCTGTCGCAGGCCTTCCACAATCACAAGAGCCATGACCGACAGCGTATCGTTTCTCAATTTTCCAAATATTTTTATAATCCTTGTCGAGTTTTGATGTAATGTGAGAAATGTTTCTTAAATTCAGAAGACATTTCGAGCGACTCTTCGCAAACTTCTTCAAAAGTACAAAGAGTGGATGATCTTGAGCGTAAACATCTTTAAGTTCTTTATCAACAAATTCCTCCTCGAACATTTCAATAAGTTGAATTTGCCGATTTGAATAGAGTTGCTCGATTTGGAGTGGTGTGAAAGGTTTCACAGTCACAGGTGAGAGAATCTTCTCAGTTATTTGAATCGCTGAAGTTGTTGCAACATCTTTCAAGTCAGGATAAAGTGTCTTGTCATAAAGAAATTTCGTATGCACTGATGGCACATCTTTAACTTGTTCGCCTTCAATATTTGGAGCTGATGGCAAGTATTCAATCTCTTGAGCTTCTTCAGTTGAGTCTGCAGTCTCTTCATCATTTGCGATAATTTCAAGTGCATCACAGCCATTATCTGTTTTTATTTCAACTTTAGAAGTTTCTCCGTTTTTCACACATTCACTGAGCTCTTGAAGTTCCTTGAAATCAATTTCCTTAAAGGAATCTACTGAAGATTGTGGATAATCAATGTCAAGACTAAGATCACGAAATTCATGCTCAACGTCGTCATCCTCGCTGACTTGACGTATCTTTTTCTTTTTCTGTAATAAAAATAAAAACCTATCAGTCAAGATTGATAAGTCATAAAGCTTTGAAATAATTTTACGATTTTCAATGAAATTTCATGCAAAATTTTTTCATTCATTTTGTTGTGATAGTTTTAAAATCTTTCATTGTCATTGAAAAATTTCTGTACTGAAAGATTATTTAGAAAATCTGACTCCAGATATCTGATTTCCGTTCCATTTTTAAAGCGTTTACACAATTAGAGATTAAATTTGTAAACAAACAAAGAAAAACTGCGGAATTATGAAATATTCAGACTTGCCTTTGTTTTTGGATGTTCAATTTCCATTTTCACATTAACTACACTTTTGTCATAAACTTTTATATTGAAATTTGCAATATTACTTCAATAAAACTTTGATATTTATAAAATCAAAATTTTCTTTAGCTTGCAATATTATTTGTGATATGGGATACAAGTACAGATATGTATAAGTAAAGATCACGTACTTTTGCACCCTTCATTTCGAAATTTCGAAAAAGGAATTAAAAGTGAATCGAATAGAGAAAGAAAAAAATATTTTTCTCTAATTTTCTACTTAACATCAGCTTTTTGATTACTACTTTTTGCTAAAACAATAAAATTCTAGTTAAGTTGCAATTGTAAAAAGTTTATTAGTGAAATAAGAAGGAAGAAGATTTATGAAATGTCGTTTTTTCATGGTAGGATATAAAATTGCACAATTAAGCTTTAAATCGATAATTTCCTTTATTCTTTATAAACTTTTTTAGAGCCACCACCTCTAGATTGTGATGTTCCACCACCTCTCGATGACAAATTGCGAGATAATGACTTCGACCTTGAAGATGAAGAAATTATCGAGGACAATAGAAATTTGGAACTACCAGAACTTCCTTCGGATTACAATGTTTTCAGTTCTGTTGGCATTTCTTACATACATGAACCACCTGACCTTCCCGATCTAATAAGTCCTAATCAACAATCACCATCTGACTCCAAAATTATAAACCAAAACAATACAAATGAATTATCAAATAGTGACGTAGCAAAAGAAAAAGAAAGTTTTAAACCTGATGTTGATGTTCTGCAAAACACTGAGAAAGAAATTATTGATGACGATAAAAAGCTCAATGACGAATATTTAAATCCAGTTGTGGAAAAATCGATGGAAGTGCCACCGATTATTAGTGAAAATTTTGAAAGTAATTCTGATGTTTCTGCATCTGTTGCTAACATTCCAATCCCTAACGAGACTAAAATCGAAGAGTGCTCGCAAAATAAAGGAGATTTAGGTGAAAATAAACAAAGTAAATTGACAGTGAATGTGATTGATGATGAATTTCATGATTTTGTGGAAGCTCCCCCGCAAAGTGAACATGAAGTTGAGTCTGTTGAGAATTTCAAAGCTTTCACAGAATCGCAAGAGATAGAAACAGAATTTGATGACTTTACAAGTTTTACAAAGAACGAAGAAATTGCAGAACCAATTCCAGAACTGAACTTAGACGATGACGATGATGATGATGATTTTAATGATTTCGAATCAGCAATTCCTGTGAATCGACAAATTGAACAAACGCAATGCTTTACAACGCTTAATGAGAAAGATGAGAAACCAGAGGAAGAAGTTGCATTTGAAGCTGATTTTAGTGCATTCAATGCTTTCAGCGACAAAATTGATGATGTTCAGGGAATAAAATCGGAAAATGATTCAAAGATAAGTCAATTAAAACATGACGGAGAAGATGATGATGACGATTTTGGTGATTTTAGTGACTTTACACAAGCTGCCATTTCAAGTAGTGAGCTTGAAGCTCATCAACCTGTTTCCGTTGTGAAACCAACAAATATTTGTGGTCTTCTCGACATGATGTTTCCTTTCGCTTCTTACACTCAAAACGAAACATCTGAGGTGCTAAAAAATGACTCTTCAAATGAACAAAAACTTTTGAAGAATGACAAATATGTGACGAAGTTTAACGATTTTGATTCAACATTAGCACTTGGACATCATTACAGTAATTCAAAAACAAGTCAATCGCTTGTAAAAGCTCTTGGAATTGATACAAGAAATATGGTAAGTTGATTTATTTAAAAAAGTTCTTTTTATTAAATTTTTATTTCTTAGTTACTTGGAGCTCAATGGGCGTCATTATCAGCATCATCACATATGCCACGATTTGCAGCAAATTTAAGTTTCAATCCGATTGAACCAATTAAACCTTCAACTGCTCAAGCTTCATCAATATCAGTGTCAATAGAACCAAAGTCAACACCTCAACCTGGAAAAATAACAGCGGAAACTGTGCCGGAAGTCGAATTTGATTGGAATAGTTCGGGATTAGTGAATCCATTAGACGGTAAGTTTAAGCAATCTTTCATCCTTCTTTTCTAGTTCTAAGCAATTAGTTTCTTCATTTATTTCTGTTTTCGCCAAATTATTGCTTTGGTTCAGCTTTTAAAATCAAAATTTATTAATTTTTTTTCGAATTTTGATGACGTCACAATGTTTTATGTAAACTTTCTTTGTGACTTCATCATTAGTAAGCACTTCATTTAAGGAAAAATTTTAGTAATGTTTCTCTTATTTTGACTCGACTCTGCTCTTTCTCTTCGCGACCTCAAACCTTGTAACTTTCAAACCTTTTTATCATTCCTAAAAAAATGAAAAACAAACAAAATTCCTTGCCCCGCAATCCTCGTAGCACACAAACCGAACTATCTATTGGATTTAGAGCAACTTAGAGTGGCAATGGCAAATTCTGATAAAATAAATTCCTCATCTTCTCTTAACCATGCTCCATCATCCCTCGTTGATCCAACTAACAAACTGACCGATATTGATGATGTTTTACGTCAATTCGATTCACTTAACATCTGTCAAACAACTTCTGCTTCTGTTGTCACAAATCATTCGACAATTAAACGTAATAGTAAGTGTTTGATATTTCTTGTAATCTTGTTGTTGATGTTGTTAAAATCCCATTAGAAAACTTTTGGAATATTTCTCATCATTGTGTAGATGTTAATTGGAATTGAAGATGAGAATGAAATTTGTAAATATCAAACAAAAAAGATCTTCAATTCCTTTCGTTAAAGACATTTTTTATTGTTATAATAAATGATTTAATCTTTCATTAGGTTCACAACCTAAACCCCAACAATCCAATGAATCGATCATCAATGAACAACAATCATCGTCAACACATTCTGTCGAAAATGAATCATCGATCTATGGCATGGATCAAGAAGTCACACAAGTTCTCGAGACAGAAGCAAAAGTCAATGCCGGTCATAAATCTGAACTAAATGACGTTTCGTCATACCAATGGAGTGATTTTGGCGGTGCATCAGCAACGACAACGAATAACATTGTAAGAACGATTAAACTTCCTGAAACTCACATCTTCACACCTGTCAAAGGAACAAGTCCAATCGCTCGTGAAGTCAAAAGCAGAGAAGCTTCACCAGATCTTGACGATTCTTATTACAATAAAGGATCGATTGTCGTTAAAGAATATCACGATGTCGAATATAGTCTCAAGCCTTCATTGAAAAGCGAATCAGATGATTTTGATGACTTTCAATCAGCACAACCAAATGCTATCGTTTCGAAACCTGAACCAATTCTTCTTCCGATGAATATTTTGGAACCAAAAAAAGTTGTAGATAATCAAACAATGGAAATTAAATGGCCGGAACCTGGAAACATCACTCAAAATGTTGAACTTGATTTTCTGGAATCATCATCAGCACCACCAATTCAAGAAGCTTCAAAATCTATTATTAGAACGTCACCAATTCAACAGCAACAAAACGGTAATGATGATGATGACGATGATTTTAATGACTTCCAAGCAGCCCCAGTGAAACCTCAAATAGAGAAAAACCTTTCAAATGATCCAATAACTTTATCACCAGCACGTCTTGTATCACAACAGCAGCAATCAAATCAGAAAGCGATGTGGATAAGTTCGTTAGATGATGTTGAGATAAGTCGAATTGAAGCTGCTTTTCCAAAATGCAAGACTGAAAAGAAGACAATTTCCTCTCATGCTGATGCTGATGACGATGATTGGAGTGAATTTGTTAGCGTTACACAACCAAATCCATCACATCCCCCAGCAACAGAACAAAATCATGCAAAAGTGAAAACAAATGGCGATGCTGATGATTGGTCGGATTTTGTGAGCGTTCCGCCACCTTCAATGTCAAACATTCCGTCGTCGAGATCTTCTGGTGCTATTTCTAGTCAATTTCAACTTCAATTCCAATCAAAGCCTAATTTCTCGTCATGGAATACGCCAATTGGAAAGCCGTATGTGAATCATACAACATCTTTTTTGACCAATGATGCGATCTCACGTAATCAACAATCATTTAGCAATAATAACAATTATGGCTACGTGAATGATAAAATATCGAAGCCATCGATGACAATCACAAATAATTTCAGTTATGGTTTTAATCAACCAGAGCAGTTTCATAACTCTTCGTCAAGTCATCATCAGCAAACGACGAAACCAAATGCAATTTCAACAATCCTCCCTGAACTTGATTTCGCGATGCCAAAGCATTTCAATTTATCGCGTGGTAATAATAGCGGTGGTGCTGGAAGTAGAAGTATGGATTCTGGAAAGAAATGATTGTTAGCTAACGGTCAGTCTCTCAACGTCGGTCGTGGTGATGGGACTAGTTTTATCGGTGATATTATTATGTAATATTTATTTCATTCTCTTTCCTTCTTTTCCTATTCATTTGTAATCATTTGAAAGATGACGTAAATTTCATTAACATTATTCTTTTTATTATTATTTTTATTTGTTGTTGTTGTTATCATAAAAAAGATCGTAATCGAGAGATTGACCGCAAAATAAATATTCGTAATGTAAATAGATTTTAAATGAATGCAAGTGAATGATACTTAAAATGATTATTTTATTAGATGGGATAAAAAGTTTGATTCGAGACATTTAAAAGAAAAACTTACGTCCAATATTGAGATAAACGATGAAATTAATTTGTTGAAAGAATTTTAGTTGGTGGAAATTTTTTTTGTCAATCTTCATGATGACTTGAAATTGAATTTTTGTCCTAAATAATTTTGGAATAGAGTTGATGAAAAAAAGATTTGAAGTGGAGACAGTGACGGTAAAATATATGAAAGAAAACATTCCATTAAATGCTTTTTACTCCCCCACAAAATGAGAAGTCGACGAGATTTCCAACTAACATTTTTCATTTCAAATATGTTAATAGATAAATTAAGCAAAATCTGGTCACATTGAGTTACTGAACGGAAGAATTCCGACGTAAGGAAATTAGTGATTGTATAATGGAAAATAAATGTTGCATAGTAAATAAAAAAAAAGAAATAACGAGAAACGTTTGTTTTTATTTATTGTAATTTTCATTTTATTTCTTATTTATCTCTTAGCATTTTACAGCTGATTATAAATATTTCTTTTATTATTAAATCAACTTAAATTCTAATGGATTCTTGTTTATCACAGATGTGAAGAGAAAGAAGGAGAAATTTGAAAGCTCAGGAACTTGGCACACGAAGAACGAAAAGGAAAAGTTTTCAGATTAATGAATTTTTAAGATTTCCAAATCAATAAAGAAACTTTTGAGTTTTGATTAAAGATAGAAAAAAGACTTCCAAGAATTAAATGAGCTTTCAAATTGAATAGAAACCTAAAATCTTCTTAAAAATATTGTTAAAAGTTTTAAAAATATTTACAGTCTTTTAATGGAAGTTAAAACTACGACATGTTCACTTCCCACAATTTAATTGTATTATCCAACACAATCTCATACCATTTTCTTTTATCTGGATCTTTAAAAGCAACTTTAAGTGACTTAAGTTCAAGTTGAAGGATCGCTTCATTGCCTAAAAGTTCATCGAGTGCTTTTAATAATGAACTTGAACCATGAAGCTTCAAAAGACTGTTGTACGTGAAGAGATAATAACTAAGCTTTAATTTCCTTTGTGCCCATCGTTCAACTGTTGAATTGCCACTTGAACATCTCACTGATCCTAAATGTTCAGCAAACCATGGCGCAAAGAAATTGTAAAGATCGCTCTTGGAAAGTGAGAGAACACCTCGGGATTTCAGTCTCTCTTTAATGTGCCCGTAATTTCTTTTGTTAAACACAAAAACCTGTGCAGAGAATTTTCAAAACTTTAATCAAATTATGAAATATTAAATTAAATAATTCGTGTAACCTGATAAAGCGAATTTCCGGTAACATAACTATTGATGTAGTGCGTTCCAAATTTCTTCATAAACTCCAACACTGACACCGTGTCACCATCAGTGACGTTGTTGATTTTCGCAGCGACACTCGGATCGATCAATTGATTCGGTGGAATTGGTCGTTGTAATCTTGCACGTTCACGAAACCGCGACACTCTCACCAAAACATAACTGATGAAGTAGAAAGAAATTATTAGATCACAAGTTAAACAAAAATGACATAAAAGTTTGTTTGTTGTTTAATTATATTCACCTGTAATCACCGATAATGTAAGAAGAATTTATTCCTAATTTCTTTGCAGTTATTTCAGCATGCCAACCATCTGTGAATGCTTTCCATGGACTTGCCATATCTTCAATCTGAAACTCTCTAAAGTATGCTTGAAACAATTGCTGTTTATTATCACAGAACTCCATGTGAAAGTCACCCATAAAGCCGCCTTTAGGATTGTTTTCGGCGGTCTCGAGAACCGAGAGACCCTATAAAAAGTAATTTTAATTTACGCTTCCTTTCATTTCATTTTTTTACCTGAAAAATATTTCTCGTTGGCTCTTTAAAGATCCATCGTTCAGTGTCATTGTACGAAATGACTTTCATTGATATCGACAAATAGCCGTAGCGTATGAACACATTAATGGATTTGCCGACACGAAGCAACGATTCCGATTGACCGAAGCATTCTTTGGTGGTGATCGTGATGATGAATGCCAGAGCAAAAATGCCCAACCATCTCTCTTTTCTCATAATATTAGCGCAGCTCTCAGAGAGTGTGCTGATGGAGTCTATGAAAGCGAATAAAAAGTAATAAATTGGAGTTATAATTAACTTCTAGTATCAATGTATGTATCAATCTACATTATGTTGTCGCAAGTTCAAATGTTGCGTTTTTTTTTCTCACGGCTGGAGGCGAAATAATTCAAGATCATCGCTCTTGCAATGACTTTAAGTCGCAGGCGATGAAAGAAAGCTTCGATAGTTACTGCAAGATATGAACAATTCATTGTGCGGGTCGTCACTACTAACCTTGTTGCACAATTCTTGTAACTTGAAACCAAAACGACATTCTTTATGTGAATAAAATTTAGATAAATTTTCTTTACGCATTTCTGAGCTTGCGAATGAAATAAAATGAATTGAAATTCAATTGAAGATGGAATGAAGATTTCGCAAAACAGCTTAACGATTTATTTGAGTTTGTAAACGGTTGGATGTGATGCAACTGTACAATGTAAGCGACTGGAAAAGTTACAGCTTTAAGATGACTTAAGTTGAGAATTTATTAATTTAGCATTTAAAAAGAAACAATTTTCACAATGCTAATAATAAACTTCCATGATTTGATTTCCTCTCAGAGATTGCTGTGTTAATTAATTTCCATGCAATTAGTAGTAATAAAACATGCAAAAAGGTTTTAAAAAGAACGACAATGAGAACGAGAATGCGATGAATTTGTTTGATCTCGATGTCATGTTGATTCAGATTATCGTGTGATTGTGCAAGCACATGTTTGATGTGACAAGAAATTAGTTTCAAAACAAATCACGTTTTTTCCGTCTTCTGACACAGAATTAAGTTCATTTTTGTAAGATTTTGCCGCCATGTGAAGCAAATAGCAACGACAGGGAAGGGAGAAAAAAATTAGAAACTTATTCAACGTCACGTGTATGGTTTTTTTATTTCATTTTTATTATTCTAACGATCGTCTTAGGACACGTAAAAACCAGTGAATCTTGATAGAACCAGAAGAAAAATTAGTCGAGTCATCGAAAATAATTTAAGAACTTCACGGTCTTAATTTAGATTTTTATCTCGAGACAAACTTTTTCTCTGACGATGCATTCAAATATTCCTCGTTTCATTTAAAATATTAGAATTTCCATCTTCATTTCTCAGCTTCATTGATTTGACTCTGAATATTAATTTTTAGTTAAAATTGAAGTTTCATTCACAATTGCCGACATAAAATTTCATTCCATAAACTTGGTTGACCTTTGAGAAACTTTAATTTTTATTTTTATGCAATTTTACAGTCAAGCAAGAAACATTTTGTTGTCTAATTCCTGATTAACAGCAAACACGAGAAAAAGTCGTAAACGACGATCGACCAAGACCGGCATGCCATGTACTTATGCAAATATTTATTTACTGGTTTGTAAAGGTAATAAATTAAAGTTTAGTGAGGATGCTTTGATATAAAATGTAACTGTTCAGAGATCATCAAACCTGAAAGCCTTCTTTATTAGGAATGGGATAACATTTCAAGTTCCATTCTCATGTTTAAATCGAGTCACGCATGTAACGTGTAAACTTTCATTACTCATTGGGACTCCTCTTACCATCAACATTCTCGAAAACTTACTTAAAATTTAAATAGTTTCGCAAGTAAAAGAAACAATCGAGACAACACGATAATGGCTTTTAATTAACCTCGACTCATTCCTTGGATTCAATCAATCATAATTGATTTTCAACGATTTTGTTTGGCTGTGAATTTCATTTCTGATAATTTTGCTTAAATGAAATTGTCTTAGAGGTCAATTGAGAAATGTTTTAGTCTATTTGGATATTTAATGAATTTTCGCGGCTTTACTCGCCTTTATTTACACTTCAAAACTAAAAGTGACTACGAAAAATTAATTTCACAATCGATCTCATGCCTAACTATCGTTTCTGTAAAATTATTATTGACGACACTCGATCTAATGTTTATTTTTCAAGTTGATACATGAAATGATGTTTTAATAAATTATTAAACTTGAATATTGACAATGTTATGTCACATACTTTTAGTGCGTAAGAGAGAAGCGAAGATATGAAAAGATTTCATTGAAATATATTTGAAAGGTCATCAGAATCATTTGCAATCAAATGACTTACATAATGAATGAATGACACAAAGTAAGTCCATTCATGTTATCATCTTCATAAATAGATTCTCCTATTTATGCATTCAAATCATACATATGAACATAATAAAAATACTTAAGATGAGGCTATTAACACTTGATGCTTAGTGACCGTGAAATGGACAGACGAAAATTAATTTTCAAGATTCAATGTCATTTCGTGATGATGATTTAATTGTGCTTCCTTTGTCTTGTCTATTTTTTCTGGTTCTCCTCATATCTTTTGATTGTTGTTGAATGTTTTAAAGCTTCATGTCGTCAGTAACTTGTTAAAGATTTATGTCGTGTGAAATAAGAAAAACAAAAAGACGTTCTTCGTTCTTGCTACAATCTTAAATCCGGGATGAAGAAGAACTTTTAGAATATTCTACTCAGTTGTGGAAAGAAGAAGGAAGTCATCTTCATCGTTCGACTACTTAAACTGAATGAACTTGAACAATGTCATTGTGCATCTTCCGAGGCAGTCGTACTGAAACTGTCGGCAATGATAAAAATTATCATAAATATCAATAATCTCATTAGCATCAGAAACTTGTAACATGAAACCGGATAAAGTTGTTCATTATTTGTCATAATTGTTCCAAAATTATGATGATTTTTAAGTGAACTCGTTAATGAGATTTCATGTTTTTTACTTGTTTTAGAGTCAACTTAACAAGTTAATTTTTAAAGTCGATAAGCTTTGATATCTGTTAATTAGAAATTCATAATCGATTACAATTCTACAGCCGTGGTTGCTAATCTCAAAGTCATTAATGCAAGTTCAGTTGAAGCTTTCACTTAACCCAGCTATTAACTTAAAAGTAATTTAATAGTTGTTAATCAAAGTTCAATGTTTTTTGAATAAACTACTCGAATAACTCTCAAATTGACCAATTAAGTATCCTCTGAATTCACCATCAGTCAGTCATCATATCGCAAAAAATAAACACAAATGAACATTGTAATGAGTGGATGAACGTTCGACTGAGTTAAAAACGACACGTCGCGGTCTATTTGAATCGAGTGTCAAAAACTGATGATTCATTGTGCGTTCTTGATCATGTTTTATTATTATCGAGGAATAAATAACAAGACTCAAATATAATTTTAATTTGAGATGATTTTATAAAGAATTATGTAGTTAAATAATGGAATTGGCCCTGAACTTACCCCCAGGTTGTAATAATCGAAGAACAAGCCGTCAATCATTTCCGACCTCATCATCGGATGATTAAAGATTTCAATTTAAAACTTAATCAAGAGTGAAAATTAAAGTCACTTTAAAATGCACATAATCATGCAATGAATTGAAAGTGAATCAATCGCGTATTGAATTCAAAGTTTGAACATAAAATTTAAAATAAAAAACTGTGAAAGAGAAAAGGAAAAGTTGAAGTTCTGCGATTGGCATACGAAATTGACATAAGCAAATGAACTTTTATATGTGAAACAAATGACGATAAAAGCTAACGACGAGCTCAATCGATGACAAATAAAACGCTTATGGCTTCACCTAGGAAATTGCCTTTACTTCAACATGAAACTTGACTCGTCAAAGGAAGAAACGTTTGTTGAAAATTTACATTTTTTTCATTCTATGAATTAAATGTTTTTGAAAATAATTTTGCATTTGTAAGGCAAACAGTTCTAACAATAAACAATTAACTCTGATTAGTATTACGTAAGATAGGAAGTCGCTTTGTGAATGATTTATAATTAAAAACAGTCAACATAAGCAAAAAAATATTTCGTTGAGCATTTTTAGTTTCCTAAATGTCACGAATTTTAAGAAAGCAACAAACGGAACATCATCGACTATTCTGAGAGTCTTCAGAATTATTAATTTTCCTAAGAATTTCTATTTTTTTATTCAAAATAACCCCGGTTAAGTGTTGACATAACAATTTAAATAATCGGTTTGCCTCAACAAAGAACTTGGTTGTAAATCTTAAAAAAAAGTTAAAATTGCATCACCAATGAATGAATGAATGATCGATAAATGTAATGATTGACTGCGATTGGCATTTATCATAATAGGTCAGTGAAAATTATTACTAAACAAAAATTAAATAATTTCTTAATAGTAAAAACTAATAATAACTGTTCGATGATATTGGACACTTCAAGTCTTGCTTTTATTGGACCAAATAATAAAAATAAAAAATGTATTATCGGTAAAAAAACATAATAAATCGGCAACAAGCCAAAACGAACGAAGTCGCCTGCAGAACCGGTTTGCTGTGTTAAAGTATTTTCGCAAAAATTTTCTCATGCTCTTGTCTGCTTTTTAAAATAAATGGAATAAAATAGTTTTAATGCTGGCGTACGTCGCAATGATTTTTTCACTCTTAATTTTCGATATTCAAGTTTTCTGCATTTTAAATGAGTTCAATTGTACCTGTTGCTTTAAGTGTTTGTGTGGGGTCGCGCCAAGATCTTTTAATTTTTCACGGTATTTCATCACAAGTCAAAATACAAAAGTAGTAGAAGCGAGATCTGATCTGATGATCAAAAGCTTTTTAAATTTAAAATTGTACAATTTATTTAATGATTTTCATTGCCATGGTTTATCGAAATCAACTGAGATTTTTCTATTTATTTAAAAGCATATCAGTGAAGCTTAAGGTGGTTTTATAATCTAAAACAGGAAAAACAAAAATGATTTTGAACTTGAAACTGTTTTCTGGTTTCTGATAGCTATTAAGTTGTCGTAAGTTTGTGTGAAAAACTTGATACAGAAATGAATTTTTTCATAAGTTCAATTAATGAATCTGATCTTGAATAAGAATCTTTCACCAACAAGCAATTGAAAATGCAAATGTACGATTATGGTTTGTTTTGTAACTTTCATAGATATAAAAAACTTTTGGTTTGCATTAATTTTTATAAATAAGTCCTAAATTAATGAAACATTTAACTTGATTAATATGGTTGGAATTTAAGTTTGAAATTTGAAACTTATTTTGTAATCTCAATCAACGAGATTTTGCTTTTTTTCTTCTTATCCTTAGTTAACAACCAAACAGTTTCCATTAAAAATTTATGCATTCTCAATCAAACCAAAAACGAAAAATTAACAAAGCAAAATATTGCAATTGATATTGAAAGCCATCAAACGCCATTAATAATCGAGATTTTGATTCATTTCAATTGTCGGCATCGAGGACGTGATAAAAGAAAACAATAAATTTTCATACAAATTGAATAACAAACATTCTGAATTCAATTGAATCAATTGATCGTAATTTCTCCGTCTAGGTTTTGTTTTGCATCTCATCACATCATTGTACGAATTTCTTATCAATTTCAAATGTAAAAGTTTTATTATTTCAACCTTATGACACTTTGGTAAATTTCCTTTTAAATACTGCTTAGAAGAGTTTAAATTTAACTTTGGTTCTCATATTTATCTCAATTTTGTATTCAAATTTATTAATATTCATAGGAAGGTTGGAACAGCATTCAAAGAGATTAAACAAATTTTACCTTGGGCTGGGACTATCAGATGTTAATCCAAGTTTAAGATTATTTATTCCTATTTCAATGAATAATTTGTGGTTTAGAATGTCTTTCCTTGTTGTCACGACTTGCACTGTTTACAAACTCATTTCGAACATTTCTTCATTCTTCGCTTTTCTTTAAAGAATCTTTCGTTTGAAACAATCAATTTCTTTTCTTTTGTTGTGTTTAAATATTTAACTTTTGTCTACTGCTCTTATTCCTTGTTTAATTTAGAAACCGAAAGGAAAGAATGTTTTTAATTCACGTTCAACATCGACGAACGATCGCTGAGAACTGAAAGCATTCTCAAACATTTCAGCATGATATTAAACGATGAGAGAATCAAAGAAAATTGAGTGAGTAGAGTTGAATTGATAAATGCGAGCGGATCAAGAGAGAAACATAAAATTAATGTTGAGCGTTTTCGTTCGTTGGGGTTTGAAAAAAATATTTTTTTATTTTATGTTCTGACAATTATGAAATTTACTCGTACAAAAAGTTTTATCGGATTTTCACTTCACTCTGCAACTTTAAAATAATTTCAAAACTTCTTTTAATTTTTTTTTTATTTTTTGTCTAATATTTATAGTCACGACAAATAAATTAAAAGTGATCCACGCAGATCAATGATGAAGGTTGAGAAACAACACGAAAATATGTCACGCTGAAGATTGTCTCGTTTATTGGAACTAGCAAAATTATTCGCTTGGAACACTTTGTAGTCTTCACTCATTCAACCATACACAATTAGAATCGCGAGAAAATAATTCTTCCTAAAACTTCCTTCATTAACTCATAAAATATCTCTAAATAATATAAAATTATGCATTCGTTTTAAACATCGCGTATTTAATTATATCAACAAGTCAAAGTAGCAGCCTTGCACTATTCATAATTAAACTGAACTTTCCGTTATTCTTTTTGTACGTATGCATGACAACACAAACACCTAAGTAGGTAGTTGACGTTTAAAACTTAAGCATGAAGTTGAATAAAACAACAAAAAATTCCTTTTATTCTTTATGAATAATGTAATTAACACGTAAAGGAAAATAAAAATTATTTCTTTAACAATTGTACACATTTTTGATTAGTTGAGCATCTCCCCAGCTTAAAATATTTCCATCATCAAATTTATGCGATTTCTGTAAACCGAAACAAACTTTGAACTTTCGATACTAAATCAGCTTGTGATCTTTGAGACTTTGAAATTATTTCAAATACAAGACTGAGACTTAATAGCAGCAAGTTTAATTAAATAATTTGTCTCTAATTCTAGGTAAAATATCTCATTAAAAACTTGCTTTTGGGTTTAAGCTTTCAGCTTATATTTAACGATATGTGTGATTTAATTCAAGAGAGTTTTGTTATAATTCATCTGCAATTATTGCCTGAATGAAATATTTTGACATTTCTTCGAATTCAATCCTGGAATGTATGAAAATAAATAAAAATTCTTTCCTTTATTTGTACTCAAAACTTTTTCTTATTTTTATTTTTCATAAATTTCTCATCATTTTTAAATCAATAGAAACAAGTTGAAAAGAATAATTAAGATTAAAAGATAAAATTTCGTAACTGCAATGAGATTTAAGTAGGATTCGACCGAAATTATCATCAGAGAGTTTCCTTCTATGGAAAACGATGAAACTCTACATTTAAGGCAATTATTTAACGTCGTTTGTGGCAGACATTAAAATTTCTTGTCATTTAGTTACTTTTGAATATAAACTCAAGAGTGTTTCTTGGTGAGCTGCTGTTATCAAAAATCGATGCTGAAATTTCATGTTTCTTCTTCATATGAGCTGTGTACGTTCGCTTTTGTTTAAACTTTTGTTGACATATTTGACACTCGTGAACATTTCCACACTCTTTAAGATGAGTTTTGAGGTATTTAAATTCTGATTGGGATCAAAGAAATTATTATTTATTCATAAAGTATGAAATTTAATCTAAACTCACCAATATAACGAACGTTACACTTTGGACAGAAATATCGAACATTTCCCTTAAAGTCAAGTCCACGAGTTTCTTCTTCCAAAAATTCGTCACTTTTCTCTCCAGCAAGGTAAGATGAAATCACTCTTAGTTCATTTGAATGATTTAATGTTGCATGATTCTCAAGATTTTCCTGTTTCAAATGTTCGTCGAGATTTAAAATTTTAGCTGAAACTAAAAATATTTATGAGTTGATGAATCGGAGTAAAAAATGAGAAAATGTGAAGGAAAAATTCAAAGGTTTTGATGTTGTTAAATCTAAAGAGAGACTACAATGATGCAAAACTACTTTGATAGTTTGAGAATCGATTTATATATCTTTCAACTTCTACTTTTATGAATATCATTTAAAAAAATTTCTTTTAGTTTTGATTGCGAACGAAATATCTGAAAATAGAATTAAATTTAAAGAATTTCAATCGATTTTCTTTCTTTCCTGTATTTTTAATGAAATAATTTATTTCTTCTGTATTGATTTGATATACAAACAAGACAATTGGCACTTGAATGTAATTTTGTTGTTAACTGCATGGGATGAAGATATAAAGTTGCAGCCTGTAATTAATATTTTAGCTTAATTATATAAACGTTGAAAGTTTTTTTTTGGTTTTTAAAATTAAAATCGAAAAGGGAAAAAAATTCATAAAGTTTTCTTTAAATGTCTAAAAGATTTTCTGAAATATAAAAGAAATGAAACTGCATATCAATATTGTCAGGTTTGATGCAATGAAATGTAAGCTTAATGATAAATATTTGACATAATAATGCAATCAATGAACGATGTGATTTAACAAAAATTTAAAAGCTTTTAAAAGCTCTCATTGAATTTCTTTTCAAACTGAGCTTAAAGCTTCCGAATGCCCAAAAGCTTTGTTTCAATTTTCAAGATTTCTTTTTTATTCGTTTTCATGTTATCAAAAATACGATAAAAATTTTAATCTAGTAAAATAGTGTCATGTTGTTAGGTAAAGTTTTCTTTTATCTTGTATACATTTTCCTCGTTTGATTCATATTTGTAGAAATAAATTAATTTATTATTAAATAGGACTTTGGTTTGTTATTGCATAAAAAAGATAGAATAGAGCTTTAAAGATTTTCCATCTGTTATTAAGTAAGTTTTACGACATTAAAATTAAAGTTTTTATGACGAAAGAAAAGAGAAAAGAATCAACCGAACGCAATAAGCGTAAACTTAATCTCAATAAAATACCTCGCATTAAATAATTACATAAAATTATTTTTTTCTTTTTTGGCCTTGTAATTTAAAGTTTAAAGGATTTCATGATGAAATCTCAGTAAAAGAAATGAAAACTGGTTGAAAGTTACGTCAGTTAATGAGCTTGAAAACTTGTTTTGACTCATGTCAAGTCTGTTAACATTCCATTAAGCACTTCATCTCACAGAGATTCATCGAAAATCCTTTGATGATTGATTTTCCCATCAAGAGAAATTTAAAACTTAATTGTTTAAGTCAAATAATTCTTCGTCATCTTTTGGCATTAGTTCCAAGGAAAGTTGTGAAAAAAAGCTTAAAAATTTATATTTTCATAATTAATTTCTTTTGTTTTGATTAGCAAAATATTTTTGGCTTTGGTTGTCAATAAATTTCTAATAAATTTGACTCGCGATTCAATTTTTTTATTATTAAGTTTTTCCCGATTTTAACTTAATTTTGAGTATTTAACGCATTTTTAATTATTTTCTATCATTAATTTTAGTAAATTATTTATATTTATGCTTCGTTCATTCAATAAATAAGTTCATTTGACGTGACTTTTACGTATAGTTTTGCATTTGTTTGATTAAGTTTCAGAATCTTGTGTCGTCTCTGTCGCCATTGTCAAGTCCGTCATCGTCACCGTGATGACGCAGTTTAATGATGTTCTGTTGATCAATCTTATACTGTTTACGATGGATGCGTTTCTGATGCTGTTCCAAGTTCCACTTTCTTCGGAACTTTTTATAACATAATTTGCATTGAATCTTCTTTTCCATTCCACATTCATGGTTCATATGACGAAGCATTATGCTTCGAGTCGAATACCATTTACCACACTTAAAACATTGATAATCCTGACCATTCTTCCTCTGTAACATTTTAGTCGTGAAGAAGTCGTCGATGCCGAACATTCCATGCCACAAGCCTAATTTTCCAAGAGAAAAAATCAAAGAAAATGTTTTTCGTCAATGAGAAATGTTTTCTGAAAAAACGCATGAAAACTCATCGCATTGCATCATTTTGTTATCAAAGAAAAAAATCATTGCAAACGTTATTAAACAGAGCAAATTAGCATAGATAAAAAATTATTTACACACACACACAAACAATCCAAATCATAAAGTATGCAAAAAAGTGAAAAAATAAATAAAGAAAATAAATTAAAAATTTGTCGTGTTGGAATTTTCTTTTAAGAGATTTTTGTTTTGTTTTTCGTATGAAATAAAACGAGAGAAACTTAAGATTAATTTGGATTCAACATTTACAATCCATCAAAGTTCTTGGTGCTGACCACCGTGATCAAGTTTTCGAATCTGAAAGAGAAGATGAAGAAAGAAATGTTAGTAATGTGAATGTGAAATGAGTTTTAAGATTGCGACATGAAGTAAAAACTTTCATCCAATGAAACTTAATTATCGTTAACACTTTTTAAGCGCTCATTTATTATGATTTTTGTATTTATACTCTTAATAAAAATTTATTTTCATTTTATATTAAAAAATTGTATCAAAAGATTCACAAAATGCTTTCCCTGTTTTCTTTTTATCTTTAAATTTTTGTGAAGGAAAAAAATGATGCTTGAGCAGTTGTTGCTTGATAAACTTTGAAAAATATTCGAAACAACAAAATTATTTGGATGAAAATAAAAAAAAAGTTCAACAAATGAAATTAGTCATCGTCAGACTCCAACATTTCTGTTTTTATTGGCAGTGGTTCGTCTTCATCATCATTAATGGCATCATCTGTTATCTCAGGATAAAGTGCTGAGAAATCTAAAGTGAATTCGGAATCATTGACTGCTGTTGACTCATTTGTTGCTCCTTCTGGCTCGCAAAGCTTTCCGTCTTTCAACACAGCATCTGTCGGAGCCGCAAACTCTCCGGCCATAATTTTTTGTCTTAATTGAGTATCGTGTACACGAATTGAATGTCTAACAATGTGATCTTTACGTTTTGACCGATATTGACAGAAAATACAACCAAATCTCTTTTCTTTCAAGCAATATTTCTTTATGTGACGATTCACAGCCGTCGCATCAGCATAAACGCGACGACAATACGGACATTGTGATCCATTTGTCGTTGGCACAGGATTTGAACTGCTTTGATTCTGACTTCTATTTAATTCGTTATTGACTTTGATCACATTATTTCTTCGATTGATTGTGACATTCTTTGAATCCAAAATCTTTCGCAAAATTTGAAATGTTTCTCCGCCATCGCCTGCGAAAAAGAAATGAAAAGAAAATTATTAGTAAAAAATCAAATTTAATTAATTTAAGCTTTAAAATTAAACTTTGAACCGGAAATTATTAAAGTGAATAATACAATGTTTTGTTAATAAATTTCCAACCCTTTTTATCTTATTATCCATTCTCCATAAGATTTTTTTTGTGGTTGTTGATGATGCTTTGTACATGAGAAATTTTTCATTTAAATTATTTGATTTTTTATTTTTTATTAAATTTTTTATCAGAGTTTTTAAGTAACATTTTTGTGTTGTCAGTTTTAGGAAAAATATATTTAAGTAGATATCGTGATGCATTTACTTTCAGCATCTTTTGTCCCCGAAAGTTTAACCATCACCAATAAAAGGAATAATAATAAAGAAAAAAGTATTTAATGAATTGATAATTGTACAATTGAGTAAAGAAATTAATAAAAAAGAAGTAAAAGATAAATGTTTACTAATAGAATGTCCGATTGGATGTAAGAACATTTTTAAGTCTTTTCAATGATATCTCAAATCGTAAGAGAGTCTCATCCAATCCAACATCACTAAAAGTTGAAGAGTTTAACAAACATTTTCTAGACTTAAAAAACTAAAGCTTTTAATTTTAAAATACTAGTCTAATTCAAGTTCGAATTACGAGGTTTTTTCCGGTTTTCTGTTTCAATTTAGGATTAAAAGTTTCAGACTTAAAAAATCATCATGGGTCAACAGTCATCACATTCTATTCGTATCATACTATTTTTATATAAAGAAATTGGTGATTAAGTAACTTAGTGAATGAGTTCAAGTGATGAAGTATCGCATATCACAAAATATTTTCTGGCTTCGAAGGAAAAAATCAAATCCGTTTCAGACTAAAAGCGTTTTCAATGCGAATAAAACTCGCTGTCGAATTTCAGATATGAATTTCGTCTTTGACAATTGTTGAGAAATTTGCATTCTGCCAAAGACCGTCGCGTTTATGTTTCTCCATATGCTTTGCAAGGTTTCTCTTCTGTGTAACGACTTTGGGGCAAAGTGGACATTGCGCTCCACGTCCACATTCCCTAAGGTGAGATCGAAGAGCGGAGACTGTAAATTAAAATGGAAATTAACGTTGAACTTTAATTTATTTTCTTTCATTTCAAACCTTTTTTGTATTTGACACCACAACGACTACAAACATAACGAGGGCCATCGCTCATTATCATAATTTTTGGTTCAATTAATTCCATCTCCAGCAGCAAATCTAAAATGATAAAAACATAAAAAAAAGTGTCAGCAAAAATTTCTTTATCAATATTTTTATGAATTATTCCGACATAAATATTCAAATATAAAAGATAAGTAACTAAAGTACCTTAAAGAAGGTTCTACAGAGAATTTTTCATATTTTTTTTTGTGCTACTTATTGATCACCGTTCTACATCCTGAGCTACAAATATTTCGTTCCTTTCATTAATTAATATTTCAAGAGAAAGATTCAAAAATTTTAACAAAATCAAAATTTTTTTCTTTTATTTCATTTTAACAATTTTCAAAGTTCTTAAATTTTCTTTGCTTTTAATGTTAGAAATTTTTTCCGCTGAATAATGAATAACGTTGGTGAGCTGAATCGGATGATAATTTGTGAACTTGTTGAAGATGTCGAATAACATTGAAGCCGTGAGTGAAAGTTCGACTACAATCAGGACAACTAAAGTGACTGACTTGCGTGCATTCGTGTCGCATATGTCTAACCAGAGAATGTTTGATTTTATATCTGTGAAGGTTAAAAATATTTTTCATTCAATTTCAATTCAAATAATATTAAATCAACTCACTTTCTATCGCATCTCATATTCGGACAATTGTAATATCCACTAGAGAAAAGCTTCTCAACGTCAATATTCAAAGTTTTCCTTTTACTTTCTTGAATAGATTTCACATTCTCGATCTTAACAGCACCTAATGGATCTGTGAAATGTGAAATTGGAGGAGAAAAGAAAAAAAGAAAAATTATTAGTATGCAGAAATGTTACAATGACCTTAATGGCTAATGAATGTGCAAATGAAAAAACTTAGATATTTGGTGATTGACTGGAAGTTCCTGGATGACAACAGTAAAACATCGACAGCACTTTCATGATTTTAATTTTATTTAATTTTTTCCTTCTTTCAATTTTACAGATTTTTCTTGTTTTTCCTTCTGATTGACTTTTCTGCGATTGAATAATTTTCTTTCTATTAATTTGTTGCCCATTCTGCTAATTAAAGTTAGTGATTAATTTTTTTCTCTCTTTTGCCATTAATCTAATGTGTTAATGAGTTTTGTTTTGTTTTTTCCGCTAGAAATTTTCTCCATCATAAGAATTTTTCGTTTAATAATTAAATGTTAGAATAATGTTTTTTTTTGTTTATTCTTCTTCAAGTTTATATTTTCATCTTCATTTGTGATGTTGAATTATCAAAGGAGACGATAAGCTCAACTAACAAGATCTTTCCCGATAAATTATGTTCCCTATAGAGTTTCGATATCAAAGTTCTTATTCATACTTTAATTATGTATAAAAGTTTTTCTTCCTATCGTTGATATTAACTTTCGATTTCAAATTTTATTGTGCGATATTTTAGAACGAATTTAAATTTTTCTTTCTTCAGAATTTCTTACAGTACAGCAACGTGAAAAAATAAAGAAAATATTTCGAGCATTCCAACATCGCACATGTGCTCATCGTTCTGATATATTCACTTCAACTTTTTCATAACTCATAACAAATGGAAAGTTGTTTGACATTTGAAATTCTTCTTCAAAAAATATAATGGCTGTATGATGATCGTAAACAATTTTCCATTTGATCTTTAACACTTCAATTGCATTTTCTTTTCTATCTTAACGACAATTAAATGGTTAACAAAATTAAGCTTTCAATAACATAAATAACTTCTCTTTCTTTATGTTGGTTCCATTGTGTAAATATATGATTAAAAATAAAAATTGTTATTATCAATTAAGTTTTTTCTTCATCATTTATCTCTCTTAAATCGATTAAATTTTTTATTTTATCGTAATTATTTTTCTTTAGTGTTAGTTTCATGTTTTCTTTAATGACATATTTAATTCCTTAAAGGCTTAAAAATATGATTTCGCGATATGATTTATGATCAATAAAACGCAGTTTCATTGGTAAGAAAAAAAAAACATAAACATGTTTTGACTCAAGTTATAACGTAAAAATTAACGACCGTTTGCCATACTCGTTCTTACTTAACGCTCTAGTACTAGACTATCTATTCAACTTATAATTAAAATTTTATTTCTTTCGAATCGCGATTAAGATTTCATTTTGACAATTTTTCATTTTTCATTTGACTCATTGAAGAAAATATCCGAAAATATATTTTAATGATCTTACACGATTAAATCCTGATTATCTTCGTTTCTTTTTCTTATCATCATCTTAAACATTTTTTTTTATTAATTCTTTAGTTTATGTGTGTGTTGTGTATGTGTGTGTGTGTTTGTTAATAATTTAAATTATAAATAAGATAAGATATGATGTTGTTTTCCCCTAACTCCTCAAATCTTTCATTAAATTAAATTGTAGTTGAAGAAAAGAATATTTGATAAGTGTCGTCAAAAGATCAGCTGAAAGCTTAAGCGATTCAAAATTGTTCTACATGTGTTGTCATGAGAACAATTCCAAGGATTTAAGCTGAGACTTTCGCCAACATTGACTTAACAATAAGAGTGAAATTAAATTAACATTGTAGAATTGGTAAATAATTAATCAATTAATTTTTTTTTGTGTTGGTTTTCTTGTTTTTTTCCTTTTTCTTCTTCCATCCTTACTTTGTTATGTACTAATAAAAATAAATCGATTAATTGTTAATAACAATCACAAAAAATCACATCAATATTTTCGGTCACAGCTCCATTGGTTTTTATAAAACTTTTTTTAAATTGTTTTTCTCCTATATGGTTTTATATTTTCATTTCATATTCTTGGTGTGTAAATAACGTTTTTCATCATTTCTTTCTTCGATATTTTTTTTAATTATTTATTTTCCATGATCTGGTCATACTTGATGTCTTTGATATGCGCGAAAATTGTATGTAAGAAAAAAAATATTTCAGATAAAATGGTTTTAAGTATTCATCGCGCTAATTAATGATTGCTCCCACGCAAGGTTTTATTCCCAATTAAAAAACAAATTATTATGAACAAAAATTCTGTTGTATGTGTTTTAATATGCAAATGAAAATTGTTTTACAAAACTCATATCGCCTGTCTTCTCTTGACATTGGATGTTTCTCTTGCCTCAACTATCCCGAAACGTTTTCATTAAATATATTCGAAAAATATTGCGTAAATGACATTATTAAGAAAAGAAAGAAAAAATTATAAAAAAGTTAGAGCTCTGAAAATCAGAAGCGACTTTAATTAAATTTTTGAATATTTGATCAGCGAATCGTTCGAAACAGATGGCTAAGATTTTCAGAACTCTAACAAAACATATTAAATTGGTTATTGTTGGTTGCTATTGGATTATTTAAGAAACAAAAAAATCTATTATGAAGTGTTTTCTTTAGTTTATAAGTGTGCTTGGCTTGGGGGTGTTGGGGGGATATGTTACTTAAAGAAACAAAGAGATAAGAAATCTGAAAAATTATATAATTGAATAAGACAAAAATTAAGAGCAATTAAGAGAAATGAAACACGACCTACATGACTAAGGATTATTTATAAGAACGAAAAAATAATAAATTGGATAATCCTAACTAAGGTTTTTCTCGACGCCTGCTCTTAAATGATGTTTCCATTTATTCTTCTATCAGTTAAAGCTTCAAAGACACTTGATTTCGTCCTTGACGACATCATTGAAGAACAGCGCCAATGTTAAATTCATGATTTTATTTAATTTTAATATTATTGCCATTTTTTAACTTTCGCGTCCGCTGTTTTCCCGAAAAAAAAAACGCTTTTATTATCCGCCCACGCAAATGTGTACTGACACTCTGTACATGAAATTTTGTGTGCAAATTTTCGTTAAAGATTTCTAACAAAAAAACGACTATACTTTTTCATATCACATTCCAATTATTTGACTAATTTTTTTGTTTCTTTTTTATAGTTTTTTTTAATTTTTTGCTGTTTGCGAAAGAAATTTAATTTTATGTTTGTGGTTTTGTGAAATGGAATTTCCACTACTGATATTTTTTTTCTTCTTCGTTCTTCTTCTTCTATCTTTTATATTTTATTATAATATAATTGCCATATTCCCGGAAAAATAACCGCTTTTATTTATTCGCCAATCGTCTTCTCATAAGTTTACATTTTGTGTTGTGTTCATTCTGATGAATTTTTAATGTTTTATCTTTCTCGTTAAATTGTGTTACTTGATTTCTCATGTTAAATTATTTCATTATGTACACAATGAACTCAGATTAGGCGTTCTTTTCATTTACTGTCTCAACAAAGTGGTTAATTGTTAAATTAATATCTCTAAATTTTCTTCAAGATTTTCTTTTTCCTTTCTATCTATTTATCTTAATTCAACATTTTTCTGACCAAACTGCACTTATGTTTTCATTTTAATTCATTTTTTGTGGAAAATTTTCATTGCTAGCTACGAATGAAAATGGAAATTCTTCCTCGCAATCAGATACGTTTTAAAAATATAAGAAAATGAAATATTTTTTATAAAAATATTGCAAAGTAAATTATGAAAGAAAAAAAAAATTCATAAATGGTAACACAAGATTTCTTTAATATTTTCTTTATCACGCAACAAATTCCCACTGACTCAAGTCGCTTTATAAGCGCAATTCTTCTCGTTCTACGATTGACTATCACAGAAACTTTCCCCCTCAATTCCTTCATCGTTATTGCAACATGTGTCGACTAATTAATCTTCTTTGAAGATTGTAACATTAAACAAAGTTTGAAAACAAAAAAAAAATTCAACATATGGCAACTTCTTTTGTATCTGATCGCAATTTATCTTTTCATAGTTGGGAATATTTTCCATTTTCTAATCGTTTCTTCATTTTCCTTTCCTTCAATAACTCAACAAATTGGTTCCATGTTTGCACAGCCAAAAATAAACACTTCTTGGACATTTCTTCTACTTTCTACGACTAACAATGAAATTTTCCAACAAATTTTCACTTCACTTCCTTTCCTTTTCTTTTAAATCGTTTCTAGTTTCAACGATCATAATAATTAATTCAACAAAATTTTCTCATCACTTGTAACTCCTCATGAAATTCAAAAAATTATAAAAATAAATTAATCTTTAAATCGACTTCGATTTTTTTTTGTTTTGAGAAGCTGCAATATTTCTTCTTGCTTTCTTTTTTATGTTAAGAAAGTTTTCTAAGATATTTTCTTTCATGTTGGTCATTGAATGCTGAACTACTGATAGTCGATTAGGCGATGATTTAGTTTATCTGTGGAAATTAATGAAAAATTAATTTTTCTCTTCTTTAATTTGTCAGTGAATGATGAAAACTTACGTGAATTTAAATAATGAATCATCGATGTTGATGAGTGCGCATATGAAGAACCCTGTAAAGGAAATTAAAGGTTTTAGAATTCGGAAATTTATGCAAGAAAAAAAGAAGAATTTGCGGTCGAGTTTGTTGATAATTTTGTAAATATTTCAAATCACAGTGGAATTTTGATACAAATGTTTTGAATTATCTTTTAATCATTTCCACATCAAAATTCCACTGCAAACGAACTATCGAAAACATTGTCGATGGAATGGATTAGAAAATCAATTGAATTGATAAAATTTATAATCAGAAAAACTCTAATCCAATCCAACATTGATAAAATCATAGAAATTAAGGAACGATGATAATTACAGATTATGCCTGTAAAGAAAAGAAATAAAAATTAATGATCGCTGAAGATTTTTCAATAAGTTTAATTATATTTGCCTGTGCTTCGATTTCTTGTGGCAAACTGGACATTCAAACTTTGGCTCGACACCGCATTCGAAACGGATGTGTCGATTAAGACTGTGAGGACGAGCATAAGTATTTCCACATCTTGAACACGAGTAAGGCGCTCCAACGGCCGACGGAATGGGCGTCTGAGACAGGGGTGATAATTGATTAGTTCCACTAGCACTTCCAGTACTGCTCGATGATCGCGGATCATATTTTCTCTCAATCTGGTCACGAGACTGTTGTGGCGTGTTTAATGAAGTTCTTGGTAACAATCCTAATCCTTTAATAAATGGTAACTGTTGTGAACTCGGCACTGGTCCGATGGTCGCAGTTGGTTGCGAATTGTTATTATTACCGATTGCTGTTGCAGCTGCCTGCGAAAGATTCTGAGCTTGAGCGGCAATGGCTTGAGCTGCAGCCGCTCGAAACTCTATTAAGCACGTTGCTGGTGTAAAGAGTCGTAAGTCACATGGCTGCTCATCTGATGGCGGGGAGATCTGACCAAGCTTTGATTTCAGATCTGAAAGAAAAACTAAAGTGTGGTGAAGTTATTTGTTAGAAGGGCTTTAACATCCGACAAATAAAAATGTTTGTTGTTGATTCATTCAACACAACACGTTGCAGCAGAGTTTCATTTCAAACTGCATCGAATTGTTGATGGACGTCACAAAAAAATAATTAAAAGAATTAAGAACATTTAAGAAAGTTTTAGAGAAATATTTTTAAATAAAAAAAAGGGTTTTGTTGTTTTGACGTGTGAGTTAAAAATGAAACAAATAAAATTGTTTGACGATCTTAAACTTAAATGAGAGCCTGATTAGACAAAGAGATGAAAGTAAAAAGCTGTAATCTTATGACAAAAGCAAGCATCTGTCATTATGAATGAAAAGAAACAGAAAAAGTTTTGTTGTTGAAACTTTCTCCGATTACAGCACAAAAGTGCAGTGAGAATTTGTTATGAATTAAAAGTGGAAAAAAAAATTAAAAATGATTTACGAATTTGTTCATCTTCTGATATCCCGAAAGTGTTTGTTTTAGTTTATGCTGGTAAGGAGAAGAAAGTGTAACTTTTTTTTGTATGAAAAAAGCTAAAATAAAAATGTGATTAAAATAATTTTGACCCAACACCTTTCGAAAAAAATTTCAACTACTTCCAGTCAATCATCAGGAAATGTTGATCTCCTGACGATAAAAACTTAATTAAGAGAATCTTCAATAGAAGTTTCATCAATAATGACAAAAGTTCCATTCAGTAATTAAATACATTTAAAAAGCATTCCACGATGCACCGCAAGGTGCCTTCGATAATAATGAAAACACTACAAAAGAAAGGAAATGTTTATTTAAAGCTACTTTTAACAAACAAAGAAAAAATAATCAACCTTAACTAAATCTCGGCAGCATCATAACAAAGATTAAAAAAAAGTTCAAGCAATCAAATTCTAAGAAATACGCGAATCGCAGTGAAGTTGTGAACTTCAAGACAGAGTTGTGACTTGTTGGCGATCAGACTTATCACGATCATCAACAACCAAACAATTCGACTCTGCTTCAAGCCACGATTCAATTTTCTTTTTACACTACAAAATTCTTTTCTAATCAAATTCAATATCATTGCCTTTAATTCACTTTAATTTCTTTGTTCTAATTCATTCACAAAACAAATTAATTAAATGGAATTAAAAAGATGTAAAAAAATATGTAAAAATAAAATTAAAAAATTCGATTTCTAAATTAAACAAAAAAAAAAATAATTAATTTGAGTACTTTGAATGATACTTTTTGTTTCTATATGCAGTGTAGGATTTTTTGTCTTTCATTTCCCAAAGCTTCAGCGACCGTTCCATCAACTTTCCCATCCACTTCTCTTTCTCTCTTGATTACATTCCATACCATGAATATTTCTTTTCTACTTTTTACACTACTGGATATTTTTTTGTTTTGTTTTCTTTCTTAAATAAACTTTCTTATGTTTATTGAGTGGATAAGCTTTTATGTTTTGAGGGGGAGTTGGGGGGAAGAAAATTTACCTAAAAAGTAAAATAAAAACATATTAGTATTGAGAAGTGGTAGCTTAATAACTAATTAAAATAAAATTTTGTTAATCTAATTTTTTTCTGCTTTTGTTATTTTCCAGCCAAAAATTTTTACTTTTCAAAATCATCAACTTTTTATTCATTTTAATCTTCCATTGAAAGTTTTTGGATTTCATTTTTTTACAGGGTTAGTTGTTGTGTGGGTGTATGTGAGATTTAGAGTAAGTTTTACATTCATACAATTGTCTTTTATTTATAATTCTACGAAGGAAATTTTCTCGAAGAACTTTTCGACATGAAATTTAAATGACGTTAAATACAGAAAAATTCTTCAATCGTCTGTTAATAAATAAGTTAATAAATAATTTAAAATAATTAATTTGTTTTCACTTGTTGAAATTTGCTTCCACAAAGCGTTATAAATACTAAAGACTTCAATGCCATCACAAAGAGGGAAACTTCCCAACACCGCTTTTGCTCTACTTTTTGTCTTCTTAATTACTTTAAAAATATAAAGAACACCATACATTGTCGTCTTATGCAACTATATTAATTCAATTACCATTAATGTTTCTGTATGGCGACAAAAGAATTTATCGGTGAACAGAGATTATTGATCTTCTTTTTCGAAGGGATTAAGTTCATTAGTGGGAATGAATGTGTAAGGAATCGTCATTTAATATACATTTAATTAAGTACAATCATTAATGAAGCTATAACTTCAGTTACGGTTAAAGGGAAAATGGCAAGAAAGGACTAGAATAGCTTTCATCTTAATTAACTAGTAATCAATCATAATTAATTAGTTCAATCATTGGAATGTTAATTTCATTAAGGAATGTCATCGTTTAGTCGTCTTCATTTTTCATTCCACCCGGTTTACAAAACTTTGAGTTTAAGTGTCGTTTAAGATTAGAATGAATGTGAGTTTTGTAGCCGCATTTTCGTGCACAATGATACTTTGGAGGAACACCTGTGAAATGAAAGAGTAATTTGTGTGTAAATTAATTTAAATATCGTGCAATTTCTTGTTAGTACCGCATTCATTTTTAATGTGCTGCTTTAGACTATTACGCCATTTATAATTTCGACCGCATGTCCGACAATACCATGGCTTGTCTTCTTGATCTTGATAAATGATATTTTCCTGTTTGAGACTCTCGAGAAGTTCCTTTGTTGGCACAATTTTTGAACTGTTTCCGGTCGAGTGACGACGAGTATTCATTGCAAATTGTGAGACTTTTTTAATCACAATCTTTGATTGCGTTTCATTTTTCGATTGGATTTGAGCTAATTGTGGTGGATCAGAGAGTTTTGGTTGAATCGCGACAACTTTCTTAACAGCAACAGCAATCAATTTGGGTGCTGGTTTTTGGTTGACAATTTGAGTGAGTGGCGGCATTACCGCTGGTGTAAGTGCTGGTGGCTTTGGTTGAATCTGTTGCAGTTTTCTTTTCGATTGAATTTTCGTTGGTTCTTTCGATGGGTACATCGTTATTTTTGATGTCGATTTCGCTGTGTGCCAAACAGGAACATCTCGAACCGCTTCATACTCATCATCAATATGTTCTTGTTTAATTTCAGTCAACGGTGGCAATTCATTGTTTGAATCATTCGATATTCCATTTCCATTGCCACTCGGTAATGTCGCGTAGTCAACCCATGTTGATTGCACTTGTGCCGTCGACTGTTGTGGGGGTGGATTGGGAAGGGCAATTTTAAAGTTAGTTGCCGAGAAATCACTGTTATTTTCAGGAAAGTAAAAGTATTTGTCTAAATTAATTGTGTTAGTATCGCCACCATCACCTAGAAGGTAAAGAAAGAGTTTGAAGAAAGAGAAAAGTTGATAATTACGCCATTGGTGTCATTGTTAAACAAAAACATTCAACATTCAGCCTTTTCACCATCAAAGAACACAAAAAAAAAATTATAATTGAAAACTCTTTTTTCATATCAACTTAAGGGAAAAACAAATTAATTTAAGGAAAAATGTTTAAAAAAAATTAATCTTGTGACTTGCAGAAGAATTTTAAGAGTTTCAAAGTTTCTTTTCAATGCGTTATCTATTTCCGGGTTAATTACTGGTTAGTTTTGTTTTTAATTTATTTATTAATCTTCTAATCGTGTTAGCGCCATATGCTATTAATAGTTTTACTAATTTTTGTGAGAATTTATTTTATGTACTTAGGGTTTTTAACTCTAGCGATGAGTCTTTCATCCTTTGCATCAATGTCTTCATCCATTAAGACGTGTCGGACCTAAAAATATAAAGACATCAATTAGTATTGTGAATTAAGAACCAATTTTGTCACTTTTTCTTGTTCCTGTGAAATAAAAAAAAATATTTCAATTAATGCCAAAGTCATATAAAAAGGTTGGTCATGAGTGAATTAAAACTAGAGTAAAATAACAAAGCATAATGTATTAATTTTATTGATATGATAATTGTAATATAAAAAAGGAAAAAAAAATCTAGAAATATCATAAATCAATTTCATATAAATTTTCCCGTGGCTTTCTTCATCATTTTAATCCTAGATAATTTACAATAGCTTGGGCGTTGTTGAATAAAAAAAGAACTAATGAATTTTTACATTTTTTATAGCGCCAATGAATGTTTTTCTTTTTTATAAATGTTTGGATACAAATCGAATTGGGTTTTAGTATTTAATGGTAAACTATCATCTGATTTCTGTGGAATTAGAATGCAAATTAAAAGCTAAGAAAGTTTAATCTTCTTCGACAGAAACTGTTACAAAGAATACGGTTTTTAGGAGTCAAAAGCTTGTCTTTTAATTAACAATAAAATTAATTAGAAATTATGAGTATTCATTCAAGTAGTTTCTGTTGTGTTGTAATAAAAGCGAAAATCTATGTTTTATGCTGGGAAAAGGCAATAATTTGTGCGATTATACATCAAAGAAGTTTAATTTCGGATTCAATTTTATCCGAAAGCACTTCTAGCAATATCAATCTAAATGATTTCATCGCACGGCAAAATAATAAACTTTAGTTAATTGCTTCTATTTTTTAATTTCTTTTTTTTCAACGAGTTAGTTTTGCTTTTATGCGAGACCCTTAATCCAATTAATATTTTGATTACACATTTTTTTCTTCTTCATCTTCAACTTCAAATAATAATAACAAAAAATATCATTTTTTTCATGTTCAAAAAGCATTTTCCCCAACACCATTATGTAAGCATCAATTTTATGGTCGTCAAATATGTTTTAATCATTAATTAAAATAGACTTTAATAGAAAATGGCGAATTTAAAAGTTTTTCGAATGTTTTTTTGCTTGTTAGCGCTTTTCTAAATCTAGTGGAATATTTGAATTTTCATATCTGAATGAATGTCTTCTTTTTAAATGATTAAAATATTTCCTTAACTATTTAATGTCCGGCTTATTCTAATAAGGCATACACTTTCATTTAATTTCGCCAACAAGACTCTCCAATATCTCGTTGATCGAATTTTCTAATCTTATATTTATACATGGAGTTTTCTTACCAAAGAAAATTTTTAGGACACAAAATTCAACAAGGAAATGTTCCGTTTCACATGATTTTTGAGAAAATTTAAAATTTAACGAGTATTTCTTTTAATGTGAATCATTAATGAAAGAAAAAGGATTTAGAAGAATGTTTACGTGAACAGTGACAGGGAGAAATCTTAAAAATTTGTACTTTTCATCCAAACATAATGAGAGTAATCCGAAAACAAGAAAAAATTTGAACTTTTTGGAATGCGTGCGTTGATAAGTTAATAATTTTGTGGAATTGTGCAATGGGAATGGAAGACAGGAAAAATTTATTTGATGGGTAAGAAAATTCACGTGAAACTATTTCCAAGAATTTTCATTTTTTTTAATATTTACGTAAACAAAACAATAATAATGTCAAAATCCTATCCTAAATGTAAAGGCACAATCATCTTAGGGCATCTTTCTTATATTCGGAGAGATTTTTTACGCTTTCTCTAGTCAAAAGTTTTTCTTTGAAACAATCATTCTTCTTTATTTTGAGGTAAAATGTTGATTTTCATTTCGTTTGACTTCTTAATTTTGTGGGGAGTTTTCATATTTCATTTAAATTTTCTTTAATTAGAGTGAAATCGGTAACGGAAACTAATGTAAGTTGATTATAAATGAAGCTTGCAAGGAAAGTTATGTTATGTTAAGAATTATGGAAATGCAATTGATTCGCTGAGATATTAAATTCATAAACACCGAACGTTAATACTTTGACACACCACGCTTTATATCAATTTATTATTTATTCAACTTCAATTATCGCGTGAAAACTAAAATGAGAAAGGAAAATTGTGTCTTGTTTTTAAATATTTCGCTTTTGTAATGTAATTTCAAATGAGGTAGCTTTATATTAATTATCATTCTTCGTGATTCTCAATCCCCATAGAGACACGACAAACGATTCGTCTTTTGTTTGCTTCAATGTCTTTTACTTCTTTTATCTTTTCGTTCAAAAAATGAAATTCTTTTTTAATTAAAATGTCTTTTACTTTCTTATCACTTTTGACTATTTATTTATAGAGGCTTATGAGAATGTTTTGTCACCAAACATAATTCAATATCAAAAAGAAAAGTGTTCGTACGAATTTTGTTAGACGTTTACAGCCTTCGCAAATATTTTTTTATTAAAATATTTTAGCAACTTAAAGAGGTTTTTGAAAATTATTCATGTGACATTAGTTATAATCATTCCCCAAAAGATATGATAGAATTTAATTAATTACGCAAATTGACAAAATTATTATCAATAACGAAAGGTGAAATCAAGTTAATTATTTACGTTTCTTTGCGCTCTTCTCCATTTATATAAATTCTAATTCTACACACATAATGAGTAAAGATTATTAAATTAAGTTAGATATTTAAAAAAAATGATTCTTTAGAAGAAAATAAATTTTTCTCTCAAGTTTCTCAGAGTTGGAATGATTAATTCAAAATTATATTTTTGTCTCTTTTCTTCAAGTTTATCGTTTGGAAAATATTCTTAATGTTCTAAATCCTACTTATGTGGTTTTTTATGACACTTTGAAAGCCATAGCACATTTCTCTGGCTGGCTTCATTAATTTAATTCATCAAAAATGATTTTACATTAACAAATTATAATCATTCCATCATCTTCTTCTTCGTTTTCATTCTAATTGCTTTTCATCGCTTTTTATGTCTTTTTTTTTGAGGAAAAATGTTGAGAGCATTTGTTAGCACGAAATAAATAAAAAGGTGATATTTAACAACAGTTTCCATTCTTGTGTGACTTTCATCAATTCGTTGGCTCCACACAAGAACGGAAAACTTTTTGCTCGCTTCGTTGATGGATTTTTTAGTTACAGAAAATCTTTTTTTATATCACATTTTTTTTCTCATTAATTATTCAATGTTTTCCTTTCTTTCTTTTTTTTTATATTCCTTTGATTTAAATGGTACTATTAATTCATCTTTGAGCTTTGTTATTTCAATAAAACAAAAAAAAATTCGATTCAATTGAGCTCGGATTTATAATGTCGCATTAAAGTCGCCACATCCAGTCGCCTGAACGATTTGACTCAGAGCTTCTTCAAGTGCAATGATTTTTCCATCACCGCCGACCTTGAAGAATTTCTCTTTGTGCATTCGTTCCATGTGACGACCGATGTGCATCTTCTGTTTAGCTCTGTACACGCAATATGGACATTGGAATTGTGGCTCTTTTCCGCACTCCCACTTTTGGTGGTTTCTTAAAGACGATTTTAACTTATACATACGGCCACAATCGGGACATGTAAAACCTTCCTGCATGGTAGACCCGTTTCCTGGTGTTGTTGTGTTGCCATTTCCACTTGCACTTCCAGATGATCCATTCGGCGATCGTTCTTCAGAGCGTTCACTTTTCATTTCCATCGTACTGACACACAAATCTCGTGGGAAAACCAAAGGATGAGCACCTTCGCGAAGTGTTGTCACAAGTGGCATTGCTAATCGTTCGTTCCATTGTTCCCATGTTAAACCAGCAATCTTCGTGATACTCAAATCTTCTGCTGCTGTAACAAATTTCATTTGTTCGAAGATGGAGCGAAGAACACAAAAAATAAACGAACGCAAACCAAATGAAAAGAAATAAAAAAGAAATAAAACCAAAAAAAATCATTAAGAATATTGTCGAAAAATTAAAAAACATAAAATAAAATGCTAAACAATCAACTAAACCAAAAGTAATATGAAAACTTTACAGGTAAGAAAATTTTAAATTACCAAATTTTAATTTACAAGCAAATGTTTTCATCATCAAGCAGCGTTTGATTTTTGTTTGACAAAATAAATAAATTACATATATCACACAAGGCATCCACCGATAAGCTGTTGAAGTTGACATTGCATGGCTTTAAATATTTTTAAAGTCATTCAATGATAGCCTTCAACAGCATTTTGGATGTACCATAAATTATGCATTTATGTAAAGTGTTAGTAAGTTTTCATAATCCTTAAAACTAAAATTTAAATTATTTTCATCTAAGATGCAAAAGAATGCAAGTAAATAAAATAAAATAATAAATTAAAGTGAATTAGCATACTTTGAACAAAAGTTTATTTAAAAACTTTTATTCATCATTCACCATAAGTGTAATTATAATTTTTCCTTCAATGTTTTTTCTTTCGTTTTCTGGTAAATAATAAACAAAACATTACAAAAACCAAAGATATTTATTTACAAACGATCATTAAAACACAAAAGAAAAAAATAAGAAACAAAATCAACGAAACAATTTTGGTGATAAATTTATTTTCATAAACAGCAAAAAAAAAAGTCTGTAAAAATTCTAAAGATAGAAAACTTTGTTTAAATATATTCAACACGTTTTTATTATCTCCTGTGGATTGTGGTTGACGGGAGTCTAAAAAGAAGGACTTAAATCGACTTTTTTCCTTGTATAAGTATCAACTAAAATCTAAACAAATTTCTTCTTTCTTTTGTTTGTCTCTGGTACTGGCTTCCGTTTCATTAAAAACAAAAATAATAATAAAAAATATTAGGGGAAAATATATATCATAAAACATGAATCTTTCTTTATTTTTAAATCCCCACCCGCATCCTAGCTAGTTTTGTAAGAAATTGAATAAGATAATAATTTGCAAATGTCTTTATCGTCGCTTTGTATAAAAATATTCTCCGGATAAAAAACGGAAGAATTGAAAAATTGGTAAAAATGGGAATCATTGTCCAGCTTTGGGCATCAATAATTAATTATTTAAATTTATATATTTCATTCTAAGTTCTCTCTACGCTACAACGTTTATGAAAAAACAAAAAACAATTCTTTTGTTATATTTTTCTTCTCTTTCCTTTTCAAAGGTTTTTAGGCACTGAATTTTCACACAATCGAATAATCGACACCTTCATCGATCACCATTGCACATAAATTTTTTGCATACTTTTAACATCAATTGGAGACATGGAAATAAAATTCATCTAAAATCGTTATACAACATTGATCAGGGGACAATGTCAGCCCATGTCACTGGGACAATGCTAGAACACTTAAAGATGAAATGATGTGAAGCTTCTTCACTCAATCATCTTCTTCATTATTTTTTTTCTATAAAAGCTCTACTCACGACTTTATCTTGACTACAATAAGTTTCATGGTATTTGGAAATGTAACGTGAAAATTTGTACGTTTCGTCACGCGTATCCCGACGAGGTTAACATCAACAATCAAAATTATTCCCACCCAAGACGCCCCAACGCGACATTGACTTTCAATCTTTGAACATTGGTAAAGTAGATTTGTTATCACTTGTGTTAAGATTGAGAATATTAGAGGGTGGTGGAGGTGAAATTATAAGAGACGAAGATGACGTTTGGGAATGTGAAGAAGTTGGTTGAAGATTTGCCGATGATCGACTCTTTCTCACTGTCGTTATCGTAACACCTTCGCCTTGATATTCAGCGTGTCTTATCTTTTGATGACTCCTGAGGTTGTGACTGTTGGGCGAGTGAATGAAAATTAAAACAATGAAACTTCTTTTCTTCTCCACAACCATCATGATGATCTGAGATAATGCAAAATCCTTGTTCATTTTTTATAGTGAAAGTTAAGTCAATTGAACTTTGCATTATCCTTCAACATCATTTCACTTTCATTGTTTTCATTTTTACCTGTACTTCGTTTTAAACTCGCACTTGTCACAATGAAATTGCGGTGCAACACCGCATTCTTTCTTCTCGTGACGTCGCCAACTATATTTTGTCTTATAAAACTTTCCACACTTTCGACACTTATAAAAGCTTATTTTAGCTTTTTCATCGAGTCGTTGTGGATAAGGATATGGAATGGTTTGATTTGTTCTTGATGGGCCTTGCTGCTGCATTAATTGAAGCATCATAAGACGAGTAAATTGTTCTGAAACGAGAATAGAAAAGGAGAATGTTAATAAAGGGAAATCCCACTTGAACACATAAAGATCTTACAAGATAAGAGACTTATTTTCTAATCTTAAAATTAAAATTAAGCTTTTTTTTTGTTGATTAAAAATGATGAAACTGAGTGACAACAATTAACATAGTTTTGCGCTTAACTCCATAAAATGATGATACCAATTATGATGCGAGAAAATAATAAAAATAAAATATAAAGGAAAGAAAGTGAAAATAAAATGTTAACAACAAAAAACACTCGTTTCGAATTGCTTTGTTTTAAGTGTGTGTGTATGTGCGATGATAAAGAATTTTTTTTAAAGAATTATTCGTCAAATGTGGTTAATCGAGATATTACTCCATCAACATGAGACGATGATCATTTCATGTTGAAAGACTTGTGAGAGTTCAGTTTTATTTGGATTGATTTTTTTCAGGGAAACGCAAGAGATTTTGACGGTGATTAATAAATTTTTTTTTGGTGGAGATGCGTGTGATTGTTGCCTGGCAGGGAAGCGTTCAAACTACTTCAAACTTTTTTTTATTTGATATTCCTTACTCAGATGATGTAAGAAGTTTTATGTCGCAAATTTATGGTTTGGATGTCTGTGAAAGATAAGAAAAAATTGAAATTTTATGAGAATTCTGTGAAATGTAAAAAGATTTTTCTTCATTTGTTTTCGAACCTTTTCAGTGTGAATTTCCGATTGTTGAGCTTGCGATTTGGTTAGTAAAATTTTGATACAATTTTTGGTTGTTCCAATTCATCAACTAAAATAAAATATAATGAAAAAATGTTAGTAAAATGTACAATTCTTGTTTCTATCTTAACTTATTGTTTTCTAAATTGAACAATTTTTCGAGTTTTCTTTTATTATCAAGTTTATTGAAGTTCTTTCATCTTAAATTTCAATCTTTATAATATCTTAGAGCTGATTTTTAGCTTATTCAGTGAAAATCTTAAATCTTCATGATTGAAATGTTTTTTTTTCTTTAATCATAAAACCTTACATAACTAATATTTTCTCATCAATGTTTTGTTTCTCTTCTGTTAATTTGTCGGTCGAAATTAAGTTTTATAAAAAAATTAAACATAAAACTTCTGCACTTCTTACGTTTTTCTTTTGACACGAAGGAAGTTTCAGGATTCAGTGAGAAACTTTAAGACAAATTTCAAGTGAATTTCAATCTTCAAATGTTTTAAGTAAAAAAAATTGTATTCATGAATTTCTGAGATAAAATGTTGAACTTAATGTGAAAGTGTGATTACGTTACTTTGGCCGAAGCTTCAACTTAAATTTAAACATTACTTTTCTTGCATTTCTCTTTCGCTTTTCTCTTAGCGATTTGTGAAGATTTTCATCTCTTCAGTTCTGTAGAAAAATACTAGAGAATCCTAACAATTTAACATATAGAAATCTTTCTTTTTCTTTACTATGAAAATAAGTTTATTTCTGTCTTACCCAACTCTGAATCTTAAATATTACTAATGCAAATTCTTAAAATGATTTCTGTTTTCTGATTCAATCTTCTCGAATATTTTTCACAATCAAACCTTTTAAAAAATGCCCTCTATGCACCTTCATTATCATGGCTCTTCTCTTATCTATCAATCTTATGTTGCGAAAAAAGTATTTATGTAAAAACTTAAAAACTATTTGAATGAAAAAAGAAATTAATTAATCATTAAATTTAGTTTCAATCATGAAATTAAGCAGCAAAAAATTATTATGTTTCTCTCTTTCATTTTTGCGGAAAATCTTAAACTGTTTTCGAACAAGTAATTAATTAATGAATCATCTCAAAATATTGTTTAATTAAACGTCAAAAATGCATCAAGTTTCTTTCTATTTCTACCTTCCATCCTGTAATTTCAATCATGTTACGTCATCATTTAAATTTTCAATTAAAAGTAATGAAAATCTTAATTATAAAGACACAAAGTAATGAAAGAGAAAATTATGTTGAAATCAAACGAATGAATTATGTATTAGATGAAAAATGCTTCGCAAATGTACATTGCGAAGAAATAAAATCTAATTTGTAGTTTATAAGCAGCACACGCGTAAATTATTCTTCTTAAATGATGATTAATTAAGACAAAAGTTGATTCTCATTAAAAATAGGAAAGAAAATTAATATTTTAATTAATATTATTGAATAAAAAGAAATGAAGCGCGCAAATTTCAGAGTTTTATGTTTTTTGGCTCAATTTTTTTTTTAATTTTCGTGGGGAAATCTCATGAAACGCAGCAAATTTAAGCTGTTTGGTTTCCTTTTTTATTGCGTCGTGTTTCTAATGGAGGCTTGTCGGCATGATGCTTTCGAATATGAACCCCTAAATTACCACGTTGCTTCGCTTTATAGCTGCAATATGGACATTGATGACAAGCTTCCTTTCCACCACATTCAACATTCTCATGACGACGCAAAGTTGACTTCCAACGATAACGTTTGCCACAATGACGACATTCATATTGTCGCCCAGCTTCTTCACCATCACTTGCCATCGAGTTGTCACTAACTGCTGCATAATACTTCTTCACGCCGGCAGAATCTCGTCCAGTATGTTCCGTGTCTTCACTCTTATACGAATCACTGAAGTGAATCTGTACATCTTCGGGTAATTCAATGTCATCGATGCCATATTCTAAATCATCCATCATTTCATTAGGAAAATCATTGCTTTGATTGCTTGTGTTTGTTGCTGATACTTCATACTCAGTCACTTGTTGATTGGTACTTGTGTTTGTATTTGTATTGGTCGGGACCGCTTGAATGACGTATTGCTGATTGTTTGTTGAAGGGATTATGATTGGCTTCGCGATCGGCTCGGCGGGCTTAACTGTCGTCACACTGATGTATTCAATTTTCTTTCCATCTGATAACACTTGAGTCGTTCGAACAGGCGGTTGTACTTGAATAGTTTGTGTCAATGGAGGGGTAGCGGCAAATGTTGGATTCTTATGACGTGAGTATTTAATGCGTGGGTGATTGGTTTTTACAACCTTCTTCTCCTCGGTGACGGGTGTGGAAGTTTGTTCTGGCACTTTTTGAACGATCGAAATGGCAGATTTATCAGCTTTTGGTGTCACTTTCACTGGCGGACGTTTGATGACTGGAACGAGCTCTAAATAAATCAAAATGGAAGAAAGTCAATGAAGTTTATTAGTGAAAATGATATGGAAATGAAACTTTTTTTTTCTGAAAGAGTTTTTCTTCCTCTCAGTTTTCTTTGTCTGATTCGTGAAATTTCTGAATGATCGCAAAAAAATAAATTTTATCTTCAAAGATTTTGCAAACTCTCTAATTAAAAAATGCAAATTAATAATTAAATAAAATAGAAATAAGCATAACGATATATCAACTGTTATGGGGTTAATTGATAACAAAAAAAAATCTCAAATTAATAATTTGGCATTCAAGGCACAATGCAAACAACAACAAATAAAAATATAATTTTTATCTTATCGTTTTCTTATCACGAAACAAAATTCTACTTCAAATTAAACCATATGAATTTATAAATAAATTCTATCATTTAATGATGATCGTAAGATCATAAATACTTAAGTAATTAATGCAAATGTCTGCAGTTTGTTTGATTTCAGGGAAAGAAAATAAATAAATGTGAAGATTTAAGTAACGGCAAACACATAACAAAGAACCGATCAGACAATGTTTCCAATGCTGGATGTTTATTGATGAAAAGATTTTCACTTCCGAAGATCATTTCCGAAAATTGAAAATAAATTTTCCCAATCGAAAATCAAAGTCGGAAATTTTCTTTTCCATTCTCAGCATCTTTAAACCATTAATGATCTTGAATTTTTTTAATAAAGAAAGGAAGTGTGTGAAAAGAATAAAGTTTTATGCAACATTCATTGATGGAATGGAACATTGTGTGATGATTGAGTCTTTTTGTAAATTGTTTCTCGTTTTTGTTGACAAATAATTTTTTTTTCTTGTTTTCCTTACTAATATTTTTTTTATTATTGTCGAAACAAAAAAAGAAAGAAAAGAAAAATGGACTGTGATCGAGATTATGTTTTTTTTAATGTATTTGTGTGGGTGGGGGGAGTATATGTGAGTGAAAGAAGATATTGTGAGAGAATCGATATCTTTACCGCATTCTTTCAGCACAAACTTCTCAGCCTGTTGTTGCTTCTTCACCGGCAGCAGCAAATATTTGTTGTTATCTGATTTCGTGATTTGGAAATTTTCACTTTCCAGCAAACAATCGTTCATATCATATTTCGTAGATGATGTTTGAGCTGTTTTGTTGGCATCACGTAATTTTAGACGATATGATGATTTTGTACCTGAAAGAATTAAAAGTTTTGTGTTAGTAAAATGAGAACTTCTACCTTTACCGCGACCCTTAGGAGCTAAGCACCTTAAATAACTTAAGTTAATAATGTGATTAATGTTTCATTCGAGAATCGAATCAATGCAACTCTTGAATGATATTTTTTCGTAAAATAAGAAGAGAATAAAATTAAATTAAATTAAAACTTAAAAGGTTAGTGATCAGGATAGAATCAAAAAGAATTATATTTAATTAAATTTATACCAAAAATCATTTGTTTTCTCCCATAAAATTTACAAACTTTGTACACTTTTGAAATTTATGTGAAATAAATAATTTGGCCTGGAAAAGCGAAAGAAATTCACGAAATTTATTTTCACATAAATTGCATTAAATTTTTGTTTGTTTTATTAACATGAGCCGATCATCGATAAAGAAATGTTTCATTTTGTTTACTTGTTATTCAATAACTTTTGCTAGCTTCTCATAGTGTTGAGATTGAAGATGAGATTTAAGTGAATGCTTGTAGCGTGTTACATAAGAACAGTAATCGCAAGTTTCTTTAGCTGCTACACCGCATTCATATTTTTGATGACGAAGAAGATTTCTACGATAGTTGTAAGACTTGAAGCATTGCGGGCAATCATGTGTCTCTGACGTGCATGCATCTTGGTCTAAATCTGTAATAGAAAAAGAAATATGTTAGTATGAATAATAAAGAAATTTAAATTGAACATCAAACTAAAAGAAATGAGACATTTCGTCATCAACACCTCAAAATGTTCTTTTTCAAAAATCATTTTATTGATAATTTTCACTGAATTTCATTACAATTTCTTACAGATCCAAAGACACTTAATGTTACTTTTTAGGTTGGTGAGTTTTCATGTGATGTTGAAGATAGTATTTCCTTTTTGCCTTAAAATCACAATAAAGACAGAGAAAAACTTTACCTTCGTGCTTCTCCTGTATGTGTCGTCCAAGTGATGCTTGGCTGAGATAAGTTTTTGGACAATGTAAACAACGCAATGAAGTCTTTTTTTTCTTTGGTTTCATTCTTTTACTTATCATTGGAAGATTTTCTATTTCATCACTTTCACTATCAGCGAAAAATTCTGCAAAGAAATTCAATTTTGATATCGCATCAGACTTAAACTTAGTTCGATTACATCGCGATTGATATTTCTTTGTTATTAGTAAAAGTATAATAAAAATTAACTGCATCGATTTTTCTAATTTCATTTCTTACAAAAAATATTTTTCGATTTCATTATTTATTTCAATTTTAACGAGCTTAAAAGATTTTCTGATAACATTTGGTTTTTCATGGCGACTTAACGGGGAGAAAGAAAATCTTTGTTACAATTTTTGTTTCTTTTTAAATTTAAAATACAAAACTAGTGTTTTTGGATTTTGTTTCTTTTTGTTTTTCTTGACTTGTTCTCCTGATGATAACATTTTCAGGAATCTTAACAACAAATGGCATCATTTCATAATCATTTCAACCTTAACACTAATCACAAAAACTGTGTCGAATTCTTGTTCACGCAATCATTGTGCTTCTCGTTTATGTGAAACTTTAACGATTCTTTTCTCGTGTATGACTTCGGACATAACTCGCACCAAAACTTTTTCGGTTTTCCACACTCGAGATTAAGGTGACGCGTTAGTGATGATGCAAGCTTGTACGTTCGTCCGCATCCATTGATGCACGAGAAATATTTTTCGTTTGGTGTCACGACAGTCTTCAAATCACTATTGCTCCATCGCCTTGTAATCATCGTCGTAGAAGCGAGCAATGTTTTTGGCAGTGCGAGTCGTGAATGACCTTTAAGTAGAAAATATTCAGAAAAGGGAAAAAAAAAGATTTATAGCTGGTTTTGTGTGTGTGAGTGTTGGCCTTTCTTTAAATATTTCGTGACTTTTACGTAGATATTTACTTTGTTCTAAACACAACTCCTTTTCTCTTATTAATCTCTTATTTTTTTAAACTCATAGTAAGATCGATTGTGTTGTTAAGAAATAAGAAAAAATTAAAATAAAAACCAATGCAAAAGAAAAAAGTAACTAATTTTAATTAGATATTTAGGTAATTTGCCTAAGAACATAATGATGAGAATTGTCCAAAGTCAGTGACAGTTTTAAATCGGATGAACATCATTCAAATGACTTCTCAATTTTTGTAAGCTTTCGTCCGTTCCGAACTTACACAAATGACATTTGAATTTAAATTGTGGTTTTCGATTGCGATTGACGTTCGACTTTTCCAAGACTTTTGCTTCCGGTGACACGATTATTTCCTGTTGAACAATGTACACGACTGGAAGAAGATAAAGCATGGAGAACAAGCTCTCAATGAATAGCATCTTTTAACTTAATTATATTAGGTATTTGTTTTTTTCCTTTTTCTACTCAAATCATCATCATTCATTAAATATTTCTCATTCTTTGTATTTCTTTTTAGGTAAAATATCTATTTAGGGTTTTTCTTTGCCTATAAAGAAATAAATCAATCTCGGATTCTAAGAATCTATAATCACAATAATTATTTTCCATATCGTTATGAAATTCTCGAAAAACTTTAAGCCTTTCATGATTTCCTTTTTGTTTTCTATAAAATTCAGGTTTTTCATTGTTTTCTTTTTCTATGTTAATTAATAAATTGTCTAACAATTTTCATTTGAAATATTTTTTTTCTTTCACTATGCAAGTAAAAATTCTTCCTGTTTTATCCATTTCATCAAAGATATAAATATTCTAGATATTCATTTAAAAACTTTAACAAAGGCTAAGCAGATTCTCAACGATTTACGGACTTAAGCGTGTCTCAAAAGAAATATTTTACGCAAACGCCTGACTCAAGATGACGCTTCAAATGTGATCCTTGTGAAAATGCTTTTCCACACATTATACAACGGAAATTCTTTTTACCTCCACATTCATATCTTAAATTGTTTTAAATTCATTTTTTTTAAATTGATCGTGATGCAATCAACGAACAAAAAAAGTATAAAAAAGAGAAGAAAAGAAAAAAGAAAGAGACAAAAAAGATTAGCACAATTTAATCGTTCATGATTGTTATTTAATTGATTGATGGTTTATGCAACATGAATAAAGCTCTGATTACTATTCTATTATATAGTATGACACGAAAAGAACATAAATATCTATGGAATTGAAAACACATTAAAATTCACCTTATGTGACGTTGCAACGAGCTTGCATCTTTATAATGTTTCGAACAATTCGCTCGCGGACATTCATATCGCCCATCCATATTAATAAATTTTGTTAGATCTGAGAACTTTACATTGTGCCATATATCTTTATCGTATGAGTAACCATCACAACATGTGAAACAATCTGCAATGAATATAAGAAAAGAAGGGAACACAAATAGAGAATTCAGGAAGAGATTGATTCATGTTTTCAGTTTTGCGCTAATTTTTTTTTTGTTTTGCTTTGGATTTCATATTTTCAACTAAATTTCACTGCGATATTTACTTGGTTTATTAAATTAGTCTTTTCTCTTTCTATTATGCAACAATTAAAGAAAAACAAAATATGTGTCATAAAGTTAATAAAAGTCTTTGTTCATCTAAATTTTAAAATGTGTTTCTAGGTATGAATTTTTTTTTTGTTGTTGTTGATTTGTCAATTAAAAAAGGGAAAAATAAAACAATTTAGCGACAAATATAAGAAAAAGTATGAGAAACTTAAAAATGAATGATGATGAGATGACGACGATAACGAAATGAATTTTCTTTTTCTACTTTTCTTTTCTCTTAATTTTACAATTGTGCGAAAATTTCTTTTGATTCGAGATCGTGACCTAATGTCAATGTAAATTTCTGCCATGATGCAGAGATAAAATATGTTGCGTGAGCGAGTCGCGACGTTTGCTCATATGATTGCAGTAAGGACATTTAAATGACATTCGATTAGGATTCTTTGTACATTCATAGCGTACGTGGCGCTTTAGACATGAGAGCTTGCTATATCGTCGCAAACATAAAGCACAAACAAAACTCTTGTCATTTGATTCGTTATAATGATCTAAAAGTAAACAAGAAATACAGAAGAGAGATGGAAAAATGAGAATTAGAAACTGTTTTGTTCAACATGAGTTGTGTAACGAAATGTTTTGTATTTTTTTTTTCTATTGTTTTGACAATGAATTTAGCCTTTGGATTCTTATTGGTGGTGTTATCAACAACATAAAACAATTAAATGCCTTATTGTTTTAGTTAAACTTGCAAACAAAAATAATATAAACTTATAAAAAAAATTATAATAAAATCATACAGAAAAGAAATTGAGAAATCATAAGAACGAATGTGAGTTAATACGGATTTGTCTTCTCTTAATTTCATTAAGGATTTCTTGAGAATCGTGCAGCATTTGTTTCTTTCAGAAAACAAAAGTTAATTAAAACAAAATTCAAGCAGAAAAATAAATCAAAAATAATAATTCAGGTAAATATTTAATTGGAATGAAAAAGCTTTTTTCCGATATTTTTAATTCAATGTTTTGTTCTTCTTCATAACTTTTGAATGATCATTCGACATGTGCTTCTTAACGACTGACCCGCGTGGTGATCGAAAATCGCAGTAACGACATTGATATATTTTCCTATCTGGATTCAATTTGCAGTAAAATGTTTCGTGAATTGATCGATTGTTTTGTGTACTAAACTTTCTATTACAAAAACTGCAAATGAAATCTAGAAGAAAGAAATGAATATTTTCTGTTAGTTACACATGTTAGTTTACATGTTCATCATGGAAAAACGTGCACAACATTTAATCTTTTTTCCTTTGTAGCGAACGTGATTTATTTTTTTTTTAATTTTGTTTTGTCTTGGAAATGCAACCGAATCAAATGAGAATGAATGATGAGATTTGGTTAGATAAAATGAAGAATTGAATTAAGATTTATTTAGTTGCAGTTCTTATTATTGACCGATGGATGACCACAACCGTTTGTTACAAGAGACAGAGAAAGACACATAAAGAGAGAGAGAGAGAAGGAAAGGGAGAGACACAATCATCTTCAACTTCACACCCCCACAAAATTTAAACTTCTTAATTTTGTTTCACCATCCGTTGTTTGAAAAAATATTTATTAGTATCCATTTAAAATCAAATATTTACAAGTTTCCAAATCACTTCTTTTTTTTTCGTCAATAAAAGAAAGAAAAAAAAACTCAAGGAAAATTGACACAAAGTAGAGAAAAAGTTAATAAATTAAGTGGAAAAACTAAAATTAGTGAGTTAAATTAGCGCAAGGACAGACAAGAAAAAAAAATTAAAACTTAAAAACTAATATTTGGTAGCGTCAATTAAACGATCTGTTTTTTTTTTGGTGTTTTCCATTGAGTGATTATCACTTAATAAATTAATGATATGACTTATGAAATGTTGATGAGTTTGTATTTACAGTCGAACGCAATTAATTTGAAAGAATCAAGAAAAATAAATAAATTAAGGAAAATAGAGAAAACAAAAAAAAATCTCACAAATCTCTATAAGAGAAGAAAGAAATTGAATTGTAAATTTTTTTAAAGATATGACATAAAAGAATATATGAAAACTTAATTCGAAACATTATTAAGAGAATAATTGACAAAGAGATTCTTAAGATTCTGGAATGTTTGTTGCAATCCTAATTGAGCGAATGTCATATCACCATTGTAATTTTCGGGAAAGGCAACAGGATCTTGGCCGCCCAGAACACTTGAAATGACTGGCAAATTATCCTGTTTCATCATAAGCGCTTCAACTGAGAACTTGTCGAAATTATTTAACAACAAGTTATTTATTTCTCTATTTTCCGTTATATTTATTTCTTTCTTAACTGCTTTTTCCGATTTAATTGGCATTGGTGTGGGTGGCGTAATTATACCATGTTTAGAGCTTAAATGACGTACAAGATGATATTTTCGACGGAACTTTGATGGGCACATTTCACAATGAAACCTTGGCGGAATTCCAATGCACTCGTCTCTCATGTGTCGCTGCAGATGACGTCGTCGCAGGTAACTCTTGCCACATGTTGGACATGGGAATCTTTCCGAATCATCAGCTTTTATTTTCGTGAATATTTCCGGCACACATGTTAAACTCTCCTCTGAATTCATTTTTCGTTTTTTGATTGAATGATTTTTCAATTATTTATGTTATGTTATTTCATGACAGGTTATTAAGATCATGTTATTTTATGTGTGTGTGTTTGTGGGTGTAGGTGGTATGTGAAGGTTATGACAAAACGATATATGAAAGAAAAGAAAAATAAACATAAAAAATGAAAAAAAAATTGAAGAAAATGATTTTTGAGTTCAGTTTCGAAGCATAACAAAAAAAAGAAAAACAATAAAAACATTCTACTTTAATTAGAGCATCGAATTGCTCAGTATTGCAATATAAATCTACCACAAAAAAAGTATAAAAATTTCTTATAAAATTTAAAAATTTCAAACTTAAAACGTGCATCAATAGCAGCAAATACTGTGGTGATATGTGTAATCGAAAAGTTTTTTGCTTTGATTTGAATCTTAAATTAAATTCTTGTATGGTTATTATTGCACATGCATAAATATTATTATCTTTTGTTTTCATATTATTCTTGAGTAAATATTCAACCAAAGTTTCTCTTATTTTTTGATTCGTCATTTAAAATCTACCTTAAAGGTAATTCATAAATCTTTTTATCTTTCTTTCATCTTTAACAACGACAACAAAATGAGTTCTTGAAGACATTCACAGCTTCTTATGAATTCCATGCTTCTGACGTAAATGTAATGATAAGTCATACGCCCATGTACATACAAAATTGCAATGAGAACAATTGAAATATTTTGATGCGCGTCTAATCGGCATTTGATGAATGATTTTCTGTGTTGTGACCTTCTCTATGCTGCTTTGAGGTGATTTATTCGCCACAACATTTCTCTTATCACAACATTGTGCCACCAAATTACAATCACCGTTAAATAAACGTTTAAATGTTATGTCGCTTTCAAGAAACATTTGTGTCGGCCTTAGAGCTAGACAACATGATGACGAGGCTTTGGAAGAATCTGTAAAGGAGTTTGTGGACATTTCATCATCAGAACTTATAATCATAATTTTTTAAAGTTTCAGAAAATGCGCGCATAAATTTTTTTATGATTTACTTTAAATAAATAAAATCATTTTTTCTGATTTTCATTAAATGACAAGAGAAAAATGATAAAGAGACAGAAAGAAACAAATATGCATGAGTAATGAATGTGAAAAAAAAAATTGAAAATAAACATTCATGTAAATGAGAATTGTTATTTACTTTGACTTAGTAGGCATTTTATTTCAGAACCAACATTAAAGTTATTATTATTATTTATTACAAGTAAGGAAAAGGAATGTTTCCAGTCGTTAAAGTTATTTAAAACAATCAATTCAAAAGCTAGGATAGGAAAGAGAAATCACATTCTCGATCCTTGGTAGCCTGCCTCGTTTCGATGAAGGTGCTATCGAGGGATGAACCATACGAATGTGTGATAGTAAACGATCATTTCTGTAAGTTCGATAAGTGCAAGCGGAACAAGAATGACTTTTATCCTTTCCGCATTCATGATTCATATGTCGATTAAGAGTTTTTCGAAATTTATATTTGCGTTGACAGCGTGTACATGAAAACATTTTAGTCTCAACTTGTTTTGCAATTGACGGTGAATCACTTTTAAGGAAATGAGTTTTCAATTGTGTTTGATTAGCATAAGTTGAATTATAATCGATGTCGCCTAGAAGAGACAGAGACAGAAAGACCAAAGAGTCGAGGTTGAAAACATTAATTAAATAATATAATCGATTTATAATTGCAACACGCGTACATCACTGACTAAATGATTTCTCCATCGAGATAATCAAAAGAGGTCATTTTGAATGTAATTCCCTCAATCAAATGCTAGGTAGCAAATCATAACTAAGTAAGAATAAGTAATAACAAAACATCAATATGCTACATATTTATAAGATTTCACCTTGAAGCTGCGATTAATGTTGAATGTGTTAATTTATTCTTTGTAATCAAGAGAAAAAAAAAATTATTTTGCAAGTTCATTGCAATCGGAACATTGAAAAAATAAACATCGGTAAGGCTATTGACCTTCACCCACACGACCAAATGAATTTTTTTGATATTATAATGTAAATTTGTCTTTTCTTTGGCTGCAATTTAATGTGAAAAGTTTTGCTTAAAAATGCAAAGAAATAACTTGTTGATTTTGATGACAAAAGAGACAGCGGCATGAAAAAATAATACTTGTGGTGAATATTTTTTGCACATTATCTTGGACATGAACCTCGAAATGATCAGTTCGTTCTTTTGCCGCTGGGTGGCGTACTATGTCTTTTCTTAAGATTTAAATCTTCCACCACTTTAAAACGTTACACACAAATTGTTCATTCACTCGCGAGCACCATCAATATTAAACCGCGGGAATTCTCTTTATTATAATAAGATTGATCACTATTTACTAACTTCTTCTGTTTCAACGTTGGCCCTCCGAAAACTTATTTTCAACATATTTTTATTCAATAATATGAGAGAGTGAGATAGAAAATAAGAAAACTTAAGACGTTAACAAAATGAAAAAAAACTATTTGCTAATAAGACTTTTTTTTGGAATCACACTTTTAAACAAAAACGAGTGTTTTTTTGTTGTTTTTCGCGAAATATTGTTCGTTCATGTCCGAACTCGTGATTGTGTGGGGCATGATGATGTTGTCATTAAAATTAACAACATCACACACAGCACATGATAAAAAGCTGAAATAAAATGGTTTTTTTATGACTTTGGCATAAATTTCTGTGTAAATATAGAAACTTAAGTAAACTTAAAAACTATTTTTTTTTCTTGCTTAAAGCTAGGAAGAAAATTTCAATTTTCTCCACTGCATCCGATACAGAGTGCAGCAGATATACTCACAAAAATCAAATGCAGAAATATTGTTGATGTTCTCAAACTGCGGCAAATGATGAACTGAATGCTGGTGGCAAGTGACCCTTTTCATACGATTTACCTCATTATGCATCCCCACATACAAAGAGATGCATAACTACAAATACCTTTCTTAAATACCAAGAATACCAATCGCAGAAAACACTCGCCACTCCTCAACTTCGTCGACGCTCCTCAGAACATGTTTATGCACTATTCACAATTCCTTAATTCACTTTAACACTTTAAATTTTCATTTTTACTGATTCTTATGTAATGCTGCAATGTGGGGAGCAAAAACTCTCTCAAAATCGAGTCAAATAATCTTCGATTGCCCCCAAAAACCGCATCATCGCATTCAAAAGTGTTATAAAATAATGCGAAGAAACCCCGAGAGTTATTTTTAAAATGCAAAAGTAAAAATAAATAAAAATATACAATAGCATGCATTAAATTATTTGTTTTGATTGCTTTTTGTCTTCTTCTTTTGCTTGTGACAAGTAAAAGAAATTCGGGCATTTTGTCTCGTTGTCGAAGGCCAACGTGAATATTTTTTCTTCTTTCTTTTCTTTCTTCATCGTCGATTTTCTAATCATTTTTTTTCTTCTAAACTGAAATTCCTTCTTCTTCTTTTTCCCGTTTTCATTTTGCGTACAAAACGTAAAAAAAATTATAATTTGTCTTTTTATACATGAAAACGGCTTCAAGAAGAAAAAATAAAATTAATTGCTTTGATATGTTGCTTTGAAAGTTTTTTTTTGTCTATTTTTCGGGGGCATGTTTGTAACTTTTCGTGCTGTCCGAAACATAGTCCGAAAGAAATTTAAAGAAAAAAAAACAAAAATAAAAGTTGTAACTACAAACATAATTGTGTCATTTTTCATATAACGAGAAGACACGAAATGAAATGAAAAATTATAATTATCATCGTTTTTTTCTCTCTCACATTCGAATGTTGAGAAGCGCTTTTTGCTTCTATATTTATTAAGCGAGAAAGAGGATGCTCTTGTACACGCTTAAGGTGTGTGTGTGTGTGTGTTTGTGTATATTTTGGTTGGGTTGATTATGTACAAAAGAGTAAATGTGAAGTTTCATTTTACTGCTTCTCAGATCGATGATGAAGATGAAAAATTAACTGATGATAATTATACGTGATCATTTGATCTTTTTTCTTCTTCATATTTTCGTTAGTTTGTAACTTTTTTCTATGTCCTTTGTAGCTTTTGAATAGCACGCGAGTTTCTCTATGCGATGACTCCACATTATTTCATTAAACTCTTCAAGTGGATGTCGTAAGAAACTTTTTTCTTCTTAAATAATTCGCAGGTGTCTTTCTTTTGATGTTTCAGAGAAACTTTTCCGCAAGTCAAAAATAATTTTTTTATAAATGAATTTCTTGTCTGAGTTCATCAAAACTTTCAATGTAACTCATAAATATGTAGAATATGGTTAAAAAATAAATCAAAATAATGATAAACAACCAAACAAAAGTAAATAATAAAATTTAAAGGGTAAATAATGAAAAAATAAATGCAAAAAAGCACACACACACAAACGTTTACATCCAGTAGTAGATAAAAAAATTAAAAGCTCATCGTCGAGAATAAAAATGCAAAATTAGCGCATCGCGGTTTGTCGTCTACCACATAAATATATGTACATGTATCTGAGATATCAACGTTTCGTGTGCACACTTTTTAATTGATTTATGAGTAAATGATTTGTCATATCATCGATCAATAATAAATATAAAAAAATTATTAAACAAAAGAAGTAAAGTAAAAAATGGTTAAATAAATGCTACACAATCACCAAATATGTTTTTTTTTTCTGTTTTCATTTTGCAATTAAACTAATCTAATGGTTAAATTTTTGAATGTTAAAAAAAATTAATTCATTTGTCAAACATAAATTAATCAAAAAGTCATCAAATCTTTAATTAAACAAAACCTCTGAATATCCCACAAACAAAAAGGTTCTTTAAAGGGCTTCATTGCATTTGATTTGTAATTTTGTAATATTTGCGATCGAAATGTTTTTGTATTTACAGGATGGACATAGAAAAACAACGACAACGATCTTCGTTGCTTCATTTGATTGCACTTTTGCAGTGTCCGTTTTGCATTTTCCCTGAACTTTCTGCGTTGTTTTTCTTTCCATGTTTTTCATTTGTAATTTACAGTCGCAAGGTTTATTGCACTCTCTCAGGGCAAATGACGATTATAAGCGAAGGCTTTTCTGTTTGCGAATCGCTTCTTTTCTTTTCTTTCTTTTTTTGTGTTGACTGTGAAAAATATTCTTCTAACTGTTTATGAAACTTTTGTTGCTTGCAATCGACTCTCGCCTCTCTCCTCTCTTCAATATAATTTTCTTTTTCTTCATTGCTCATCGTGATGGTTCACATATTTTATTTTACAAATTTAATGGAAATTAACACTCGGCAGCCGACTGACTACTCATGGACACGGACATCAATGTGTGCGTTTATAATTTTTTAAATGACGAAAGCGAACAAATTTTTTTTTATGATTCGAAAACAAACAGAAACACGAAAAGAAATATAATTTTGCCTTTTGAGAGAACAACTTCTTCTTGGTTGCTTTTGTGACGGTTGGAACTTCTCGAAAGATTGATACATTCGTTCGTTTTATGGAAATATTCGTTGAATCGTTAATAAGAGAATTGCAACAAGAAACATGAAACTGCCAACATCAATCATCAAAATGATGGTGTTGTTATTTTATTTCTCTTTTATTATTTTTTTGACTTGTCTCGCTTTGCTTTTATATCGCAGAAAAAGTCATGAAAGTGCGCAGAGAAATTCGGGTTTTCCCTCGATTGAAGTTGAAGATTGAAAAAGTATTACACGCTTGAGGGGAGTCAGGTGAAAGAAAGAAAGAAAAAAAGCAGCAAATTGAAAGTCAACAGGAGACATCAAATGAAAGACTTTTCTGAATTGAAATGACCGCGAAAAATATGTTTGCAATGAAGCTCTTTTGAGACACTTTTGTCGGTGATTTTTGCGAAAGAAAGTTGAGATATTTAAACAAATTGACTTCTGGTATTTGGAATAATAAACAGCCATGAATATGGTTTGTTAAGTCATCAAATTCTTTAATCAACAAGGGAAATTTTTGAAAATGAATCACATACACAAAGCGCAAATCTTTTCATCTGACTAATCCAAAGAAGAGAAAGAGAAAAGAAGCATAAAAAAAACAAGTTGTGATCGATGATGTCATTGTTAAAACATTCTCAAGTTTTCTTTCGCAAAAATGCAAGACGAAAAGAATGAAAAATTGAAGCTTACCTTGTGCGTCTCTGTGTTGTCCAGCTGCTTCCTGTGATTCCTGACTTCGGTTGTCCATATTCCAATGATAGCCTATCACAAGATTAAAGTTTTAATCTCAAAAAATGAAGAGAGAAATTATTAAATTACCTTGACTAGATCCTTCACCACCATGACTCGGGCCTGCTTGGTCCAAATCCTCCAGCATCTCATCATCCATCGTCAAATCTTCAACATTTCCATCTTCATCCTCGTCGTCATCATCATATTCATTCTTGGGTTCGATCATTATTTCCGATTCCTGCTTATTGTCCGTGGTATCGTGCTTTGAACGTTTCGTAATGTGCACTTGTTCATCATCGCCATTATCCTCATGATGATCTTTCTGATTTGAATCATGTTCAGTCTTTTTGTTGGTAACGGACATGTTGTTTGATGGCGCAGAGGTAGCGGAGGTATTTGATAATTGTTGCTGTTGTTGTTGATTATTTGAATGTGATGAGGAATTTGAGTGCTGGTCATGATTATCTACACAATAAAAGGAAGATGAAGAAGAAAAGCCATTGAAATAACTTGCACAAAAAACAAATCAAACACGACATGATTTCTTTCTTTTTATTTTCAACTTTAACTCACCTAACAAATTATTTGATTCGGCTAAGCTCTTGCGACGCTGATTCACTTTTTTGCGCTTACGAGTTGATGGCGAAACTGAGCCTTCTCGTGAACCCGAAACATCTGCATCGAAGTCTGTTCTGAGAGGTCTTTTGTTTTCTATGGTTAAGCCTGAAGCCTGTTGAATTAAATTCATTATAAGTTAATCATCGTTGCATGATCGAGTAAAAATGTTTTTCTTACCTTTGGTGCAGGTACATGTGATGACTTCACCTCACTTTTCAAATGTGCTTGAGATGGCATATTGGTGGAATTACCACCACCACGGCTATCAGAGAGACCTTTAATTTGGAGTGATTCAGCGGCTTTCAAAAGTGCCGCTAGTTGGTCTTGCGAAATATTTACTTCGCCACGATACATATAATCCATCATGGCACGAAGCTCTTGAAATTTAACATCCTTGAGAATGAAGATGGGATGTTTATCATATTGTTGAGATAACAGCGTCTATTTATTGACAAAAAGAGAGGAGAAGTTAGTTGAGTTTTAAACAGTTTTATGAGAAACTTACAGCAAAGTATGGGCTGCATGCTGAAAGAACAACTTTGTGTGCTTTCAGGAATTTTCCTTCTGCTGCCAATGTGCAATCGACGAGAGTTCCATTCTCCAATAATGTATCAAACACTGATATCAGCGTACTTTGATGGTTGTTCCATCTCAAGCAAAATTGCTGATCATCATCCATGGCTGAGGCTGGATGACTGCCACTGTATTAATTTGTCTCTTCTTGTGCTTTCAACGCTCTTTTTATTTATTTTTATTTTTTTCTTCTTCTGCTGTTAAGCACGGACGAAAATAAGAATGAAAAGAAGAAATATGATGCTCGATCAAAAACGAATTTCTTGCTTCTTCTTCTCTTGTTTGCGTGTTAAGACTTTACTTTATTTGAATCTGTAATGAAATGAAAGAAAAAATATAAATATAAGTAATGTTTTTATGAGTATTTTCTTATATCTTGTGTGAATTAAGAATGCAATGCGCATGTCGAATTTTTCCCACTTCTCGAAACGAAACAAACGAAACAATGAAAGAAAATAAAATATTTTATATTAATCGACGATGTGTTTGTCCCTACGTCCGTCCTTAAGCTTAATTTGAGTTTGTATAAAGTATTTAATGTAATTTTCAGTTCAATAGTCTACATTTTATTACTTTTATGACATTGTTTAGCTGCGTAAATAAATATTTTCTTCTTCTTTTTCTTATCTTGCCTTCTCTCTTTCTCGCACACACACACACTTGTAAATGGCTTTAGAAGCGCTTTTTAAATACATAAAAAAAGCTTTTTTTAATCCATTGCAACGAACTCATCACTCAGTGGAGTTCTGGCGACTATAAAGTGAATATAAACTTGCGTTAATAGCTTTGCTAATCTGCATAAGCACTAAACGATGTGAATTTTTTCTTTATTCTTTTTAATTCGCACAAGTTTATTTGCTTTGTTGTTGGAATTTACATTAATAACGAAGCTTCACCTTATGATCAAAGTACGAGAAGAAATACTAAGAATATCAGTTGAAACCACACTTGGATTTTTACATTATGATTATTTCTTTTATTATAACTACTTCGACTCTTTTTCATTATATTTTTGTAAGTGGGTTGAATGGTGGAATTAGCCAGTGCAAGTCGCGATGAAAATAATAAAAAAAAATGGCGAAGCATTGAAACGACCGACGATAGAATAAGAAAAAAAAGGGAAAAAACTTAATCATATTAAGTTTATTGTTCGTGCGCGTTGCAACGCGAAACTTCTTTTTTCAATTTGCTTTTTACCTTGCTTTAACTCACTTTGTAAATGTCTTTTTTTAATTTTATTTTATTTTTGGGGCGCAAGAAAACAAAGTTCGAATGAGAGAACGAACAACTTTGTAAAACTTCGATTGACGGCAATGATGAACGGTGGTGGTGACTTTTAGAAGTTTTTCTTCTCCTTTTTAACGTATTTCTTGTTTTTCGACTCGTCCGAAATGTTTGCCAACAACAACGAAAATGCGCAATTTGCATGATATGCCAAACAAAAAGATCGTTTACAGCAGTGCAATGTCTGGTGTATCACATTTATGGATCACGTCAAGGTCGGGTGGAAGAGAAAAGAAAAAAAATATGCGCGCAAGTGGATCTGGCATAATAAAATGTGAACAAAATAGGCAACGAACAACAACTAAAGCGATATGCTGGATATTTTAATTTTCTTGGCGCTTCGCCAACTGAGGAAAAAATGAAGCTTTTAAGTTACTGCAGTTTGCTGTAGCGATTTTCAAACAAAATTTAAAAGACGCGGAAAAACAGCAAAATTAGATCAGGTTGATGTGCTGACTAGAAAAAAGTTTAAATAACGACTTAATCGAGTCAATAACAAACCTAGAAAGTTGCATATATTGGCTGTTGTTATGTGTCATGTGAAAACACAATTAAATTCAAATGTTTATCATGAATAAGAAGCAAAATTCATGCGAAAATGTAACTTGAGAGTTGACAAATGCACGTAATTATAAGAGAAAATGAAGGTACTGCGCAAATATTAATTTCGAACATAAATTGCTTTGTTTTAAATTGATTTCTTACAGATTATTGATTTTCTATCACAATCTTCCAAACATCGCTGATAAGAAAAGCTTTTTGAAAGAAACTTTTCATTCCTTGTTTAGTCGTACTAAATAAGCAAAATCAAAACTTGTGAAAAATGTTTCAAGGGGCAGCGCTAATTTTTCATTGCACGCAAATTTAATATGCAACAAGTTCGCAATCACAAATGAAATGAAATGAAAAAATAATCCAATCAATATGCACATAAAGCGAATGTGCAATGTAAACGGACTGAGTGGCAACGCTATTAGGCGCTCAAGCTTCAAGTTTACGGAATTTTTCCATTTTTCATGACATTTTATGAGAATAATTTGTTTCAATTTTATTACAACACGTTGGAAACGACGCTGTGTGTGCTCACTTAATGCTAACATCATCTTTTACGCGCAAAAAAAGGTCTTCAATGCTTCGAAATCATTCAACTCTTGGATATCTTCTTCTTTGTTTTCTTTTCTCTTTTAAATCCGTTGATTTTCATCCACCCACGCGCCATCGCACAACATCGCCAAAGTATTTGAAGTTTCTTTTACTGCCAAATATGAGATAGTCAATCAACAAAACCTCAAAGAGAAGGAATCAAAGAAAAGAGGAGAAGAAGAAGTTTCTCGCTTTTTTTTTCTTCATTTTCATACCAACAAGTGTGCTTCATTCATTGAATTCGTGGCTTTAATGAAAACGGGGATTATAAATGGGAATCGATAAGTTATTGCCAAGCGCAATTCGCTGTTATGATCAGTCTCAAAGACTAAGAGTCGTACTAAGAAGCTTTAATTAAGTTCATCGTTCCTAATAGTATTTATGTTAATCAGCAAGCAAAATAATTTTATTTCAAGCTTAACGACGATCGCTTATTTGCATGTGTTGTTATTTTTGCGCATTTTTCTGTGCGACGAACAAGTAGATTTGATACATAACAAACACATTTTTTTTCATCAGCTGTATAGTGAAGTATCTTCAGCCTACACAAGCAAACGACGACACTTTGTGATCGTTATTAAAGCTCTTCGCAAAATGTGAAAACAGACAAACCATAAATAAAAAAAATATAAAACCATAAAAATGCTCTCCGAAAAGCCTCATACATGATGATGATGATGATGTTTTTCATATTTTTTAAATACGATTTTTGTTCAGTTGTTTAAAGTGAAGGTTAAAACGAACAAAGTGCTTTTTTATGGTCAGGCTGGGTGCTGTTTTAATAAATTTTTTTCTCCCTCTCTCTCTCTCTTTCCTTCTCACGTTGTACATAAATCTTTACTTCGACTACAAAGCAATCAAAATGGGACAAAAAAATGGACTTTTTCACATTTGCTTATATCATTATTTGTTTCTTGTCTTGGCAACTCAGATGAGATTACAGAAAAAAAAATAAATAAATAAAACTATCAATAAAGATTGCGAATGTTCGTGCTTTGCAACAAAAATGTAGAAAAGAACACATTGATGATCATTGTCAGAAGTTTATTTTTACATGTCAATTACATAAATAAAGTATTTTCTCGCTCAACTGCCACGAAGTCGACGATGTGAAAACTTAAGAAACAACCATAGCGAATTTGTATTTGACGTTGAAATGTGAAAATTCTCTTGAATTGCTTGCATAAATTTTTTTCTTCTCGCACTCCTTATGGGCTTGGCGTCGCGCACAGCCTCTTAATATGAACTCTGATTGCCCAATAAATTTTATAAATTTATGCGAAGACGGGAATGGCAAAAAGCGATTATGACGCAGCGGAAATTCACTTAACAGAAAGCACCGGATTGCTGATGTTGTTGTTCAACTCTTCTTATTCTCAGCTCATTTGTCCACGTTTTCTTTTCGAATAAGAAACGACGAAACTTACAATGAAAAGAAGCCAAGAAAACTTTTTATTTTTGTTTAACCACTTCATGACATGAGACGACTTTGTTGTTATTGTTTTTCCAGGCCCAGCACAAAAATAAAATAAAAAGTTTCGACGAATTTCTCTTTAAATGAATGCGAACAGAGCCAGGTCGAAACTTAATACACTTCAACAGTACGAGCCACACGAAAATAATGAAAAAACATTTTCACATTCGCACACATTCATAAAATCATCATCGTCATCGTCGTCACATATATTTTCAGTTGATATAAGGTCGAAAAGAACATTAAAGTGAAGCTTAAAACATACAACTTGTTTTTCATGTGGGCTGACGAAGAGAATCGAGAAGAAACAAAAAAAAATGATTTTTTTTCTTCTCTTGAGTTGGGCACCGAATTTGATCATCGAAGGTACTAACAAGAATTGTTTTTATTTTTACTTCTTTTCAAGTCGCTTCATGATGATGGCGAAGAGAGGAAGCAAAGCGTAAATGAGAATGAAGAAAAATATCAGAAATATTAAGAGGACAGTAATAGAGAAAATCAAATTGTATTTCAAATGTTGTTGAATTGCGCTCAAGGAGGGCAAGATTGAAAATTTTTAAAGTTTGAAGTCATTTTTCAAGTTTCCTTCTTCTTATAATTCCACTCACAGATTACACACATCGCCACATAAATCCGAAAAGTGATTTCGGGGATTTTTATTTTCTTGCTTTTGCTTCTCTTTACATTCGCGAAATTAACTTTCAAAAAAAAATTTTTTATGAACTTTTCTTGTTTGCTTTCGAGAAATTCGATCAAATCACAATAACATGTTTTATCGACGAAAAACTTATTTCTTTTTGTTTTTCGATCACACATACACACAAGATTAATGTCACAGTGCGCACCACTCACTTTTGATGATGAATGATGAAAAGTTCACACATTGAAACCTTTTATAAATTATCCGGATTTCGATCTGGGTACAACTTCTTTTTCCCAATCGACGATCTCAACTGAACAACGAGGCTCTCGTACATTCAACATCGGCATCATCGGTTCGGGTGTAACGCGCGAAAAAGAAAAAAAACCCGAAAAGCACTCTCTGTGGAAATTCGGGTTTTAAACGGATGCGCCAATGAGAGAGAATGGGACAAATAGATTTTCCCAAAAAAAACAGCAATAATCGTTTATGTGGCGGGTTGAAGCAGCAGAAAATGTTTTTCGAAGCACGGAGATCTCACACACACATTTGGAGAAGCGTTTGCGATATTTCCCCGAGTCATTTGTAAATGGCACATAATAAGTTTCCAACCGAAAATAATAATGAAAAAACATCATTCGTACACACAATTGAAATGATGATCCAATCTTGCATCATGAAAAATCACAAATTTCATAAAATCAAAGAAAATTTTTATATTCTGACGCAAATCACTTATAAGCAACTGCATGCTGAGCATATTTATTACAATGGCAACCATCTCGACGGCAGTTTATTCGCCTCCTGTTATAGAAATTAATTTTATTTTTCCTTTTTTTTCTTGTTTTATTCCCCATAGCAAAAGAAACTTTCTGCCGTGTGTGAGGGTCGCAAATGTTGGGATTTTCAATTGTAATCGACTAGCGATCAGCGCGCGGAGAAAAATGTATTATTTTTTTACTGCCGCTTCATTTCTTTTGTTCCCGAATGGAAAAAAATTGTACATACTGTAAAGATGAAGCGAGCAGCTTTAATGGGACCCCTTCACAACTCATGAACAAATGGGAAATTTTAATAAAAGGGGGAACTTTTTTTTGTGTGTGCACTACGTCGTAGCTCAACATAAGTCTCAACAGTTTTAATGTAGGGGAGATGAAAAACGAACAGCTTTTTGGGTGAATCAAACGCGAGAGGAAATCAAACAGGCGAGACATTGACGTCGCTTCTACATGGGTTGGTACCGGAGATTGAAAACGAATGAATTGAATCTGTTAGGGGGAGGAAAGAAATCTTGAATATTACATGATGAATCATTGTGAGAAGATCATCGTGTTTCAATCATAAATACCCTCCGTTTATGCCCATGATTATCACTCTTGCCATCTATTTTACTTTTCATCTTTCCCCAGTTTATCGAAAGAAAAATATGATAAAGTTGCTTCAGTTAAACCCAAAAACATTTTCATGTTGAACATTTTTTAAACTGCTTTTGCTGTTGTTGTTCTTTTTTCTACTTTTCTCTTTTACTTCTTTCTTTTTTCCAAAAAAACTCTCTCGTCCGCTTTAAACATTCTTTTTTTGGGGTTTCTGAATTTTGGACAGATGTTTTACAAACTTTTCCACTCGTTCAACACTCAACACACCACCAACAGTGAAAAGAAACCCGAGAGAATAAATTTTTCGAATGATTGGAGTTTCCTTTTTGGATATTTCATACTCGCTTTGATGGGGATTGTACGTAAGTAAAGAAAATTTATATTTTATCAAATGTCGTTCAACTTGAAACAAATGAAAGATGGAAAAGGATTTAAAAAGAAAAAAACTATCACAATTACTAATGACATTATTTACAAACGTCCCCTAAAAAAAACTTACAGAATGGGCTCTTTTGTTGTAAACTGCTCGTCGTTTTCTTCTTTGTATTAGTGAATAGCATTCATAGACAGTTTCCTTTCTGTATACATTTTCCCCCATTAAAGTTTTTCAAACTCCGAAACGAGTGAAATGAAGAAAAAGAAGAAACGAAAAAAAAACCGAAACAAAATGTGAAAAGGAATGGATCGGGCTACGAGTTTATATGCTTCATCATTTTTCCCAACATCATCATTTGATCAAACTGTACACCTTCCTTGTTTTCCGTTTTCAAGGGGGGAGAAATAAAATAGAAGCATTTTCTACTGCCATTGAAGGCAAACAGAGAATAAAAAAAACTTATCGCATTTACAATGTTGAGAAAACTTGCAAGCGGCAAACGTAAGATTTGTTTCTATGTTGCACATTTTTTTCGTTTCGCAATAAATCGACAAACTGCAATTGACTCGCTCGTGCATTTTATTATGAACTTGAACATTTTTCCGCGCTCTTGGCTGGCGCATTCATTATTATTTTCAAAGTCAATGCTAAACATGTTTTCCTAGAGTGGTTAATGATGAATGTTTGACTCGTAAGTTAGAAGTATTCAGGGGAGAATTTAAAAGCTGAGATAATAAACGCCTACGCTATGTTCTAAATGCTGATCTGTTTGCCCTGTTGAGCTCTAACAATTATGAATATTTGCTATATAATTATGGGTGTACAAACGCGAATGGTATAAATTTCCATATGATCAGCGTTACGAAATATTGAGTCGCAATTTGGGTTTTCCAGAACATGTTTAAAAGCGAAGACTTTGTGTATGTGCAAATGGGCAGAGACGCAATCATGTTTCATTAAAAATGATATTTTTGGTTGTGCCTACGAGGCAGCTTTTTTCTTGTCTTGTTCAAGTCGTCGGATGTGTATCTACATAATATAAACTTTTTTTATGTGCCTCGCTACCTTACAAAAATGCTTCATTCCTCGCGTGTGTGTACAAAAAAAATCTTTATTTCACTTCATCGTCAAAACGAACGACGGTGAGTGAGATCATATTTTCTTAGAAGGAAATATTTTTCTGTTGCTGATCTTTGTGTTCTTACAATGTTCGCTTTTCGTTTTAAATTCGTAGCGCGATTGTGTGTATGTGTGCGATAAGGCTTTGTGCTTTTTTATGTTCGCCACCGAGAACAGAGAATCGAGAAGAAAAAAATTTTCCGAAGCATAATAATCGGTGCTCAGTGTGTGTGGGTGAGTGGTTTTCGTGTTGTTACGCGGTGGAAATTGTCCATTGTGTTGGTGAAAAATCGCCATTTGCTTTTTCTTTGGACCATTCGGAAAATTAATTTTCACATTTTCCACATAGAGCACTTAAAATTATGATGCTTCGTAATTGAAATATTGATTAAAATAAAATAAATAATTGATTTGACTTTTTTCCGGAATCATAACATTAATGTTTTCGCATAAAAATCAACCCGCTCGATGACGCCCAGGCAGCGAAAATTAGAATGAACTTTTCCACTTTCACGTAAACTTTTCGTCTTTTTCAATATATTATTTCACAAACATTCACTTTACTCACCGTTTTTAGCACAGTCTTCATTTAATATCACAAATTAATACTTGTATTTCGTCCAAAATATTTTTTCAAAATGGCGTCTTTTCCACGGAGCAAATTGATTTTACGTCTTGCACTGTTTATGATTTTCTGAAGAATGAAGTTTTGTGATTTGGCCGCATTTGCGTACCCTCAATTCCCGAGTGAAAACAAAAACTATGGGAGCATAAAAGTTGATGTGTAATTTTAAAAAATACGTTACATTACATTGTATCAAAACATTGCATATTGATTTTATTAATTTTTTATTTCCCTCTTTAATTTTTTAACATGTTGATGGAAACAAATATTATTTTCTTACATTTTGAACATAACTTTGAATATTAGCAAGTTGAAAATTAAAAATGTTTTCCCATTGTTTGTAATTTTCAGACACATAATGATGATAATTCAAGTATTTAAAGTTGCTTGAATTCATTTGACTTGAAGTATTTTCAGAAGCAAAGACTTTGTTGTGAGCTTTTGTTTTTCTATTTTGTTTTGATAACTTATCGAATTTTGTGCTTAAGTTTTTCTCCGATTCGTCATCGTCTTCACAGCTGATTTCAATATCAATTTCTTTGTTTTCTGAACTTTCTGATAACATTTCATCGTTATTCTCTTGAGAAGTTCTTTGGAAAATTACTTGACGTTCTTCTTTTACTGAAGTATTTACTATTGGAATGTATTTCTGTAAATTCTTTTCACCATTCTCATATAAGTTTAATTCTTCGATTGTTTGCAAAAAAATATTTTCTTCATTTGAATGATCTTTCCCATTCAACGTTGATTGATAATTTTTGTTGTTTACAGAATCCTCTGAATTTTGTTCATAATCCTTAAGTATTTCTTCAACATTGAAATCAAAGTTTGGTTTCTTTTCATTATCAACAAGCTTTTTAGTGATTTCCAGAAGTGTCAAATTGTATTTTGCAATTTTATCAGCCTCAGTTTCATTTTCCTGTTCATCATCTTCATCTTGTTGAGAAATACTTGAAATTGTCTGAAGAATCTTTTCCGAATCCTGTTTGAAATCCCAAAAATCATAAGCAATAGACTCGTCAGGATACTTTAAAGCCTTCAGCTTGCTTCCTCCAATGTCTCCGAGTATTTTTTGAAATTTTTCCACATCTTCCTCGCCATTTATAAATGTGATAGCAACTCCATACGTTCCAAATCTTCCAGCACGTCCAATTCTATGAAGATAAGTGAAACAATCGTAAGGAAGATCAAGATTTATAATCAAATTAATGTTTTCGATGTCAATTCCTCTCGCCATCAAATCTGTCGTTATAAGAATTCGACATTTAAATTTCACAAGCTTATCGAGAACTTTAAGTCTTTGAGATTGCTCTTGAGCTCCATTAATTACTTCATTCTTCCATCCACGTTTTCGCAAATAATGTCCATAACTTTCAGTTTTCGATTGTGAATCAGTGAACAGCAAACATTGTTTAAAAGCAATTCTGGTAAATATTTTGTTCAGCTCATCAATCTTTGAATTCATCAGACAAATGTTATCGTCTTCTCTTGGGAGGATTTTAACAAATTGCTTTATGCCTAAAAGAACTGGAATCTCATGCTTTGGAGTGATTCCAATTGGATTCTTCATCACATTCTTCATTATAGTTTCAAGTTCAGTTGTAACAGTTGCAGTTGTTGCAATAATTTGGATCTTTTTGTGCATAAGCTTTAGTATCGATTTTACATCTTTTGCCATCTGTCCGCTTTCCAGAAGTTTGTCAGCTTCATCTAAAACTAAACTTTTTAAATTCGAAATGTTAAAAACTTCATTTTTGATTAAGTGAAGAATTCGTCCCGGTGTTCCTATCACAACTTTAGTTGTTTGAATATTTTTACGATCATTACTTATGTCAATACCACCAATGAATTCATGAGCTTTGAAATATTTCACATTGCTTCCAAGTTCATTCATCACATTAACGATCTGCACAGCTATTTCACGTGTTGGAATTAAAACCAATGATTGTGGGAATTTCAAATTCTCGTCATAGTTTTCCATGATGCAAATCGTGAAAGCCAATGTCTTTCCTGTTCCTGACTTTGCCTGAATAATCATATCAAGTCCGCATTTAGCCAAAGGAATGACTTTCAATTGAATTGGACTCGGCTTGAGGAAATTCATCCTTTTCAGTGACTTCAATAGCTTATTTGACAACATAAAGTTGGAGAATGAATGATCTTCAGTTACATAAATATCTGCAGTGTGTTGAATCTCTTTATTGTCTTTGGAATTCTGCGAAAAATTTTCTTTGTTGCCATTACTTTGTTCGCTGATTGTCGAGCTCATTTTCTAAAACAAATAAAAGTAATTTAATTTGATTCCTAAATACACGATTAAATAATTTAATTTCCTCACTTTCTATTTTATGACTAATATCCAGAAATATTTATTAAATATTGTAATAAGCTATAAACTCAACAGCTTACTTTAAAACGTTTCGAGCGGCATAAATGTAAACAAATTACAGTGAAACTTCTCTAAACTGAACAAAAAAAATATTCATTGAACTTTATTATTCTTAATTTATGATGGCAATGAATAGACAAAAATCATAAATCTTTGACTAATATTCAATTAAGCTTCATCGAAAATGAAATCAAATGAGTTCATTTGATAGTTTAACAAAAAATTATAATGTACCGCATATTCAAAGAACTTAATGCTGTGCATAATATTCAGTGATAAACTTTTATATCTTAGGTCTTTACGAAACTGGAATATTTTTCAATAAATGATGTTCACTAAATACTCGTAGAAATTTATTCTGTTTATTGTGACATAATATTTGGAACGAACCCATTAGATCATAAATAGATTTCATTCGATCAGTCCAACAAGTACAACTCCGACTCGAATAAAAACAAACAAATCAGCGGCTTAAGAACATCGCTTAAGAAGATAAAAAATGCAGCAATTGAAAGCAAGTGTCAATCAAGCCTATGATGGCTTTTGTGGATATATCGAGAAAAATAATCGAATGACAGAAGTAAGTTTTTCTTCATTAGTTTCATAATAAAAAATGAACTTGAAATTCAAGAAAAATATTAATACTTCTTATCTTTTATCAGTTTGGTTTATACGGGCTTAGCACCGGGATTCTCGCATACGCTTATTTCCGTAGAAGGCCGATAACAAAATTCACAAGGGCATCTGACATCCCAAAACACTTTGTTGAAGAGAAAGTTCTTCAAACTGGTGTTGTTAAGAAAATCGAGCCTACAGAGTTTGGACCTCTTTTACATATTAATCATAAACCTCCAGTTAATGTTTCCTTTGGAAGTCAAGCGTTGCCAACTCGAGTAAGCAACTCGATTTTTTTTTATTTATATTTTGATGATCTCATGATTTTTTCAAATTTTAGGTTGCTGGTGTCAATATTGATGGCAATGGATTTAGTTGGCTTCAAATTTTAGCCACAAGTCAAGAAGTTAAATTTGTACCGCTTGGAAATAAAGGTAAAGAATGTATGGCAAGAGTTTATCTGATTGAGAAAAGCAAAGAACCTTTGGATATTGGACGAGCACTTGTTGGATTAGGATTTGCTCGTGCAGCTCCAAGAAATGATGCATTGAACATAGAACTAGATGAGAATTTCATAAAATATCATAAAATGCTTCAACGTAGTGAGAGCAAAGCAAAACGACTTCGTAAAGGTCAATGGTCGTCACTACCAGAAAACTGGCTTCGATGGAAAGTTCGAACAGAACTTGATAAACTTTTCTTCAGACTAAAGCCTGAGCATATGAAAATCCCTAAGCTAGTTCGTTAACTCATGAAAGCTGTTTCTTAAATATTGTTTTACCTCTTTCCTTGTTGCATGTGAAACATGCAAGTTATAAAGTGAATGAAAAAAGTGCTTTTATAGAATTGAACACAAATTTTTTAGAAAATATCATGAAGTTTGGAAATTTTACGAAAAAAAATGTCTTCATACATACTAAGAATGTACATAAAGTATTTAATTATGTTTTTTAAATAAATTGAGATTAAAGAAAAAAAATGTTTCAGAAAAATTCAAAACTTTTAATTTTTAACGTATAAATGTGTGTTGTGTAAAATTCAAATTCCTCGTTTTCAAGGTAGTTGAATGCCCTTGAAACCGAAAAAAAAGCCCGATTTAGAAAAAAGTAATGGAAAAGATTGCTTTTAATTCAGATATGGTTATTAAATTAGAACCTGATGCACTTTCTTCCATCTGTGACTCAACAGTAAGTTTATATATAATTGGTTTTCAAGTACTTACAAACAATTTTTTCAAAAAAATTGGATTAATATCGAATTTTGCATTTAAAATTTGAATGTAAACAAACTTGAGATCCAGGACTGGATCTTAAAAATAATTTTTTTATCGATTTATGAATTAAATGTTTCATTTTATTTTAGTCTTCACTTATGGAAGGATGCAGGTTACCAGTACGTATGTCTGGTACTGAAGATTGGCCATTGGCAGAGATCATTAGCATTAAAGAGCACCAGGATGATACTTACTACTACGTTCATTACGTTGATTGTATGATTTGTGTTTATTTTATTACAACAAGAGAATGACAAGATTTGAATTTCAGTTAATAAGCGGCTAGACGAGTGGGTTCCCGAGGAATATTTGGATACAAGAAAAGTTCAATGGCCTCGCAAAGATGGATTAACGACAGGACAAAATACAACCGGCGTTTCAACTCCAAAGAGACTGATTTCAACTTCTCGTCCAACAAGTCCAATACATCATCACACACCTGAACTTCAATTAAATGGCAATGCTGTACTACAAGCAGCTCTACAAAAGAAAAACAGTCGGAAAAGAAAAGCGCCATCGATATCAGTTGCAACCACCCCTATAGTAACAATTGCAACACCAGCCACACCAACACCTGTAACTCCATCTGTTGATGATGATTCTCAGGAGCCACCGGAAAAAACGCCACGACAATCTGGCAGTATGGTGACACATCACGACGATATCGTCACAAGAATGAAAAACATTCAATTAATAGAGTTGGGAAAACATCGAATCAAACCTTGGTATTTCTCTCCTTACCCTCAAGAACTGTGCACACTTGAATGCATTTATATTTGTGAATTCTGCTTGAAATATCGAAAGAGTCGAAAATGTCTTGAGCGACATATTTCAAAGTGCAATCTGAGAAATCCTCCTGGAAATGAAATCTACCGAAAGAACACAATTTCATTCTTTGAAATCGATGGTCGTAAGAACAAATGTTATGCACAAAATTTATGTCTTCTTGCAAAATTGTTCCTCGATCATAAAACATTGTATTACGATACAGATCCGTTCTTGTTTTATGTCATGACTGAATATGATAATCGTGGCTTTCACATTGTCGGATATTTCTCGAAAGAAAAGGAAAGTACAGAAGATTATAACGTCGCTTGTATTCTCACTTTGCCACCATATCAAAGGAAAGGATATGGAAAATTACTTATTGAATTTAGTAAGTTAAATGACTCTTAATTCTCCTCAATTGAAATCATTTCCTTATTATTCCCTAAGGTTATGAACTTTCCAAGTTTGAAGGAAAATGTGGATCACCTGAAAAGCCATTATCAGATCTTGGTCTTCTTTCCTATCGAAGCTATTGGGCGCATACAATTCTAGAAATTCTCATTGCACAGGAAACTGTCGGTGATAATGAAAAGCCTCAAATTACCATAAAGTATGTAACAGCAAATGATTTGTAGCAATTTTCAATTATTAAACATTTCTCTTTATCAGTGAAATTTGCGAGTTAACCAGCATAAAGAAAGACGATGTCATCTCAACGTTACGTAATTTGAATTTAATTAATTACTACAAAGGTCAATACATCATCTGTATTAACAAAGATGTGATTGATCATCATAGAAGTGCTATGGAGAAAAGATCAATAAGAATTGATTCAAAATTCCTTCATTGGACACCAAAAGATTGGAGCAAGCGTTCAAAGTGGTGAATCAATTTTGTTCTTGAAAGTTGCTTGGAAATGTTCAGCAAATGAAGAACATCATTTCAATCTTTAGTTTGAAACTGTGTGTAAATATTATCTTAAAAAATCTTGTTAAATTCAGCATCGAACAACCACCAACTTAATATAAAAATATTTAAGTTATGAAACCAAAATGACAATGTTGATCTTGTAATTTCATCAAAACTAATAAACGAGAAATTTCCATGACAAGTTCTATGAGGAAGAATTTTAATCCAATTGATTTCAAGTCACATTTTTGTTTAAAAGTTTCTCAATCAGAAAAGCAAATTGAGATTACTTTCCATCACATTTGGATACGTCACAATTTTATTAGCAATAATAAATAATTAATAAAAAACCAACGCGATTTTCTAAACTATTTTAAATTATTATAATAATCTGACATGAAATTCCCACAGAAAAAATAAATCAACAACTTCAAAATTCTCGATTAAAAAATCACAAATCGTAAAGAATTTTTTTTTCAGATCGACAAGAAATATTTTGAAATTTCTTTCATTTTCAGAAATGATGAACAAAAATTCCACAACAAATCATTTGATATTGTTAAGAAGATTTTTCAGCATGCTTCTAAATATTTATGTAAACATCAACCAGCAACTTTTCAAAACATTTTTCTTCGTTCAAGATTTGTTGTTAAAATGTTTGTGTCGATTTATTTTATATAAGCTCAAGAATACAATACAATACAATAGATATGTGAATATAATATGAAATTATTTATTTTCTGCTTCAAAAGTCATCATCATCGTCTTCATCTTCATCTTCGTCATCGTCTTTATCTGTAATGATTGTAACTGGTGAAGCTCCATCCCAAAGCATGCGTCTGTAGAAAAAAATGAAAAATGTGTTTCGAAACATGATTTAACATAAAACTTTGACTATATTTTCGAACCTGGGAGAGCTTTCATGTTGTTCACTAGTCAAGTAACGTGTTTTTGAAAACGGATCGTTCATAATCATGCTTGATGAATGAGGTGAAGACGAACTAAGAACTTTTGTCGCAGTTTCTTGAATAAGTCTCCAAGCTTTCTCGACTTGTTCTTCACTGCAATTTTCTTGATTCGCAACGAATCTTATTACATACTTCCCTTGTGCATGTGATGGAATAAGATGGATGCTGTTAGTTTCATTCAACTTCTTAAGTAAAATTTCATTCAATCTGTCAACTGGCGATGGTAGAGCTGCCATTCTTCTTGTCTCGTCAGACTTCCCACTTAAAGATCAGAATTATTAAAGAAAATATTTTACAACAAATCATTTAACATACACAAGTCTGAAACAAACCAGACCAAGAATTGGTTTATTTTTAACCCTGAATCGGGTGTCAGCTTTAACCAATTGTGCGAAATGTTCACCAACTTTAATCACTCTTCTGATATAATCTTGAAGAGCTTTTAGCCCATACATTCTAAACATGAAATACAATTTCAATGCTCTGAATCGTCGACTCCACGGAACACCAAAATTATGTAAATCAACAATTCCCGTGCTGATCTGATCTTCAATATCAACAGATCCAACAATGTATGCTTCCAAGAATGTTTTCATATCTTTCACCCACAAACAAGAGCAATCAAATGCTGTTAACAAAAGCTTATTTGGATTAACATTAAACGAATCAGTCAATGCCATTCCACGCTTTAAATGACGCATTTCTGGAACTATGAAACTGTTACCACCATAAGCCCCATCAACATGAAACCAAATTGATGGATATTTCTTGCAAACATTTCCAATCTTCTCGATATCGTCGAATGCAGATTGACCAGTTGTCCCTGCTGTTGACAGAACAAAGAATGGAACCAATCCTTTATCTCTTGTTTCTTTTATCGCCTTTTCAAGTGCCACTGCTGTCATAGAATCTTCCTGATTAGGTTCAACAGCATAAAGTTTCACCATCAAAATTTTTGCTGCCTTTTCAACAGAGCTGTGTGCATTAAGTGAAGCAAAACATACTAATTTTGGTAAATATTTGCTTGGTGGTGCATCACGATCACTGTCTTGGTCTTGCAATGTTTTTATTGCACGATGTCTGGCTGCAGCCATCGCTGCAAAGATTGAATCGCTTGCTGAATTTTGAATCGCTCCACCACCGATACTTGATAAATTGCGTGTTTTACTAAGATAGAATGGCGGAAGATCCAATGCTTTTGCAAACCAATCAAGAACAATTTGCTCAAGTTCCGTTAAAGATGGACATGACGCCTGTTTAAATCTTTTGAAATTGTATGATTGATAATTAAAAAATTTTCTTACCCATGAAAATCCTACACTTGATATTGCCGAGCTTAGCATTTCTCCAATCACTGAAGGGTAAGCATTCCCAGCTCCAAAATATGCATAAAAGTTTGGATGCATCCAATTCAACACTCCCGGCATTATTTTCCTGTTGAAGTCCGTCATGATCTTGTCGAATTTCTCACCTTTTACAGGCATTTCTTTTGCAAGCCTTGAATGCAAAAAATTCGGCTTCAAACTGTAATCAATCACATCTCGTTTAGCGATGTCTTTGACATAGTCGCAAATGTAATCAACAACTTTTTTTCCGTCGACACAGAAATCTTCATACGTTGGAACTTTTGACATTTTTCAACTTTTTTCTTTAAACCTTTTGCAATGTTTAAAATGATTGATGAAAATTTCGATTTGAAATTTTCTTTTATATGATTTCCTTCGTTTTCCATGCATTGGCTCAACTTTATTCGATTTCAAGGGAAAGTCAAGCTCATTTTCACTTGAAGTCACGGAAAATCTTTCAATTTTATAAGTTGAATAATTTAAATTAATTAAAGATAAATTAAATTAGCGTAGCGAATTTGAAATCCAGAATTATTCGAAATTTTATGGTGAAAAATGTTTTCAACATCTTTTGTCTTAACCATACTGACAAATTGAACGAGAATTGAATAAGTCTTCGAAAATTTTCTTTCATTATCATTTTAAATATTTTGTAACAAAGGAAAATAAAAGAAGATGAAAA